TTTACTATTATGACCCCGATAAGTCTTCAACAAAGATTGAAGCTCGTTTTATCACATTTAAGGGCGTTGAAGGAACAGAGTCCTGGTTTTCAGGTCGTTGTTTTCTCTCAGTTCTCCTCATATCTTGATCTAATAGAGAACGAACTTAAACTACTCGATGGAGGAGGCGAAACGGAGTTTTCGGTGTACAAGTTCGATGGTCGTTTGAACTTAAACGAGAGAGATAAAATTCTCCAGCAGTTTGTGCAAAAGTCTGAGGAAGGGAAAATCACGGTGCTCCTTCTTTCTTTGAAAGCAGGAGGTGTAGGGCTTAATTTGACATGTGCAAACAAAGCCTTTATGATGGACCCGTGGTGGTCTCCTAGTATTGAAGATCAAGCCATTGATAGAATCCATCGAATCGGACAGGAGCAAAATGTGAAGGTGACAAGGTTTGTGGTGAAAAATAGCATCGAAACAAAAATGTTGAAAATTCAAGAAAGAAAACGGATGATGGGAGAAGCGGTCGAGGTTGAAGAAGAAGAGAGAAGACGACAGAGAATAGAGGACATCAAACTTTTGTTCGATGAATAGATATCATAAGAACAAAAGTCAATAATACAAATATGTACATATCATAGAATTGACGCTAGCATAATGCATTGCATCTTAATCATTCATTTCTGAGCTGTACTGTTCTCAATTCAATACATGCTGGGAGTTGTTCGCTTTGATTTTCCTGCACTCAACACCTTACTTTGTCTGATATCAACGAGAAAAAAAATAACATAGTCCGCTATACACGTACAAACATTCTCTTTAAAAATCATGAAGCAAGAAGATCAAGGTATGTCTTTTGAATTTCCCGGTTTCTTTATGTGCGCAGACTTTCCAACTTAGTCCGATTGTTTTTCCAATGTGACCCATGTGCCATTTAGGGGCCCTTTACTTTTTTCAAAACAAATGTACTAACATCCATAGAAACTCGTTTCAAAACACTAATAGACGATCTTGTCCCTGTACTTTCCCATGCTGATAAGCAAGGCTTATTACAGAAGGAAGTCATTCCCAAGAATTTTTTTGAAAAGAATCCAAATCAGATAATCCAAGCACATCAAGAATATATTGAGTCGCAGCCAACTCACGAAAAGACATCAGTGACACAAAAATTAAAGAAAGGATACCACAATGTGTACGAATTTTACCACGATATAAAGTTGGTGGCGGGAAATGAAATTGCACAACATGAGGTTGGCAGCGATGAATATGTGCAAACAGATTTTTTCTACAAGTTCGCTACAGAGATCTTACTAAGGGAAGTAGGAACAATTGGTCTTCGTCTCCAAGCACATGAAATAGAGGAAGACACTTTGGGTATTCTCAGAGACGATTTCGATAAAATCTCCAACAGCTACACGGTTTCTAATGGTGAGATTATCACGTACTTGCACAAATATGAAGAGCCAGTGGCACCTGCATTCCATGGAGTATATGGTAGCCAGCAACCAGTCCAGACGAAGACCATTACACAACCTTTATTCACAAGTCTTATTGGCAAATCGTCTATTGACCCACGCAATTCAGTTGTTCCAGATCCGTATCAGTTGGCGAAAGTAGTCGGGTCCAGCAAAGCTTTAGCAGGAAATTCGAGTACGTTCAGATTTTTCTCAAAGGCTACGTCTAGAATTCCACCGTTATCTCAAGCACCAGCTCAAGTTTTGGACAGCTTCTTCCATCCCAATTGGTATACCATTGAAGCTCCTAAGTGGTTGATTTACAAAGAAAGAACGTTGAAGCCTCCAGTTGATTCGACCTTGGTCAAGAATGTTGAATCTGATGATTTGCGTGCATATGAAAAGAAATGTGTAACCATGTCATTTGCGCCAACGTCTGATCTGAGAAATTCTGTATTAAGCGAGGAGCTCAAAACTTCCGTATGGTTAAACCACATTGGTCTCAAGAAAGTCGAGGAGATAAGACGGTCTTACTATGACAAACAAAGTTCGCCAATTCCTGTCGCAAACGAAGTTGCGACCAGCGAAAAGGTGGCAGAAGTGAATGATAAAACGGAGTTAATCTCTGTTGATAATTTGTCCGATTCTGATTCGAACGTCATCAAGTTAGAAAACTTGGCATCATTCAATCCTGAAGCTTATTTGCTGTTACAAGAGTTGAAAAAAGAGAAAAGCGACCTTGTGAAATCACCCCGTGAAGTCCAAAAGGCTATTTCGATACACTTATTACAATTGAACAAGTTGCGTCAACAAAGGTTTTTGCAAAGCGGATCAATTGAGCCATCTTCGGCCGAATTGGTTGTTTACAAGAAAATCGTCAAGTTGATGACACTTCTTGCGGAAACAGCACAGGGACAACAAGTCTCACTTGCATTGAGCAAAAAATTGCCGGTTTTACTCAATGAGTATCATGGAGTTTTGCCAGGACCTTTACCACAGAAAAATATCTCTTCCACCAAGGCCGGCCGATTAAGTGGAATCCGGGGACCATACAAAAAGAGAGGAAGATTTGCTTAGTGACTGGTGTCTATTTTGGCTTCATGGTGAAAGTCTATAGAGGTATATATTTACACGTCAATGCCGATGGAGAAAAGGTAGACCAAGTAGATGTTCAAGGCTGTGATGATCACCCAAGTTGTGATTGCTGCACCACGTAACCAAGAACCGTTTTCAAAAGTGATTCTTGACACGTCAGAAGTTGCTCTTTCCGTGCTTCCAAACTCGTTTTGTTCTTGTGTTGTTTCTTGCAAGAGAGTTGTGTACTCTGTGTTCTGAGTACTAGGTTTGACGTCGTACACCGTCATAAACTTTTTCGAAGATGTGAAATAGATAAGTGGGGCGCTGACTATTGGAAGAATAAAGCTCAAAACAACTTGGGAAGCATTCATAATGGTAGAAACGCCTTCACGTCCCAAAGCTAAAATCACCAAAACCACAGGGATAATCGCCAACACTCTTGTAATAATCCGACGAACCCATGGCCTAAACGACCAGTTGATAAATCCTTCGGAAATGATTTGGCCTGCCATTGTACAAACGATACCTGCGCTTTGCCCTGCGAACAACATTGAGAGAGCAAAGATGAGACCAACAGCGGGAGAAATATAGTATGAAAGCATGTGGTAGATAGAAAGCAAATCAGCTTCTTCTGCATCGGGCTTCCCGTACAAAGTGGAACCAGCAACTATCAAAATGGCTGAGTTAACGAAGACAGCAATGAGGAAAAGCGAGAGCACCAACTCTGTGTACGAATAAGACAAGCAGTACTTAATCGCAGCATATGAAGGCCGGTATTTTCTGCGGAGGCTAGTGCTATCAGAAATTGCAAGAAACTTACTGTGGGTCATGGGTAATGGATCAGAAGAAGACGGGGTAGGGGACGACTCGTACTCGCCATCGGAATTTGTATCTTGTGATAAAATTCCGTGGCGAAGGTCGAAATTCTTCAAACGGGATTGAACAAGAGAAGATCCCAAGTACAAAGAATGAGGCATAACTGTACTTCCCACAATACCACAACTCAAGAAAAGAGCATTTTTCTCTTTGAACACTTCGCCATTGACAGGAAGAAACCCTTTCAAGATAAGCCCCAAAGACCCAGGAGCGTAATCACATTTGAAGAGCTCTAAAATGAAGCAAACGCACGTCGCAGCGACTAAAACGGAAACCATACCTTCAAACGCTCTGGTTTGCTTCATTGTTCCATCTTTGTGGTAGGCCATAAGCACAATAAGCACATCCAAAACCGTGATGAAAACACCAGCGACCAACGGGATGTTGAACAAAATTTCCAAAGCAATCGCAGTGCCAACAACTTCGGCCAAATCGGTAGCAATAATGGCCAACTCGGCACAAACGTAAAGCGTCAAGTTGAGCCACCAGGGGAGACTCAAACGGCACATTTCTGCAAGATCTAACCCTGTCACCGTGCCTAGCTTGATACACAAGCACTGAAGAATCACTGCAAAAATGTTACTCATCACCACTACGACGAGAAGCTGGTATTGGTAGGCGGCACCAGACGAAACAGCGGTAGAATAGTTTCCAGGGTCCATGTAAGCCACGGAAACCATGATTCCCGGGCCTATAAAAGAGGCGTACTTACGCAACACTTGCCAGACAGAGTGCCATTTCTCGGAACGCAACATCTGTATTCAAAAGCGGAGATTATTGGGACTTAAGATATGAAGTTGGAAATATATTCGTTCTGGAGTGATTAGGCTCTATGATATAATTTGGGGTTTTCCAGAGGTCCAGTTCGAACGTTAGTCAGTGCAAACTTGATTATCGATATTTCTATGGTTTGTCAGGCTGATCTGGTTCGCTTTGCGATTTCGATAAGGATCGATTGGGCTTAGAATTTATTCGTGCGGAGTGGATCTTGTACTTTATGCGAAAGCGCGTTGCATGATGAATGGGTGCGAAAAAGAAGGTTGTTGGGACACATTGGAATCTTCTTATTTGTTCATGTAATCTTTCTGACGAATCTGTTACTGGTTCCTCTTGTTCTTTATCTCACTATACGGTTTTTTGTTCTATGCTGTCATGGCCTCTTAAACTGATCGTAAGCGATAATGTTTGGTTTAGTTGTTGTCAATTGATCACTCACTTGCACTAGCACTAGCACATTTGCATATGAGACGCAAAGTTGTGATCTTTCAAACATGTTTCAGAATGACTTTTTCATTTGAATGACAATTCACATCTACAGTCGACAATGCAACGTATGTGGGCCAAGATCTGGGTCACGTGCACGCGACTCCAAACTAGCCACTAAGAGAAGCAGCCTACACTTATCGGCCTAGAACTATGATTCGGACTATTAACCGAACAGGTCGTTTAACGCACCTGTTTCTGCGTCTTTCCTTTCGACTTGCGCCCTTAGGTCGCCACTTTCACACCAGTCAAACACCAGATGCCCCAGTTCTTCTGGTTCAAGAAGCGTTGAGAAAATACATGAGATGGTACCCATCAGATACCATCACACAGGCAAATATCGAAAACTATATCGAGCTCCGGCGTAGCAATGGGCCTGTTGATCTCTTGGTGGGCATTTTATACGAGAGTGATGATGTTCGCCTGTCGTCGAAAGTTGTGGAGGCTCTTTTAGCAGACCCATTGGCTGCTGGCAATTCTGTGTGGCTAGATCAAATAGAGCAAAGAGATAAGTCTCATAGCAATTTATTCATTTACAAAGATGCACCTGTCACTTTGGCTCTTCCAGACGCATACCAGAGGAAAGTTTCCAGGTTCGAAGTGCCATCGCCAATCTTAAGCGGAGACTATCGGCCAACGTTTGAAGAGCAGTTTGGCCCGCTGCCTCAGAATAATTTGTGCCTCTTGGAAATCTCGGACTGTGTCAATGCTAGCAAACTTGCACATGTGTGTCACTTTTTCATATATGTCACCAAGCAGATATCTTCAACGGCAGACACTTTGGCCAAAGAAACACGCGACAAGATTTTGCTTACGTTGGTAGATAACTCCGAATATTCGCCAGCTTCTGTCGAATCTTCACCTGTTTGTTTTGACATGGATTTCCATGTCTTGCACCATGCAATCAAAATAGATTCCGTTTTGGCGCATGGTGGAATCCGCCAGTTCTTAGAACGCGACACCGAGGCTGCTTCTGAGTACTTCGATTCCTTGAAGAAAAGCAACATTATAGAAGTGTCAAAATTCTTGCAATGGTTTCTTCGCTCAGATGTTTTATGCCAGTGGCAACTACATGTCATACGCAGCGAGATCGCAAGAGACAACATTTTGCGTGAGACTCTAGAATCCACTAGGGAGAAGTTGAAGGCAACGACAATAGCTGAATGCAGCAGCAGAATGCATGCCGACTTGCAGCAAAAGCTTATTCCGGAGACGACTGAATTTTTCCGCAAGAAACTTCCTTGGTGGAAGCTTTACGTTAAGAATGACAATGTCGAATACGCTCTCAAGGACTTTTTTGGGACCCATTACATGAATAAAAGCATAGAAAACTATAACTATATCAAGGGCCAGATTGTTGCAGGCTTACGCGGACAGAATAAGAATACATCAGAATCATTTTCTGCCGTGAATCCTCTCCAAGAACTCAAGCTGGATCTCATCAACAAGAAAATCTCTCAAGAAGTACAACCGGTTGTGTACTCGAGTATTCTGTCGGCATTTGTATATTACCAACTTCCGCTTTCTGTGTTATCGCTTGTGGGATTTTTCTCGTTTGGAATCCAGTTAGAGACTGCAATTGCAATCACCGCTCTAGGCTGGGTGATTGGATTCAACCATGTACTGAAGGAATGGCATGCGTTCACCGAGAAATGGCTTCGTGGTCTTTTTGAAGAGACCAGAGTTGCTATTTCCAGAGATTGCATAGACCGGGGACTCATGCAAGAACTCAATCGTGGGTTTGAAAATGCCAGCGAATTGGCACATGTGAGAAGCCAGGTCCTACAAGCTTTAGAGAAGCGCAAGTAATGAGCAGAAGCGTGTGAATTTATGGATACATGCAAGGGAATAAATATTAATAATAATGCGAGACTTTCCTGGCGAAACAGGTTCACAAAGATGGCGGAGGCGATGGATCCTTCTTTGTTTTCAACTTCTCTTCGAGTCTTTCAAACTCGCGGTTGGCCACTTCCTCCTCTGGGTCCAAGATTTGAACCACTTCCTTCACTTCTTCAATGTAGTGCATGAGCATAGACTCGATGCCACCTTTTAGAGTATCCTCACTAGCAGAGCACGACTTGCAAGCACCTTGAAGTTTCAAAAACACTGTTCCTGTTTCTTCGTCAAAAGCCTTGTATTCAATGTCGCCTCCATCATCTTGGATTGCAGGTCTGATCCTAGTATCAATCAACTCTTTGATCATAGACACAACCTCTGAATCGTTTTCCGACGCGCTGAGAGAGTCATTTTCTCCCTGTTGTATGAGCTCTTTGGTGATCACTGGTTCGTCTTTGCTTGTAAGGAAAGAATCCAACAACTTCACCACTTCTGGGCGCAAGTGGGCCCAGTTCACATGATCAAGCTTGTTAACGGTCAAGAAGTCGTGGCCAATCATAACAGATTTCACTCCGTTGAGCTTGAATAGTTTGAGCGCCAAGGGCGAATGTACCGCTTGCAATGACGTTGAAAACTCAAAAGTTTTATTCTTGAGTGGCGAGATTTCCGCTTCGGGCGAGACAAATTTCAATGCATTTTCGTTTGGAGTAGGGTATGTCTTGAAAGACAAGAATCTTAGGGCCAGTCTTGAAGGGCGGAAACGAAACATGTTGTAGTTAATTAGTAAGATGTACAAGAATCATCTTGCCTCTCCGATTTCCCCGCGGTCACATGACCGCATTGCTCACGCTTATTAATACTGCCGTTTTATTGGCGGAGACTGAAAACACATGTTGCTGGACTATAGTGTCAGCAAGGAAAATCCGTAACATGGTATGAAACGAAGTGTTCGGTGATTGCCATGACCGGAACCAATAAGGTGATTGCAATAAAACTTGTTACTTTGGAACGTCCTGCAGGATACATCCACGTCATTCGGGCTTGTCTTTCCAGAAACATCGTTATCTCCAGGAGCACCGGTATACGAGAACGTAGCAAAGTCCTATGGCTAGCAAATAGATCATCAGCGGCAAAAGAAAAGAGAAAATCGGCGAGGAGCAGTTCACACTATGACTGTTCATGTTTGTCAATCCATAAAAGTTGTAGTTTCAACAGATATGCTTGATAAAAGTGCCACTCAATTTCATTACGTGTGTGATGTTACTTTTATCACCTTCCGTATTTTTTCCTAGCAATCGTTTTTCCTTTCAATTATCTTTCCGTTCCATCTGCGCGGGGAAATATTCCAACGGCGCTCACACCTGAAAGTCAGACGACCGTTTCAAGGCTGAGTGGCGCTAAACAGGCAAAATATCCTCAGAAAGCATCCCATGCATACGATTAATTTATTGACAGGCCCACGTGTGGTCGTCTCTGCCTGCACAAATGTTAGGGCCACTTTTAGTATCTGGTCTTCTTCCACGCACGTCAGCCGTTCGAAAATATGTAGCCGCACCTCTATGATAATTAGCCGTTTGGGTCTGCGATTTTACCAAGGGCTATTTTGGCAAAGCTGAGTTGGTATCATTTGCCCTGAGCAAAGAATATCAATGCCTTCTGCTGTCAAGCCGGCTTTCCAATGTGACAACGTGGGTGCCAAGGTGAATTTTTTGTGTGCCAAGGGCGCCAAGACCTGTAAAAATTCTTTTTTATTTCCGCTCTGGTTAGGCTTTTCGCATTTTGCACCCAGTCGATAGTGAACGACAAGAAAAAGAACATAGTAATTAATTGCGCCCAGACACCAAAAATTAGCTGCCTCGTACTATGTCCCCGTGTTTCTGTATTACGGCATTGGGTATAAAGGCAATTGCGTTTGACGTACTTGACTGGAGTTTTTTCAATACATCAACGCCTGTCAATCTTCGCTTAGCCACCTTCGAACAATAATGAGTTTCTACCACCAGTTCGATTACATTTTCGCTATAGCGATCATATTCGCCTTTTTGGATGCCTTCAACATCGGTGCCAATGACGTTTCCAACTCCTTCTCTTCCTCGGTCTCTTCGAGATCTTTGAAGTACTGGCAAGCCATGATTCTTGCCGCCATGATGGAGTTCCTTGGTGCCCTTTTGGTCGGTAACAGAGTTTCTGACACCATCAGAAAGAAGATTATTGAGACGGATACTTTTGAAAATGAGCCTACCGTGCTTATGTTGGCCATGGCCATGGCTTTGGTGGGTTCTTCCATCTGGCTTTCCATTGCTACTTTGATCGGTATGCCTGTTTCCACCACCCACTCTATTGTTGGTGGTGTCATTGGTGTTGGAATTGCCACCAAGGGTGCTGACAATGTCATTTGGGGCTGGAAAGGTTTTGCTCAGATTGTTGCCTCGTGGTTTATTGCCCCAGGTATTTCTGGATGCATTGCTTCTATTGTTTTCCTTATTGCAAAGTTCACAGTTTTGGAAATCAAGGACACTCAAAAAGCCGTCAGAAACGCCTTGGTATTGGTGCCAATCTTGGTTTACGTTACCTTTTCCGTCTTGACAATGTTGATTGTGTGGAAGGGTTCTCCAAAGTTGAAGTTGGACGATTTGTCTACCGGTACTACCGTCGGTGCCATTTTCGGTGTTGGCGCTGTTGCTTGTTTCCTCTATATGCTTTTTATCTTCCCTGTGGTCAAGAGAAAAGTTTACTACCAGGACTGGAGAGTCAAGTGGTACGATATTTTCAAGGGCCCTACCTTCTACTTCAAGTCTACTGACGATATTCCTCCAATTCCGGAAGGAGTTCAATTGACCATTGACTACTACGCTGGCCGTCGTCCAAATGAAAATGCCAACTCCAAGAAGATTGACGAGGAGAACATCGAGGCTTTAGAAGACAGCAAACAATCTGTGACCAGCTACACCCTGAACAGTGTGGTGTCTACTGAAAAACCAGAAAAGACCAGCACCTTGTGGTTCCGTCTTCTCAAGCAGGGTCCAAAGCAATGGCCACACCTTATGTGGTTGGTTGTCTCTCACGGATTTACAAAGGATGTCATTTCTGACCAGGTTAATCATTCTGGTGTCTTGGGTGCTAATGTCAAGGATATGCACAAGAAGTCCAAATTCTACGACAACAGACTCGAGTACTTGTTTTCTTTGCTTCAAGTTATCACTGCTTGTACCATGTCTTTCTCACATGGTGCTAATGATATCTCTAATGCTTCTGGACCTTTGTCGACTGTGTACCTTGTTTGGTCAGACAAAAGCTTGAAAGCTACACCACCATTGTGGATTCTCGGTTTTACTGGTGGTGCTTTGGTTATCGGTGTCTGGACATTTGGTTACAAGATCATGTCTGTTCTTGGTAACAAGATGATTTTGCAATCGCCATCTAGAGGTTTTGCCATTGAGTTTGGTGCTGCTATCACTGTGGTCATGGCTACTCAGTTGGCTATTCCAGTCTCGACCACTCAGTGTGCTGTTGGTGCCACTGTTTTCGTCGGTTTGTGTAACCAAGACCTTAGGTCCGTTAACTGGAGAATGGTTACTTGGTGCTACATGGGCTGGATTTTCACTTTACCCATTGCTGGTCTTATCTCCGGTATCCTTACTGGTATTATTATCAACGCGCCACGCTTGGGTGTTGAATATTTCCCATCCAACTAAGATGGTTAATAGGGAGGTTTGGGGCCTCTGTTCCCCTAATACAATGATTTGTGTCACTTACTGTAGAGGTGTGGAGTAGAGTTATTTGGGTCCAAAATGAAGAAAGGATTCATCAGCACTCTGATGCCGTTCATATAATATGAGGTCAAGACCCATGATAAACGCAGACGCTTTGATGTTTTCAATACTGAGGATATCTAGTGTCCAGTTAGTTTAATTTACTTTTGTTCATAGTGGAGCAACTCATCATGCACTTCCATATTGAATCAAAGGTTACTGAGCACCAGATTTCAAATTAGGCTCTTGATATGTATATGCTCGGTAACCTTGATAGTTCATGTGAAGTCAGGCTCTTATATTCATTGATGAGTAACTTAAATAGTCATGATAAAAAACTAAGTACAATGAAGTCATTTCAAATATAGTTGTTACGAGTGAAAGTTAGAATAAGTCTACTCATTGCTATAATCTGGGTAATTTGTTCGCGTTTCCCCCCATTTGACGTAAATTACAAAGCTATCCAAAATACAAAACAGCAACTACCCACATTATCATTTTCAGACATAACACCCAGAATTATTAGCTTACAGCACAAAGAAATATCTACTATTGTATGTACAATGAAGTTTGTTGCATTCTATAGAACTTTTTCCTGTGGCAGTTTATCCCACGCCAAACGACCGATTCTCCGCGAACCCACACCCGTACACCATCACTATAGCCACCTATACCACCACGCACCGCCTACTATTGTTCATTCATGCTGGCCGAAGACAAATTTGACGCTTCGCTAGAGCTTTTGCGCCGTCTTGACCCCAAGGCGGTGTCAGACAACGTTGGCGCTATATGCACGCTTCTCCGAAGCGAAAACGAGGAATTGGCTCTGGATTTGTTATCGTCGGTAGATACACCTTTGACAGTGGCCAAGTGTGGTGATACAAACAAGTCGTTCTTGTGCTGTGACTACAACAGAGACGGCGACCTGTACCGTTCGCCTTTGTCCAATAAGTACTATCCCCCAACTGGAGATGACGAGTCTCCATATCCTTCCGCGTCGTTGAGACAGTTGGAAGTGAAGGCCAACGAGAGCTTTGATATCTACAGGGATTTGTACTACGAGGGAGGAGGGCTTTCATCAGTCTACATGTGGGACACGGCCGAAGATGAGAGCGCAGACAGTTTGGAGGAAGGATTTGCTGGTGTTGTGTTGTTCAAGAAGGAAACAGACGACCATTCAGGAAAATGGGACTCGATCCATGTTTTCGAAATTGTGCCGGAAAGCGCATCGATGGCGCTGTACAAGCTCACGTCTTCTGTGATTTTGGACTTGCAGAACAAGCTGGCAGGTTCCAAATCGTTGTCTTTGTCTGGCACTTTGACAAGGCAAATAGAAACGACACAGCAGTTGAGCATCGAAGGTGGCAACCTTGAGTTGGCTCACTTGGTTAACTTGGGCCAGTTGGTGGAGAAAGCCGAGTACAACATCCGCAACTTGTTGCAAGAGGTCTATTTCGACAAGTTGAAGAACATTATGTTGAGAGACTTGCGTTCTGTGGGAGACATTAGTGAGAAAGAGGCTGATGACTCTAAACACTCTGAGATGATTAAGGGCTTACAAGGACTTTAAGAGGTCGAGCTGTTATATTTTTTGCACAATTATCTTATCATTTAAAAACTACTTCCAGCACCGAACGATCTTTGTAGATTTGATTTGTCTATTAACAACTTGTGTGCCAAGTTGAAATCGATATCTCAGGCTGAAGATATCGTAGGTAATCATTGTAAATATTGCTATGAAGTTCCACGTGCGTTGCTCAAACATAATTGGCAACGCTAGGATAAGTCATGGAGGAATTCGTTCGTTATTTTTGCTTGAACAATGCTTAGAGCCAGGTGGCTGCGGACTAATGTTTAATATGGCTATTGGTATTCTTAGCCTATTCTATGCTTTTGAAACTACCATATAGTCTTTTTTACTCTAAAACCTCGTGTAGAATACAAACAAGAGTATATGCTGTATGAAGACCACTTGTCATCTAATATATTTGTTTGCCTATTTGCATTCACGATCGTTACTATGAGCGTGTCGCATTAGATGCTTTTGACCTTCGCATGGATGAGTACATTGACAAATCAACACTTTCTTCCTCTTCCTCCTCCTCTTGTGGGCTCAAGCATATGAGATCAGAAGTTGATGGAGATGCTTGCTCAGCTGCTCCATCACTTTGTGAATCTTCATTCAAAGAGGCAAGCATATTAGTCTTCATGTCATTGACAAACGTCCACAACGATGTGGATACGGCTTGAAACATGTCTTCATGCTGTGGTTTCGCCCATTCTTGTGTGTGCGTGTTAGTTTTGTCTTTTAATGGGCGAGAGAGCTCGAGTTTATATTCTGGTCTGGAATCCGGCCTATGCTCGGATCTATGCTCTGATTTCCTCCGAGAAAGTTGGCTAGTCGTACCGTCATGGTCCAGGTTTGTATTCTGTTTTGAATCTTTTAACGAAAATTCCTTCAACAGGGGCTTTCGGGTTGCATCTCTTAATTTCCTTTCTTTTGTTGTACCAGGTAAACTCGTCCTAGTCAGAGAGCTTCTATCCCTGCTCGCCTCACGTAGCGGACCAGTACCATTTGCTAATGCAGAGTCTCTTGGAACCCTCTTAGTATCACGTCCGGTTCGTGGTACCTTCGACGTTGTAGATTGCAGCGCTTTTTCTGACAGAGACATTTCTTGGGTCAGTCTGTGATCTTTTGTCAGCAATCCCGGGGGTTCGAGCGATTTTTCAAACTCGTGCTGTATAAGTGCATCTAGCAGCTGTATGAATGAGATGGGTTTAGCCAAATTCGACCATAGCTTGGACAGCGGATCTTCTTCCAGGCGCAGATGGGGGTTTTGGTTTTCTACACCGTTCCCTGGGCCACTGTGTGTCATTTCGCGATAGAGCGACCGCTGAATCAAACGTCGAAGTTGGCCCAAGTCCTGCTCGGTGGCCAAGAGCTTGTTCTCCAAATCACTGATTCCATCTTTGATCTCAACCACAGCCATTTCTTTCAACGCGAGAAGTCGTAGTTGTTCATCTATGCCGAGCATTGAAAGCTCATCTGCGCTGGGTAAGGTGAATTCATGATTGAGTGGAGATGAAATGGGCTTTTTCTTCACTGGGCTTGGAGTTATGCTTGGAGTGGGAGCTCTCACGGCCTTGGTGTCTTGTCCTGGTGAAACTGTGTTGAAGTTTATACCTTTGGAGCGTGATTTCGTGCGAGAAATACCCGTCAGCGGAAGATTTAGTCTTTTCTCCGCTGGATTCGGGCGCTCAGAGGTTTCCATGGTGAATGGAAATGAAATGTTAGGTGCGCGTACGCAAATTCGATAAACCGCACAACTGATAGACTTTAAGGTTACGATGTGATACAGTAGCGGTGCTGCAAAATATTTCGTTCATTCCCAACTATAGTAAGAATGGTGTTCCTTTTCCATTTCTTTTCCTTTTTTTTTTTGTAATTAATATTTGGCTGTGATGATACTTTACCTATGCTTCCAGTAATTACTCGCTCGCACGATATTTTGTAGATCTGTGCTGAAAGTGGAGAAAAGCGCGTTATCTGACTCCACAGTCAAAAACAACAATCATTACTCACAGTGATAAAATCTATGGAGCACCCAATCTCACATTATTTTTTATTCAAACATACCTATTAGAAGCCTTGATCATTTATCCCTGTGAATCTTCAAAACTAATTATGGACGACTCATACTTTGGTGCTCCCCCGGATCCACATTTCGCCAAAGGCTTAAAATGCTATGTGGTGTTGCGTCTTCTTCGAGTCAAAAGACCCTGGCTTTGGGCCCTACTTGTTTCCACCAACCCCGCCTTGCGCCGTTTCTTTGCTCTGTTGAGCGGAAACCTAAAGCACCCCAGAGTTGTGGCTCGGAGGGTGAATAAACTGGCCAATCTAGTCAGTTGTGGTCTTTTATACGCTGCAACAGCCAACAACTACTCAATCCCCAAAGATTACTTGCTGCTCTATATTGTCATGACCTACTACGGAGAATTGAACCCACCAAGTTCGAATCTAGTGGTGTCTCCATCTACTCAATCATTTTCGAAATTGCACGCATACAAAGAACATGGTTGGGTCCGGTGGCTTTACCGGAACAAACACAAGGTCATTTTTCCAGCAATTTTTGCCCAGATACTCTCCAATTACCTTACTCCAACCACCTACAGATTGAACCACAAGTACTTATCAAGCAGCATCAAAAACTACATTCTAAATCCAGTCTGGACCAACTTCCACATGAGTTCTGCTGGCCAGTACGTAAACTGGGCTGGGCTATTAAAAAGCTACGTTTTACACAATGGTGCCTTCTTCGCATACTACTATTGCTCAAAAGCAATCAAATCGGCCATTGCCAGCTTTTATACTCCTGATGACCGGCAACCATGGAAGCACCGTTTTCTTTACGCTATTCACAGAGCCAATGCGGTGGCCAATTTCATATACTCCCCCCAATTATTGTCCATGCTTTTACTTTCCTTAACGTCGCCACTTTTAGCCCACAGAAAGATTCGCTCCTTTTACTTGAAACACACAAAACAATTTATCAAATACTACATCAAGGTCATTGGCTTCATTGCGGCATTTGTGTCGATGCAGCTTGCAGCCTTGCATATCCTCCCCAATAAAGAAGACGAAACAGGAAGTGCTCGTCATTTGTCGACGTCTTTCATGGATGCTCTCAACATGTATCTTTTCCGACTCATTGTTTTATCCAAATGGCGCATAGTCAAGTCCAATCACCCATGGTTCAGGTTCCTTAGATATGGAACGTGGGATCGAATCGAAACATTCGTCATGTGCTACGGAGTATGGAAACTCATGAACATTACTGATCATATAAACTTAAACCGCTTTGGGCAAGACAGAGCAGAATGCGAGCGGCTTGCCACGGTCCCGCTTTTACGAGTTATCCAAAAGATCATGGCCTAATCTCAAGTCATAGTCGAGCAATTGTGTATTTTGACTAAGTATCGTCTAGTATCCACCGGCACCAGGCACGTTTTCCTTGCCCTTCAACTTTTTCAACAAGGCGTCGAATCTGCTCTTGTCACGTCCATCATCCGAAACCTCGCCCACCTCAGAGACAAGCTCGTTGACGCGGTCCCACAAGGTTCCTCTTTTCAAAAAACCATCTCTCTTCTCCAAGAATTCCTCTTCTTCCTTCAATACATCTTTTGCGTGCTGGTCTTTCTTGTTGTTGTAATTGTCGTAGAAATCATCGATACTTTGTCTTGCTGCAGCAACAATCTCCTCCTTCTTCTTTCTGTTGGCCTTTTCTCTCTCCTCGATTTCCAACGTGCGACGCTCTCTCCATTCTTTTAATGGTTCGGATTCGCCCAATTCCTGAGAAACCGGAGGCGCCGAGCCAAAGTTTTCGAATTCATCGTCTTCCAGCTCTTCCTGCGGTTCCGCAGCTATGGAATTGTCCACTTCCGGAAACTGTTCCTTGAACTCTTGTATGTCGTCGTCGCTTTCAGCCAAAACTTCGTTGTCTTGTTCGGTCTGGAATTCGTCGCCGAGAAGCTCTTTTTCTCTCGACAAAAAGTCTCCTTGCACGTCTTGCTCGTCGGCAGAAACTTCCAATTCGGGATATTTGTCAGCCATTGTGGTTATCTAAATGTGCTGGAGTTTGAGATTCGGCACTTTGTCGCACTTGATGTTGTCCTTTGGTGGAGTGGGGGGTCGTGCACGAGCCAATATTGCTTTACTATAGACTTGCCCTAGAGACCAGTAAATAATTACGATGGGATTTAGTTAAGGTTTATACTGATGATCTTTATCTGGAATCACTAGGTTTTTTATTTTCGTGGCTGCTTGGTGCAAGAATCTGGATGTTCTCAAGGTGAGACCCGCATAATCTTGCGCCTCACACTAATATGTCACTACTTTGATCATCTGTCTCTCTGCTTCCAAGGAAATTTTTTAGTAATAATTCGACTGACCTATGATAGGCTTGTGTTTTTTCTTTTTTCTTTTTTCTTTTTCTCGTTCTTCATTTTATTATGAAGTCGGGAGTAAAAGGCAAAGTTAACAGATGTCTCGAGACCTTACTGAGCAATGTAACATGTAAGTTGATCTATCAAATCATGATCGCATCGGTCTAAGCTAGCATACACATGAGCTTTGCCCATCAATAATAGGAGAAGGGGTTCTTAATATGTCCACCTTCGTCTCTTCGATTAAAAGTTCTATTAGCCTATTTATACAATATCCCGGTTGATGCTGAACAACCTTACAGAAGTATCATGGCTACCCACTGCCAATTGCATCTTGCCATCAATACATTTCTTGCTGAATGCCACCTTGCTAACCCTTCCAGCTGGCAAGATTTGATCATCAAACGCAATAATCTGGCGGAAAGCCTTTTCTTCCGCGTCGGTTTGCACCGCAAATAACGACACCTGGCCATTTTCATGACCTACGGCAATGACGTAATTTTTGTTTATAAGACCCTGTTGGAAACAAGCCACAGAAGTGACAGCATCCTCGGTCTTTGTCGTAGCAACACACGCAACTGCGGAATCTTTCACTTCCCAAAGCTTTATCGACTTGTCACGCGAACAGGTTACAAAGTAGCACATTCCGTTTTCTTGTGGTGCCCACGAGCAGTCCCAAATGATTCTCGTGTGCGCTTTGGGGTTGATATCCACTAAGTCAAAAGTTCCTTCCAGCTCATTTTTCACTTTCCACAAGGACATTTGTCTATCACGAGATACCACGACAAGATACCGCCCATCGGGGGAGAACTCTAAACTGGTGATTGTCAAATTATGACCCTTCAAAACCTCGTCCACGAGTTGATAATCCTTTTGGGCATTGAAGATTCTCACCACGGCGTGCTTTGCTGAATTAGACCGACATGCAGATGCTATAAGTTTTCCATCTGGAGATGTTGCACAGCATGTGATTTCATAACCATGGCCATACAACTTTTCAATTTCTGGGAACAATGTGTGTCTTTGCAAGTGGTCTTCTAATGGTGGGCCAGACAAAACGGCCAAGACATCATCTTTGACTTCAGTTTCTTTTTTGTCTCTTGCGTAGTCCTCCTCACGCTGTGCTGCTTCACCTGCTTCTAATTGTTCATTGGCCGCTTTATTGGATAACCCTAGAACAGGCAAGGATGCAGCTTCTGGCAAAGTCTCGCCTGCTTCTAAGGACGAGTTGACCCCGCAAAACTTGTGCAAAACATTATTGATGGACTGTGTCATCTCAAACACACGTAAGATTTTCTCGTCACCACCAGAAACAAATTTCGTCGCAGAGAGATTGTCAAGACAAATCATGTCGTAGCCATGGATCTGTGCTCTTGAAAACTCGTGCCATGTGAGCAGCTTATGCGAAGTTTCTGGTCTGTTTAAAGCCCATGGTCCATATAGACGAGTGGTTTGGTCGAGAGAGGTCACGTAGAAAAATGAGCCATCAACTGACCACACGACATCTGTGATTTCAGAGATAGCGCCTGTGACACCCAAAATAGATTCCCATGATTTATGCTCTGAATCTTTACTTTGGTATTGCCTGAGAGCACCTGTTTTACCGTTGGCCAAAATATGATGGCTTCCGTCTTCTGCGTCTTCAAACCAAAGACATGACCAGAAACCTCCAGAAGCACCTGTTGCCGTAGATGCACCTTTAATGGAAAGCTCGCCCAATCGGCTTCCGCATACCCAAATTCCTGACTCCTCATCCATTTCCCAAATCATCAAAGCTGTATCGGCACTCAGAGATAACAACTGCAATTTCTTCTCGTTACCGTTGGAAAACCGAGAATAGGAAGGATGCCACAGCAATCCTGTCACCCAATCATCATGGCCCATAATCAAAGCATCAAAACTGAAAGCTGCTCTTCCATCGCCAAACGGAAACTTGTATTGCTTATTGGACAACAAAATAAGCTTCAGGTCATCTTCGTCCGAGTCGTCGATGGCTTCGTTCAAACGTAAACGCCACAAACGGATGTATCTGTCTTGAGAGCCGCTTGCTAAAATGTAGCTGGAACCTTCCTTTTCGGTAACAAAGGCCAAACATTTAGTCCAATCTTCGTGGCCAGTCAAAACGGCACAGGATTCCAAACCAGAGACTTCAGGATCAAACGAGTAAACATGCAAATCACAGGATGTTCCACCCACAACCAACAAGTACCGCTGGCCAATTTTTTCCAAAGCCAAAGAGGTAGGATAGAAATTGAACTTGACTCTGAATGTATGTTTCGCCTCAAGTTGGGCGCCGGAGATTTGCCAAATGACAACATCGCCAAGCGTATTTCCAGTGACAAAAGTTACATTATCCACCACAGCCATGCACACGATGGAAGCCTTTTCAAGCACCACGGAATCTTGAACGCAGAACAATGTAGGCGAATCGTTCACCTTTGCAAAAAGGTTCAATCTTCCATCCTCACCAGCTGACAACAAGAAGTCTGAATTAGGAACAAATTTGACACACGTCACGTCGCCGTCGCCGTGCTTCAAAGTATGATAGACGCCTTTCCTGTCAGAAGCCACAGGATTCCATAAGGCCACGTTATTTTTCGCTCCAAAAGCAACGAGGTTTGGGACACAGTCACTCACCTGCGGCTGTCTATTGGCGCCGATGAAAATTGCATCTTGCGAAACGTGCTCGCTGAGAGACATTTATTCTTGACCTTGGAGATGGGTTGGGACGATAAAAAATGCGATGTGGGTGCAAATGAGGTGCACGGGTGTAAACCAGAGGTATAGAAGAAGTAGCAGTAAAGAAGAACGTAATAAGCATGGTAACGATGGAGATGAAGAAAAATGATGAACGTGAAGGGTTGCTGAATATGGAAAGAGAATTCGAATGCATTACGAGATCAACTACGTGTTTGGGGTAGGATTATCATCAAAGCATATTTTTTCTTGCCATAAAGACAACATGATTTCATAAGAAGAACATTCTCAGTGTAAAGAAGGTGGCCCAAGTAACGAAAACGAACTTTCACAGGTATTTGTCGCTTCCTTGTTGATGTCTTCGACATCGAAGAGTATATATCTGCAGTTCGCGCTTCCAATATCATATTCTCCACTAAAGCATGGTTTCGGCGTATGTCACATCCAGCGTCCCAGATAAGGAATTCTACTAACCGCCAGTGTTCTTCTAGTGCATAAAGCCACACCGCAGACAATTGTGCAGTTTCATGACGAGTTGTCCAACAAGCTTCCGACTCTCAAAGGAAAATGGAGCTTCAACTTCAAAATCTTCCGAAACAACATATACTCCATTCCGCAGGAGCTAGCGGAGCTGCAGGCCACGTCTCCCGAAAACAACTATCTCTACACATGGGCGCCGTCGTACTTGAACGACTCTTGTGTGACTTTGATCAACAAGCGATGTTCTGCCGTGTTTAGTCATGTTGTTCAAGAAGAACTCAGCACACCATACGAGTTTGCCATTCCCAACAACCATTTACATGGCGGAGCGACATCTGGGTTGAATGACTCCTTCGATTACATGCTCAACCAAAGAATGCAAAGCACTTGGGTCCAGAGACAGCTGATCAAAGGCAGCGGAGGCGAAATCTACGAGTTGGAAAACGGAAACCTCACGATACGAACGGCCAACGTCACATTGCACGGGAACTTCCGCGGACTTTTAATCCAGATCGAGGTGGAGCATGGGAAGTTGGACACTTCAGATCCGGCCAAGATCTTCTCCGACTTGATGGCCAAGTACGACATTCCTGTAGGTAACTTGTGTTACAAAGTCATGGATCCGCTTCGGCTCGACCGCTACGGCGATTTGGCTCTCCAGTACTCGGAGATCCTCAACTTCTAGAATCTAAATAGAAAATCATAGGAAACAGAGAAAAAAAAAAAAGAAAAATAATTGTAGCATATGAAGCCTGTTGGCTCCATGTCCTTGGTGTACGGGTGCACATACACATTTTTCCAGGCGATGCTCTGCGCGACATTTTAGTTTCTAGTAATTCTCCTACAAGCTAGCAAGAATGGTCAAACACAACAAAAAGGGCAAGAAGCTAGACAGAAAGGCTAAAATCCAACAGGAGGAGGAAGAGCTTCTGAAGCTCCGGAAAAGAATTGAAGATTTCGACCCTGCCCAAGACGAGAAAACCATTTCGCAGTTTGCAGATTTGCCCATCACAGAAGCCACGGCTAGAGGTCTTAAAGAGGCCAACTTTGTCTCCATGACCGACATTCAGAGGAAATGCATCCCTCTTGCTTTGAAAGGCGAAGATATCATGGGTACCGCTCGAACAGGGTCGGGAAAAACCTTGGCTTTTTTGGTTCCTGTGATTGAACGTTTGGTGCACAGCAATATTACAGGCCTTGATGGACTTGCTGCGTTGATTATCTCTCCCACAAGAGAATTGGCAGTGCAGATTTTCGAAGTGCTCACGAAAATCGGCAAACACAATTCGTTCTCAGCCGGTCTAGTCACTGGAGGAAAGGACGTACAGTATGAGAAGGAAAGAGTTGCCCGAATGAACATTTTAGTTGGCACACCGGGCCGAGTCTCGCAGCACTTGAACGAAACTTTTGGCATGGACACTTCCAACTTGCAAGTTTTGGTATTGGATGAGGCTGACAGATGTTTGGACATGGGTTTCAAGAAGCAGATCGACAGTATCGTCAGCCACTTGTCACCTGAGAGACAGACTCTTTTGTTTTCGGCAACTCAATCTGATAGCATCAAAGATCTTGCGAGATTGTCTTTGACCAACCCAATCAAAGTTGGCGTTTCCTCGGATGCAACATTGTCTGCCACTCCGGAAACTTTGGACCAGTACTATGTTCGCATTCCTTTAGAGGAAAAGTTGGACGTCTTGTGGTCGTTCATCAAGTCCCACTTGAAATCGAAAATATTGGTCTTCTTCTCATCTTCGAAACAGGTACAGTATACATATGAATCTTTCCGGACTTTGCAACCGGGTATTTCGTTATTGAAATTATACGGCCGTCACAAGCAAACGTCAAGATTGGAGACGACAACGAAATTCTCGCATGCCCAGTACGCATGTTTGTTTGCCACTGACATTGTTGCTCGTGGTTTAGACTTTCCTGCGATTGATTGGGTCGTTCAAGTCGATTGCCCAGAAGATGCCGCCACTTATGTTCATCGTGTCGGCCGATGTGCAAGATTTGGCCGTCCAGGCAAATCTCTTTTAATGCTTACACCATCAGAGGAGGAAGGTATGTTGAAGAGGTTGAAGAACCAGAACATCGACATCAAGATCATGAACATCAAACAAAAGAGCAAGAAATCCATCAGACCCCAATTACAATCCTTGTGCTTCAAAGATCCACAAATGAAGAACCTTGGACAGCGTGCATTCATTTCCTACTACAGATCAGTCTACATCCAAAAGGATAAAGATGTGTTCAAGATTGAAGACATTCCCGCAGAAAAATACGCCGAGTCCTTAGGTCTACCGGGAGCACCAAAAATCAAGATCAAGGGAGGTGAAGGAAACAAGGAAAAGAAGAACATGTCGAGACAGTTGATGCAATTGCTGAAGGCCAATGATAATGGAGAAAACGAAGAGGATGAGGATGGGAAAAAGAAGGTCAGAACGAAATATGACCGTATGTTTGAGAGGCAGAACCAAACTGTCTTGTCTAAACAGTATTTGACAATGACCGGTACAGGGATCCGGGATTCCAAAGAAGACGAAGACGACGAAGAAGATGATTTCATGAAGGTCAAGAGACAGGACCACGATTTGAAGGAGGAAGAACTTCCAGACCTAACCGCTCCGGCGTCAAAGAGATCCGCCAAAAAAGCCCTTTCAAAGAAATTGTCTATTGTCAACAAAGGCATGCCCACGAAGTTGAAGTTCGACGACGAAGGTAAAGCCCACCCAATATATGAGCTTGAAGACGAGAAGGACTTCAAGGCGAAAGGTGATGCTAAAAAGCAAAAGGAGGCCTTTGTGTCCAAGGAAACGGAAGTTATGGGAGAGGCTGATCTTGAAGATAAAGAAATGGCTAGAGCCAAGAGACAAGAAAAGAAGAGAAAGAGAAAGGAGGCTGAAAGAAGAAGCAGAGAGGACGACGACAGCGATGAAGAAGAAGAAACAGTGGTTACTTTGGGAACCGGTGACTTGGATAGAGATCTCGAGTCGCTGTCTGAAGAAGAAAGCGAGCCTGCAACCAAGAAACCTAAGTGGTTCCAAAACGACAAGAATGTTTCTCGCAACGACGACGCTGGTCTTGTTGAGCTCGATGCGCCAGAGACTTTGGAAGACTTGGAGGCATTGACGTCGAGATTGATCGGCAACTAAAACTACATAATAGAAATGCATTCTCGTATAGTACATTATACAGTAGGTGTAGCAACGATTTTCCCAGCCACTTCACCGAGTCTAAATATATTTCCGCCAATTTTCATGCCATCGGCATCAAGCATTTCGGACTCATCATCGTCCGATTTCCGTGCTGCGTGCGAGTCTAGCACAACAACCTCTTGAAGGAAAGAAGATGGCACACCAGCAGAGACATCGAAAAGAGTATTGCCAATGCTGATGCTAATTTTGCCTGATTTGTGAAAGTTAATGTTGCCCACATGGCCCTCGATGTTCTGGTTGTTTGAGTTGGCAAACGTGGACTTGAGCTCGATCTCTTCCGAAGACTCTGAAATCACTTGTGGAAGGTGAACAGTGAAGTACTTTTCACCCGGTCCTGCCCCATCTTCATCTGTCTTTAACCCACTCAAGTGTGTTGTGAGCAAGTCAACTATATCCAGTCGATCATCGATGTGGCGGTTGTATTCTGCCGTTTCAAGTGCATCGTCTGGACCAATAACTTGGGGTTGAGCAACTTCTTCCAGCAGTTCAGATTTCACAGACTCTACGGTTGGCGACTTTGTATTCGACACCAGCGTTGTAGTCGAGAGAGCTCCAACAGCCGCCTTTTCCTCGGGTTCGTCTTTCTGTGGTCTCACGGGGAACAAAACTACCTCGCTTTCTTCAAATGCGTACTCTTTGCTCATGTTGATTTTTCTCGGGTCATCCTCGTCATCTGAAGCCGCGTCAGGCGTTGCAGACTTGCTTTTTCGGCTCTTCAAGTGTGCCAAAGGGTCATTCAGTGTATTGTCCACGCCATAGATTCGATCACTAGTAAGGCCTGTTTTTGAGTTGGTGGTGCCTGGTCCTACGCTCACAGAGCCCATAGCCAAAGGACCGGCCGAAACCAAGTGGGTGCCAACATAAGCGCCTCCTCTGCCTCTTCCCCTGCCTCTGGCGCCGCCTCTTCCACGGGTTGGCGGCAAGCGAGAAGGTTCTTCTGTTTTCACTGCTGGCGCATCTTTTTCACGAGCTTCTTTGCTTTTTCTGGCGACGGCCTTGGGTTTGAATTTGAGTGCCGGTTTGGCGCCCGGCTTTTTCGAGTTGAGCGATTCTAACCGGTTGGACATGGATCGGGCCAAAAAACGAGTTTATGTTAGAGAAGGAAGATGAGTGGTGTAGCACACCCGTACACCACACACACAAGAGGACAAGTAAGTTACAAACAACAATGATGGAGTTTTACTTGCAGAATCCTTGAAGTTGAAGTTGCGGTTGTTATTGAAGGATCAGATGCCGTACATGGCCATGTCTTTTATACTTTTTCAAGGCTGTTGCTTCAAAGAGGGACTGGAGCATGGCCTTACCTGCAGTACACACAAAAAAGTATAGAGATGAGATGCTCACAGTAAAAAGATAACCTGCAACGATGGCCAGAACAGAGGATTTGTCGGACAATGAGGTTGACGCCTTTGCCGCCTCGAAAGAGAAAGTTTTGCTCGACGAAGCTGGCGAATATATGAACGGGTCCGATGACTCAGAGGTCGACTCCGAAGAGGAAGTTATGGGACTCAAATATCAGAACCCACAAGACAGCGAAGACGACGACGAAGAAGACGGAAGTGAAGACGACGAGGAAGGCGAAGAAGAAGACGATGATGATGAAGAGAAGGGATGGGGATCGAAAAGAAATTACTATGGTGGCGATGATATTGATGAAGATGATGAAACGGCAAAGGAAATGGCAGAAGAGGCGCTCAGGCAGCAAAAGAAACACTTGCGGGAGCTTGAAATGGACGACTTTGTTGACGAAGAAATGATGGAGGACTGGAAGAAGTCTGCCGAACAGTACGATACCAATGACGTCAAGGCGTCTGTGCCTGTGGTGAGCGAAGAAAACATCGACTTGAGCAGTCTTGATGACGACGAAAAGTTGAAGTACTTGAACGGGTCGTTTCCTGAGTTTGTGCCGTTGTTGAAGGAGTTCAACAGTTTAAGTCCGGTGCTCTCGCAGCTTGAAGCGAAAGCCAATCCTATCGTCAGCGCCAAGTTTACTGCTTTATCGTCGTACATGAGTTCGATTGCGTCCTACTTTTCTCTTTTCGCCGAGAATGTTCGCTCCAACAACCATTTTTCCATGAAATCTCACCCAGTTATGGAGTCGATTCTCAGCGCCAGAGAAGTCTGGAGACAAGCCAAGGAATTGAATTCGACAGAAGAACACGTTGCTGAAGATTCCGAAGCCGAAGCTGAAGCCGAGGATGTGGTGATGAACTCTGAAGATGAGCAAGTTGCGGAATCAGAATCCGAACAGGAACAAATCCAGACAGACTCCGAAGACGAAAGCGAATCAGAAGAAGAGAAGGCTGATGACAGTGACAAAGAGGTCAATATTGACGTCAACGTTAAGCGTACCATTAGAAAGAGACCAGAAAACGTCGTATCTGGAGACTTCACAGAGACCGCTACACCAGACCAAGTTGACAAAGAAGAAAAGGAACGTCGCAAAAAGTCATTGCGTTTCTACACTTCCAAGATCGATCAAGCCGCTAAGAAGGATAGCCGGAACGAAAAATTCACTGGCGATCTCGACTTGCCATACAAGGAAAGACTTTTCGAGAGACAACAAAGGCTCATCGAAGAGGCCAGAAAGAGAGGCTTGGGCATGGATAAGGCTCAATTGGGTGACGATTTGGATGGTCAAGACGTCGCTTCAGACGATGAAAAAGCTGCACAAAAGATCAACGAGGATGCTGGAGAGTACTACGAATCGATCAAACAAGCGAAAATGGAAAAGAAGGATGCTCGTCGTGCAGCTCATGAGAAGGCCAAGAAAGCTGCCAGAGAAGGTAAGTTGGCTGAGTTGCAAGAGAATGTGGACGACGAAGGAAAGAGAGCACTTAATTTCCAGATTCTCAAGAACAAGGGTCTCACACCAAACAGAAGAAACGAGAACAGAAACGCCAGAGTCAAAAAGAGAAAGAAGTACGAACAGGCGAAGAAGAAACTCAAGTCGGTCAGACAAGTTTACGACGAAAGCAACAGAGGTCCGTACGAGGGAGAAAAAACCGGTATCAAGAAGGGTGTTTCTCGTTCTGTCAAGCTTGTTTAGTTTCGTTGAGGCGAGTTTCAGAACAGTTTTTACAATGGGTTTACTATCGTTTGGTACTGAACTTATTCATTGCATGTACATTAATATCACGAATGGAGTTATATATTTACACATCTCGAACCACCTAGCGACTGAAAGTGATGTCGTCAATACGCAAAATGGATTTGACTGTCTCGGCAGCCAACGTAATAGCACTGGTACTGACCAAGACAGGTTGCAAGACGTTTTCTGTAAAGGTGTTTGTAGCACCCGATCTGCGCACAGAGATACCGGCGTTCTTTTCACCCATCTCATGCCTGTTTCTCAAGTCGGTCACGACGTTTATAGGGTTTAATCCGGCGTTTTCAGCCAATGTTGTAGGAATTACTTCCAAAGCTTGCGCAAATTCTTGGTACACAAAATGTTCCACTCCACTTAACTGAGTAGCCTCCTTGATCAAAACACGAGAAGCTTCAACCTCTGGTGCACCGCCTCCAGCAATCATAGCCTTTTCCTTAACCAAGCATCTGATGACGCAAAGGGCATCGTGGATCGATCTTTCAGTCTCATCCAAAACAAGATTGTTGGCGCCTCTTACGACAACAGACACGGTGGGCTTAGTGAATTTCGAGTGGACACCCGTGATCTTGACGATTTTCGAGCCTGATGATTCGAATTCTTCAACCAAATCAGCAGATCCCAATCTGTCCTCAGTAAAGTTTTCAACATCAGCAATTGGCTTACATCCGATAGCCTTTGTTAAAAATTCCACCTCATCTCTTTCGATGTCTTTGATAACCATAATGTTCAATTTGGCCAAGAAGTGCAATGCCAAGTCGTTGACAGCATCTCTCAAAATGGACTTTTGGATCAACAACACATTACACTTTGCCTTTTTGATCTTCTTGCAAATGTTCAACAAGTACGCACGCTCCTCCTTGAGAATCTTGTCCATCTGTCTGTAGTCATTAACAACGACGTTGTTTTCCATGTCTGGCTTTGGAGGGGACAATTGGAATTGGACAAGTCCGATTTTTGCCTTTTCGGTTCTCGTAGGTCCGCCCGCCGACTTCAACACATTTTGTGTCAATACCACGCCATCCACAAGCTCGGTGTCGTCAATTGTACCACCGACTTTCTTGATGAGCCTGATGTCGTTCAAATCCACATTGTCCTGTGCTTCATTCATGACTTTTAAGACAGAATCGACAGACAAAGGTGACAACAACAGCGAATGCTGCGACACAATCTTCGAAGACAAAGATGTGTTTGCCGCTTTGATCAAGATGTCTCTGTCGTCTAACGTGATTTTGTGGGACATGTCCAAATAAACCTGGCAGACACGTGCTGCCGCTCTCTGGAAAGACTCTCCAATCAAGGTTGGATGGATGCCCTTATTCAACAATTTCTCCGCAGCTCCCAACAAGGATCCTGCCAAGATAGCAACACTGGTAGTTCCGTCGCCGGCTTCGATATCTTGGGCAGCACTGACATTGACCAACATTCTGGCGGCAGGGTGCAAAATGGCCATGTGTTTTAGGATTGTAGCACCATCATTGGAGATGATGATCTTGCCGTCCTTTGTCTTGATCATTTTGTCCATTCCTTTGGGGCCCAAAGAGGTTCTGATGGCATCGCTGACAGCTCTGGCGGCAAGAATATTGCTTTTCCTCACTTCTTGAGGTTTCTCCTTGTCTCTGAACGTGGCATTGGAAGGGGCCTGAGTTTGGGTCTGGGCCATTTTGGAAATCTGCGCTTTGGGATATTTGAAAGCTGGTAAACGCTGACTTGGAAACTTCGGACGTCGATTAGTAGCTTTGGTTTTGCCTAGTTGGTTTTTTTCCGTGGCACGTATACAGGATAAGTCACGTGCAACAAACCGGCAAGTCTTAAAGATTTACCACAACCACGATAGAGCAAAAACAACAGTACCTTGATACTAATAGTGTAAGGGTACATAAGTAGACTTTGAGAATAGCACTTTGACAAGTGGCGAAGAATTAGCATATCCATTGTATCAGCGATCTCGGATGTACGGGTGTGTTATATACCCCATCTGATGGCCAAGTTAAATTGGATTCAGATTTCTCCAAAATGACAGTGGCACCGCATGTTTTCCATGAAACAAAATGCACCTGCAGCGACGTAAACTGGTGTTCGTATTCGAAATGGAGCGCCTTTTTCCCAGATTTTTTGCCCAAGGCAAAAGTTCTCAAACCTGTTCCGCAGGCATTTCTAGATTACTTGAACAGCGAGAGTATCAGAATCCCAGCGCCAAAGTACGATGATAAAGTGGTTTCCACCAGTGAAAATGAGTACAGCGACTGGGAAAACGAGTCGGACGACGAAAGTTCCGATCCAGTCGCATCATTCAAAGACTTCCACAACGACTTGGACAAAGTCGTTTCTAAGTGGAAATCGGTCATGGTGAAGCTCAACTGGTCCGCTCCGAAAGATGCCAAGTGGATTTTGATCAACAACAGCTTGCAGTGCACGTCAGTGCAAGATATTTATCTTTTGTTGAATGCTTCAGACCATGCAGCTCATGATTTGGACGGTCATATATATGACGAATGCGAGGATAAGGACACAGGAGAACGGGCAGAGCCCGAGCTCGTGGTTAAGAAGTGGATTTCCGACTTCAATCCAGCACTTGAGTTCCGTATATTTGTGCGGGATAAGATGATTGTGGGAGTTTCGCAGAGAGATTTGAACCATTACGAGTTTCTTGAAAACCTACAGCTGGAGTTGAAGAAAACGATTACTGATTTTCATGCAAATGTTTTGAAGTCGTCCGAGTTTCCTCTTTCTGACTACATCATGGATGTGTATATTCCTAGACCGTACAATAAGGTGACGATTTTGGACATCAATCCGTTTGATCGCAAATGGAATAGTCTCTTGTTTACGTGGCACGAACTTCTTGAAAGATTAGAGGGCACGAACTTCGAGTTGCGTATTATCACCGAAACAAATTTGGGAAGCATGGCCCGCAAAGACCATAGCGAAAACCAGGTTCCCATCGAGGTGGTGGATGCATCATTGAATTCAGAAGCAATGATTGAGTTGGCAAAGAAATGGCACCTGTTGGGTGTGGAAGAAAATGATAATGAGTGATGTGGATGGGACAAAAGGCGAGAAATGCTACGATCAAATGTCCAACGACAGCACGCATGAGTAGAGTAAGTCTCACAAACAATCCACTATTATTTATTATCACAGCGGCATTTCCGAAACGTTCTATTCTTGCTCATTACCACTTCAGCTCGACAATTTCACGAAGAAATACTTAATAGTGGGAACATGAATTTGTCATGCGGGTTGATTTCTGTCCCGATACCGATGCAAAACTTGTTCCTACAGACCCACGATTAATCCACAATATTTTTCACAGTTAATTTGACAATATATCTTACACGAATCATACAATAAATCAGACCATGAAAATATTCATAGGTCTTATCGCAAAGGCCCATAAATTTCGTTACGGCTCCTCAAGGCGTTGTAGACCCGAATCACCAAACAGGAAAGTGTCATCCTGCTGACAATGCAGAAAATACCCGGCGTGCTGTCGACATATTTTTCTAAATTGTTTGTAACACGCATACTCAATGGCGTCTCGTTCAAAACCCTTGTTTACAGCGCCAGTTAGATTTACAAAGGCTGGGAAGAAAAACACAACGAACACTATAATGTCAAAAAAATGCCCAAACTTGGCCAGGGAGGATATTTTGACGTTTCATTCCATGCGCGCATTGTTTTTGACACTATGCAAGTTTGAGGGATACGAAATCCTTATCTTTGACGCAACAGTGCCCCTGTTAGGATATGCGGCATAAACTCAGATAATGGTTTATCATAAAGCGAAGTAAAAAATATCCCTCTGAAAACCCTTATGGTACACTGAAAAACAAACACACGACAACAAATGCTGGGTTTAGATTGCAGAGGCTCTGTAGATCTCATTTCTCCGACACCAATTCCTTCAACATAATACATTCAATGTTCATGCCCTATTGTGGGCGCTAATACTGCTCAGGAGAGCCAATTCCGCTATCTACATGGTCTAGTGTGGCTCATTTTTCCAAACGCCGCACAATGATTCGAACTGGCGCAGGTTTTTACGGCGTTTTGACATGAATTTTTTTTACGACCCCGGTGATTTTCAGATAAGTCCAGATTAGTGCCAATCACGTCTTTGTATAACAAATTTGTAGGTCTGTTTCTTTAATGGAGGCGACATCTTGGATATTGTTTTCTTGCACATAGACAGATAAGAAATGTATGCATTATGCGATAGACACAACGCGGCGTTTCTTATCAGTAGGATAATGTATTCATTTTGGGGTGTCGACAAGCCAAGTCGAAAATGCCTATAAATCCGATAAGCCTCGGCAATGTTTTCCAATTCACAAACTGACCAAAAATGCCCGAAAAAGAGTTGAATTACATTGCAACTAATGAGGTATCCTCAGACAAAGGTGGAATAATCCACGTCAATGTTTTCGAGGAACAAGACAACAAACCGCCCATGGGAAGATGGGAGAACTTTGTAGATGGGTTCCGGCGTGTTGACGAAGCCGAATTGGGCCTAGACCCCAATTTGTCCGAGGCAGAGAAGATCGCCATCATCACTGCCAACTCGCCTTTATCGAGGTCTTTGAAACCAAGGCATTTGCAAATGATTGCCATTGGTGGTGCTATTGGAACAGGTTTATTTCTTGGATCGGGTAAGGTCTTGAGAACAGGTGGTCCCGCGTCCGTAGTGATTGCCTACATCTTGATTGGATGTATGATTTTCAGTACTGTGCATGCTTTGGGAGAGTTGGCGGTGACATTCCCAGTGTCAGGTGCTTTTGTCACTTACACAACCAGATTTATTGATCCATCTTGGGGTTTCGCCATGGCTTGGAACTATGCTTTGGGATGGATTGTTGTGTTCCCGTTGGAATTGGTTGCTGCTTCGATCGCTGTATCATATTGGGATTCAACAACGAATCCGGCCGCATTTGTCGCTGCCTTTTATTTCTTTATTGTCTTTGTCAATTTCTTTGGCGTTAAGGGTTATGGAGAAGCCGAGTTCATCTTCTCAGCCATTAAAGTGACGGCCGTTGTTGGCTTCATTATTTTGGGCATAGTTTTGGTTTGTGGTGGCGGACCTAAGGGTGGCTACATTGGAGGAAAGTACTGGCACCACCCAGGTTCCTTCCACAATGGATTTAAAGGACTCTGTTCTGTTTTTGTTACTGCTGCATTCGCCTTCGGAGGAACAGAGTTGGTTGGTTTGGCTGCGGCAGAAACAGCTAACCCAAGAAAGTCTTTACCTTCGGCCACAAAACAGGTTTTCTGGAGAATTTCCTTGTTTTATGTTGTATCGTTGATTTTGGTCGGCTGTTTGGTTCCTTATAATGATCCTACTTTGGCTAACAGTGACGGAACCGCACGTTATTCTCCTTTTGTCATTGCAATCAAAAACGCTGGTATCAGCGGCTTACCTTCTGTTATGAACGTGGTTATCATGGTTGCTGTCTTGTCTGTTGGAAACTCGTCTGTTTTTGCTTCTTCTAGAACATTAACTGCTTTGGCTGCTGCTGGTCAGGCGCCAAAGTTCTTTGGTTACATCGACAAGAGAGGAAGACCATTATACGGTATCATTACCCAATTACTCTTCGGTTTGATCTGCTTCATTTCTGCTTCTCATAAGCAAGGAATTGCTTTTGATTGGATGTTGGCTCTTTCCGGTTTGTCTTCTCTTTTCACCTGGGGATCGATCTGTTTGTGTCACATTAGATTCAGATATGCCCTCAAGTTCCAGGGTAGAAATACCGATGAACTCGCCTTTACCTCCCAGGTTGGAGTTATTGGCTCGTACTTCGGTCTCATTTTCAACATTTTGGTGCTCATTGCCCAGTTTTGGATTGCAGTTTGGCCTGTTGGAGGAAAACCCAACGCAAACGACTTTTTCCAGTCTTACTTATCTGCGCCTGTTGTTTTGGCTTTCTACTTGGGCCACAAGATCTGGAAAAAGAACTGGAAACTCTACATTAAGGTGGAGGATCTTGACATTGACACGGGTCGCAGAGACTTGGACCTCGATCTTTTGAAGCAAGAACTTGCTGAAGAGAGGGCACATATTGCAAGCTTACCTTTCTATAAAAGAGCCTATCATGTGATGTGTTGAGCGCAACTGAAGGCAGTATTATTGTTCTGTATAAGTTCTACCTAAAATGAAATTCTGTTTTCAATATACATTTAAATGTTCTGAAAAAAACAAATCTCAATAGTAATTTCGATATGGTCTTCGGTGAACAGCAGTAAATTGATTTTTACACCATAACAATATCTTCGATAGAGTATCTCAGAATGTGTCAAATTCTTTTAGTCGTACATAATAGCCATCACGCTATCCCGTTTAGAGAGGTGCGCAAATGCTTACCCCACTATAAACCCAACCTACTACCCCGCCAATCTTTTCTTTCCAACAACATGTCCACGTACCAGCTCGATAAATCCAACGTATGTCATACGACTGAATCAATCTATTCCCAATTACTAACATTAGATTCTCTTCCCCTCATACAGAGGTCGTCTCACTGAAGGAATTACTTATAATCCTTCAAACAACACTCTCTTGTGGGTGGACATTATCCAGGCCCAAGTCCATCGTATTAGACTTGACGACGAGGAAGATTATGGGAAGCACCACGAGGTCATTTCTCTTGACGATCCGAAGGAGAGTGCCGGTGCCCTCTTTCTCACCAAGGATAGCGACATCGTGTTGATTTCTACAAAGTACGGTGTTTGCAAAGGGGCTTTCTCCACTGGAAAAGCGGAGTACATTCTCAAGTACGACCACAATGCAGAAGAACAAAAGAGATTGCGTTCCAATGACGGCATTGTGGACCCATGGGGCCATTTATGGATCGGGGTCATGACAGCTTTCCCCGAGGGAGGTGTTCAGCCTGAAGGTCGGTTGTATCGGGTTGACTGCGGCGATCTCAGCGTCAAAACAATGGTTACGGATACGTATATTTCCAATGGGTTAGCTTTTGACCAAGATGGAAAACACTTGTATTGGACAGACTCTTTGACGTTCACATTGTGGAAATTTGATTACGATCACGAAAGCGCAACATTATCGAACCGCCAAGCATGTCTCGATTACCGCACGCTTTTCCCTGATGTCGAGAGTCCAGAGCCAGATGGATTAGCCATGACTCGAGGTGGCGACATTTACCAGGCCGTCTTTAGCACCTCTCAAGTGGTGCAGGTGTCTACAGATGGAAAGATGCATGCTCGATTCAAGGTGCCTGCAGCACGCGTGTCGTGCGTGTGCGTAGGCGGCAAAGATGACAATGAGTTGTTCATTACTACGGGCCACTTGAAGCTCGATGATCCTTCGGCTGATATCGATGCCAACGACAAGTCCGGCGATCTCGGTGGCTTTCTTTTCCGCTTGAAACTCAATGAGAAGTTGGGAGGTGCCCCAAAAAATGTGTGGGGCGGCCTGATTTAGAAGCAATAAAGCGCTAAAAGCTTAAAGTGCTTGTAATGTTAGTAATTGCGCTTGACGCCAATTGCGGTGTCATGGTGACAGTGCCTTCGTTATTCGTATGATTCAAAATGCAATATGTAGTTACGATCCGTTCTTTTCCATGAGGGAAAGCACACGCTCAACAAACTCCTCCACAAGCTCATTTTCTTCTGACCCTCCCATACGAAGTTCACAGAGCCGCATGTTTGCGATTTCCCGCCTGTTCTCGGCTAATGGTTCATTGGTAAACTGAGAGTCGGAGGCAAGCTTGATAAGCACCCCTAGGTGGACTTGCAATGACTTGTACTTGAGAAGGGATTTTATCACAGGATCGTTGGCAATTTGGGCGAACACGTCCTCTTTCTTGGGTGCCTCGTCGTTTTCATGTGACGACGAAGCAATCTTTTCTGAATTAACTTCAGTGTCCGGCACACCTATCTCCGTATGGGAATGCAAAGGGTTCTTGAAACAGCCGAGAGAACAGTATTCCACTGAGCATTTCGGGCATTTGTATTTGGCCTGAGCCTCTCTACAGATGGAGCACGTTCCAAAAGCCATAGATGGAAATCATAAAGTTTCTGCAGGAATGCGATGAAGGAGTACTTTGAGACATTTTGCATCTCGGACGGTATTGCGACGTTGAAAAATACTTCACGCAATGGCTATTCTTATCGTAGTGGCTTAAAAAGAAAAAAATAAGGTAATGATAGAGAAAAGGCAACTCTTTGCACCTCAGTCAATCCTAGAAAACTACGACCGAGAGGATCCTACAGAGCCGAGAAAAAGATGTTTGGAGCATTGAAATTTGGGGGAGCCCAAGCTAAAAGCATTAGCCACAGAAATATGCACACGACACAAGTTTTTATTCGTCTATCGCATGGAATAATTCACGAGAAGCGGGGACACTGCATCCTACGTAGAGAATGTTGCACAAAGTTACAGTGGCTCCCACATAGTTGAAGAAAACCAGCAATGTAAAGATATATGCTCACTCGCACGAGCCGACCTGTCGGCTAATACTACTTGGAAGAGGTAGCGCAAACGTAATGCGCGTCGACTATTGGCGCGCGGTGGCCAGAATTTTCAACGCGTCTCTTATATGCACTTATTTTATAATATCTCTTGCATATACTCCACTATAAATGCCCTCATGCATGTGAGAGGAAGACGTTTCCATTTCAATAATGAGTAAATGTTAGGGGCAACATAGGCGGACAACCCACCGAAATTTTTTCGTGCACAAGAGCCAGCCTTTTGCACAACCATTTGCTGTGTCGCATTGCAACAAAGTGTGACTATGTGGCCATTTACAGAAGAGCAGCATCAATCTGCACATCGTGCATGACGCATAGCCATACATCCGTTGAGGATTTATGGAATATTTTCGCCCCAGCCTAACACCGAAGGTGGCACTGCGGGTTCCCATTCCCCTAACATCAGCTGGACCTGTACGCATTGCAAGTACGAAACATGGAAGTACGAAGATTGTTACTAAAATTTTGTACTGTAGGCGCATAGTCTTTGAGTACCACCAGTGGTCAGTTCAATGTCAATGCCACTTCGAATTGACGAGGTTTCCCCTTGGCCCAGCCAGATTCCGTAGTCTTGTGGATAGCTCCGATGAGCGCATGACGTTTGCGAAGTGCTTCCCGCAAAACCCCGGCGAGGTGGTTTGCATTTCGGTGTGGGTGCGAAAAAGAAATCTTGAAACACAAGCCTAGAAGGAGTAGGAGAGACAAATGCTAATGCTATTTTTATTACCAGGGGAGCAACTGGATGTGCTCATGCAAAGAAGAAAATGCTATGCTATGTAGATGGAAAGGGGCCTAGTACATGGTGCCAAGACGTCTTCGTTTGCACGGAGGCCTCCAGGCAGAAATCAGCGGCGTAGGCAAAAACGACACGGCGCCTGCATCCATGGACATTGGAGTGGCAGGCGTTGGGCGGTACGACGGATACGTGACATACCGTGGGGTTTGTAAAGGAGCCAAGTCGGGCGGAGCAACGCCATACATCGCCAGCAATGGTGGAGTAGCTAAGAATGATTGCACGACCGGTGTGCAAGGCCGGGCAACAGGCTGCACGTCGCACGACATGATGCCTTCGAACCGGCCAATGTGGCTCTGGTCTAGAGCCTTGAAGCGCTGCCACATGGAAGGTTTGGCCTTTGCATTCACGGCATAGTTCAACGCCGCAAGGAAATGCGACTCGAGCTGGTTCAAAAGTGGGAGCAGCACGTCCATCGGCGAACATTTGCCAAGTACCATATTCCATGTTTTAAGCGTGTAGCTCTGGTCGTTCAGAAACTTGTTGGCCACAATGAGACTGGCAATCATCATGTAGTAGCACGTCGATGCGGAGCCTAAGCAAGTGACGCAGTTGGACTGGTATTTTTCGAGGAGCACTAGAGCCATGGCCATGTTGGATTCCAGAAGCTCCAATGTGGCAATTGCCCGAGCCAACTGGGTGCTTTTGGTAGCGCACGGCGCTGGACACTCAAGTAGGAGAAGTCCGCATTGCACAAATGTATCTATTAGCGACATGGAGTAACGAGAAAAATGCTAAGATTGGGGAACGCAGAGATGCAAAGAGCGTTGGGTGCTGGGAAAAGAAGGTGTCGATCTATGCTGGAAAAAGTGGGTCCGACCACCAGCGGGGGAGCCCAGTTTTAACTCGCCTCTCCAGATAAGGCAGTTGCATGTAGAAGGAACAAAGCTAGTGCAAAGGATGTGATGCAAACCAGAAAAAGTAAAGCTTGCGCCAGAATAGTCCCGCATGCAGCACCAGACATGTCGTGAGTGGACAATGCTGCATAAAGCCCGCACTTTCTTCCCTTCCACTCGAGCCTGCACCACCCAACCACTCGTGATTGCACAATGTCGCATAGGCGTGGCATGCATGCCTCGTGCAGTGCAGCGTCTTGGTTACTAATGCCTCCTGGAGCAAGAAAAAATACAACGGAATTATATTGCCAATGAAAAGAAAAAAAAAAATTTCAGTGGAAGCAAACGTGTCGATGCAAATTTCCAAAGACAGCTCTCTATTGGTTTTCACCGCCGTCGCTTGCAAAGTTATCTGTATCTACTGAATTGCATATTCAGAAACAAAATGTGTTGCTACTTTAACTGGAAGAGTGCGCGGCATATGCAGCGATGCTTTTCGCAGCATTAGTCATGTAGCGAGTGCGCGAAAATATTCCACCATATGCTGTATATCGATGGAAAGCATTATATTCGAGATTACAAGTGTAGTGGCCAGCTTCACTGGAGACCAAGCCAAGAACACCAATTGATGGAATATAGGGACGACGACACGTGACCCCCTTCAAATGCATAGTCATTCCGATATTCTTTGCACTGCTGCAGCAGCATTAACTGAAACAGGTAATGGTGCGCAGCTGCAGGCACCACATTTCACACTTGTCCGCCTACTGCACCTTGTTATTCCATTGTATGACCCGTCACCTCGTAATTGACCCCATATTGGCTTCCGTGTAATGTGATTCCTTGTGTGCGGAATACCATCTAGTCAGATGCAATGCCATGCGTAGGCAAGTAAGAGCCTTGGTTTGAGAAAAGGAGAGAGGGCAATTATGAATTTACAAAAAATCATTCCATTGGGTGCTAGGCTAAGTTTTTTCTTATATGCGGTTGACCAAGCTGTTCCTATTAATTTCAATAAAGGGGTAGGCGAAAAATAAAAGTGAACGGGAGAAAAGAATAAGGTGCTTCCAATTCACCGGTGTTTCTTTTCTTTACAATCCCCGTTCAACAGGATAAGAATGGGCTGTGACCGGAGATGTAGTGCGGAGAAGACGACATTAGAGGATGGAGGTTATGGAAACCTTTGCGAGGGCGACATTTTGCGAGGGTTGCAACGAGGGCGACATTTTGCGAGGATGCCAATGCGACATTTTTTTTTTTTAAAACGGGGCGACATTTTACCATACAACACAGGCCCGGCGGCGCTTGGCCAGATGCTCAGCCACTGCATGTCGCGCACGCCGATCTTACAGACAAGAAATGTCGCGCACTGCTCCTTCCCAGCCTTTTCGACATTAGCTTGATGTCAGCCTGCACCCAACGGCTCACCCACATGTGACACATTTTGCTACTACTGTCCATCTGTGTTCATATTTATCCTATCAGCAGCATATCTTTGCATCAGCCTGGTCGATCGACGCGAAAACACTCTCACACGAGCTCAAGCCCAGATCCGTGCCCGATTCCTCTAATTGATTAAAGCACCCTCAACCATTCCCAATTCCCAAAAATCTTTCCAGCTTCCTTGTGCATCTAAGCACCTTCACATCCATCATCCAGCCGCTTCTCCATGGAACAGCGCGCTAAAAATGAAAAAGAGACGCCTCCTCTTTTCGCCTTGGACCCTCTAGGCCGCGCCTTCCCGCCTCTCGCGCTGCCGCTCCCGCCGCATATGGCTACTTGGACACCTCCAAATCTAGCAGAAGCCCCGCAGGCTGGCGCTCCTGTGGCGCCCGAACCACAACGCAACGGGCGCCTCCGTGTGAACCGCGCATGCAAACGCTGCCGCACGCACAAGATCAAGTGCTCGGGCGTGCTTCCGTGTACGAACTGCACCCGCCATGGCACGGTGTGTGCATTTGGGCGAGAAGAGCCGCCCGCAAAAGTGCGCCGAACGACGTCGCCCGAGCAGGAAAGAGACGACAACGCCGCATACACACGGTACTTGGAGCAGCGTGTGCGGTACTTGGAAAACTTGCAGGCCCAGATGTTGCAGGCGCAAGCAGGCGGCGTGGGCGAAATGGGCCATCGAAACGACAGTAGCAGGCCCTCGGAAAACGTGGAAGACGATCTCGAGCGGCCAGACGTGATGGTGGTGCCGACCGATGTGGCAGGTCTACTGCGGCGGTCGCTGACCAAATGGCGCCTGAACCACCGGTCGCAGCTTGCGCTTGTCAACGTGCTCTGCCGAGACATGTACGACGAGCTTTCGCCCCAGGCGCAAACACAGGTGAGCGTGCCTCGCGTCCAGTATTTTGCCTGGAACATGAGCGGGTGCCACTACCTCCTGCCGCCGCGGTTCCCGCCGCCGCCGGCCTTGGCGATGTCGGCCGAGAGAAAGGCGCACTACGTGGACTATTTCTTCCGGGAAATCAACCCGTTGTATGGCGTGGTGCACGAGACGGTTTTCCGGGAACAGCTTGCGGCCAGCGACGGCGACACCAAGTCCAACTTTGCTGTCCTCTTCAACGCCATGCTCGCCCTCGTGTACGCATTGAGTATCCGGTTCACGGAGTTTTCTGCGGCCACGGGCCCCGACATGGCAATGCTCCGCTTGGAAGAAGACCTTTTCCAGTACGCCCACAGCGTTGTACAGGGCATCCTGTTTGAGTGGGAGCTGTTTGAGCTTATCCAGTGCTGGCTTTTGGTGACGCTTTACTTGCGGGTCACGCACCGACAAACGTCGACATACAATGCGTTGGGCCGTGCTGTCCACATGTGCCGGGCCATGGACTTGGGGCGGCCGGTGGAGGCGGGCATGGCGCCGTACGAGCGGCTCAAGGCGCGGCGCATTTTCGAGTGCGTGTTTTGCATCGACCGCCTCGTGGGCTTTTTGGGCGGCCGCCGCCGCACGTACCCGTTCATGGACATTCTGCGGGCGCCGCCCAAACGAGATTATGCGCTGGCCCGTGACGACTGGCACACGTTGCCCGCGTTCGCCATGGGCCAGATTGCGCGGGCGCTCGACATGGTGCGCCCAGAGGCAGACGACTTTGCGTGCGCGCGCACTCGCGCCATCGACGCCGAGCTCGAGCTGTTGGGCGCGTGGCTCGAGGAAAACGGCTTTGGCGACGACATTGGCAAGACCGACGAGGCCGAATACGTGCTGCCGGCTGTGCGGGCGCAGGTGCGGCTCCATTTCTATGATGTGGTTCTTGCCGTGCACAGCCGCAGCATGTTCGCCCTTCTGGGGCTCCCCATGGGCTATGGCATGCGGCTCGAGGTTGTGCGGGCCGCGGGCGCGGGCATTATTCGCGTGGTGCAGCAGTTGGAGGCCCGCGCGCTCTTGTACATGCCGTGGTACACCACGCTTCTGTTGGTGTTCAGCGCCGCCGTCAACTGCCTCGTGTTCATTCGTGCCAACGTGGCGGTGCGCGAGGCGCGCCAGGTTTTGCGCGGCGCCATGGCGTTGGTCGAGCGCCTCCAGGACTCGCCGGTGCGCGACGCCACGGGCAAGTTGGTTTTCCGCGAGCGCTTCAAAATGGTGCGCGAGTGTCTGTGGGTGCTCAAAATGGCCAATCACATCATGAGTCTTCTTTTTGCCGAGTCTGCCAGCGGCTTGCATGAGTTGGGTATTGACCATGGCCCCGGCGATGTCAACAAGCAGTATTTTGCCCAGTTTGGCCTCGACGGCGCTCCGGCGCAAGATGCGCTCGAAAAACTTGCCCACGACCAGAACCAGCGCGCCCATACTCCTGGTTACGGCGCGGACATTGTAGAGAGTTTGCGCTGGTTCGACCACTGGTTGGATTTCGATGGGGCATGAGGGTCAGGACAATGCGGCTTGGTCACAGAGTCGCTGATTTCTAACAAAGGCACCGCCATTTTGCTTTGAGCTGTTGTGGTCTCGGATCTAATCTTTCTCAATTGATATTTATTGGAAATAGCCTCTGTGGCGTGAATCCAGGGCTCAATACGGATAAACACCAGTAGAAGGAGTTACTGTATTGTTGCCTTGGAAACTTTAGGTTACGAATTCAGGGCTTAATACGGAGAAAACTAGTAGAAGGAGTTACTGTAGTGTCGATTTCGAAACGTTTTTTTGGTTACCTAGCTTCATTGCTCGATGCCTGGAAATGAAAACAAACACTAGCAATTTTATGGCTCATGAAATGACCAGGATGCGCCATAGTCCTTTGGAATTGGACCGTTTGTAATTTGTTAATGCGTGTATGAAAGTATACTAACTGTTAATGAGAAAAGGGCTTTGTCTTACCACATGCTTCGGTAACTATGACTTTCGTAAGATTATTCCGAGAGACTTTTCGCTGCACTTGTCATAGGTAATGGTTAGGAGCCTGATAATGAGCAAACACCATCGACCCAATGGGTTAAATTCTAGAGCAAACAGAATTTTTTACAATAAAAGTGCATTCAATAACCGTCTTCAGATGAGTAACGTATAGGACCTTTGCATTTGCGTCCAACTAGACTGATATTCGTACGTCGTAACCTTTTGTTTCTTTGAGGAATCATTCCATTCGTAGTTTAACCGACACCGATCGAAAGCATCTCTCAAGTGGTATCTGCTCCGGTATCTTATTGGTGTATTGACAAATGAGTACTATACGCAAGGATCGCCATCCGCTTCTAGAATCGGATAAATCCTAGTGGTGAGACTTTTCCATATACCTGACCATCAGGGGCCAGAAAGTGCCTGTTCGCTTCTGATATCCTTGAATGGATACAAATCTCTTCGGCACATCCTTGTATTCTAACTCTCTCAGTTGTGATTCAAACGTTTAGTTGGAGCAGACTTCATAAAATCACAGAAAGCGCTAATCCAACAAACTTAAATAAAAAGAATACCGGATAAATGCACAGAAATCTCAAGATAATTATTGCTGCACTATTATCCGGACATTCGGCAAAACAGGTTGCCGACCCTTTTGTCCAGAATCTGTGTAACAGTAGAATCTGTATCTAGCATCGTGGGGCAGCATCTGCATAATCCCATGTTGTGCCACATAATACATTCTGGTTCTATCGTTAGCGATACCACCCATTACTTTGAGACGATTGGTGCGAGACATTGTCGTTTATCACCCGACATCGAAGGAAGAACAAATTCCACCAGACGTCACCACGTCCAGATTAGGCTGACCTCGCCGAATCTCCGCCTACCACGACTAAATGATGCAATCTCCAGATATCTTGCATATCATGCGTTGTGCCACTTCCCCAGCTTATACGTCGTGCCCCACATTGCCGGTTTCCCCGGGGTCGCAGTATAGCTTAAATTTACACAAACACCTTCTGACAATAAGAGATCTACTGGTTCCAATGAACGGCCATAATCGCTCCGGAATAAGAGATAACTTGTCCCAAAGTGTTTCTACAGTCTCTTTGCCTTCTTTTCTTTTTTTTCACCGGATTTTCTTGTCATTGTCCCGGATACCAGCATGTGCGACTTTCGCGCAAGTCGCTCCACATCAGAGGGGCCACCGGAAAAACTCTTACGTTGGCTGCAGGCAATGCGTCCCCCGTGCAGCGCTCCAGAGCATGCCCCAGAACCAATTCAGGAGGAATCTGGTTATAAAGAACATGTGTGCAGGAGACGCCACCGCCTCTCCCCTTTAAAAAGCAGGACAACCAAATTTTCTGTCTCAGACTCACCTAACAGCCCATTGTAAGCAAGTGCGTTATACCCCACCGGGTGAACAATCGACAGCGGCTGCATGAGGGGCTAAATGCGCTCCAGCGGTTTTTCTTTTTAGAGTTTCCCATGCAGGACTCGTACTTCTTCCACTCAAAGCCACTGCACTTTTGAAAGGTTAGACACTTCTGTAGGTAGAGGGAGCCATATAGATGAACCCAATCCACCTCTGGTGCTTTTTTTCCGAATTTTTGCGCCCGTTGTAGCCCTCCCACCGATGCTGCGGCCGGTTTTGTGTCATCTTGCTCGGAAAATCTTTTCGGGGCGCATGCACTCTGCATGCGTCCACGTATAACCCCCAGTTTCCGGACTACTCTCGCCATTTTCTATCCATCGTTTTTCCCCCCATTTCTCCTTCTCACAACGGAGTAGAGACTCCTTTTCGATATCTTTGCAAAACACATAGTCTGACTGTGTCCTGTTTTACTCCATCTCATATTCACTAACGTCCGGAAGTGTGAAAACGAGCAAATTTCACACCAAGCCCTAACCCAAGAAAACATCGTCTTGGTTCCTCCTTTTGACGGATCTCTCCTTTTTTTCACGTTTTCCATCACTTCGGGCGGACCCCATACCTGAAATAGTGACATCCACGTTTCTCCAGGCTCCCGTTTCCAACACCTTGCACCGCAGGACATAGTTAACATAGTTGACATAGTTGCCTTCCCGTTTCAAGCTTAGTCGGCAGCCATCCTACACTTCCGTCCCCTGTCCCATCCTTTCAATCCCACACTTTTCCGTCACCATGTCCGAAGATAAGCGCAACGATAGACCATACAAGTGCACCATGTGTGACAAGGCGTTCCATCGTCTCGAACACCAAACGCGCCACATCAGAACCCACACGGGCGAAAAGCCCCATCCCTGTACTTTCCCTGGCTGCACAAAGCGGTTTTCCCGTCTGGACGAGCTTACGCGCCACTTGCGGATCCACAACAACCCGGCGTCGCGCAAAAGAGCCGCCAAGTTCCGTTCCGACGACCCAGAGGCATACCCTGTACTCGTGGACGCACACGGCATGCCTGTTATTCCGGTTGCCTTTGACGGCAACACGCGGTACTACCCGCTGCATCCGTACCCAGTTTACGTGGTGAATGGCGGGCCAATGGCGCCTGTGGCCGTGCCTGTGATGGGCGACCGCAGGGTTTTCCCCGTTTCGCTGTCGCCGCCCGGCCCGCCGCAAGGCATGGGTGCGCGGGAGCCGCCATTTGCAGAGTTCCGGGGCGAGCCTGTCTTCATTGCAGGCGAACCCATGCGCACAGCTTCGGGCGAGCAAGTGTTCCGCCCCGGCGAGCAGGTGTTCCGCCCTGAACTGGTGATGCGTCCAGGCGACCAATATCCACGCGAGCAAATCCCACGCGAACAATACCGAGAAGCGTTTGTGCGCAACGAGCCTTCGCGCATGGCGCTCGCCAAGTCCGCCAGTCTGGCGTCTCTCGCCCTGGGCTCGTCGTCGTCTGGCTCGCTCAGCACGTCGCCCAAACCTCCCATGGCCAACGAGTATGTTCTCCGCCGCGCACACGCATCCCAACTCGTCTTTGCCAAGTCTAAAAGGCAGCGCTTCTGCCGGAAGCTTACCGCAGCTTGGCTCGTTGTCGCTGCTCCAGCGCATGACGCCGCTCAAGTCGCCTGTGGCTGCGCTTCCAACGCAGCGGTCGCTGACGCTGCTTAATCTTGAATTTGCGCCGCCGGCGAAAAAATCGCGGCCCAACTCGCCTGCGCTCGGCGCCGCAGTGCTTCACACCCCGAGCGCGGAGCGCATGGCGCCTCCGCTCGACCGCCTTAGCGCGCCCGACCTGCTGGCGCGCGGGAAGCCGCCCTTCACAATCTCCCCGAACGACACGCCGCTCCAAACGCCTAGCCAATCGCCGCCCCTCGCGCCCGTGGCCACGGTTCAGCCGCCGTTCAACTCGGGCCATTTGTTCAGCAAACTAGAGCAGCAGGTGCAGCGCGACGACAGCATCGCCATCAACGGGACGATGTTGCCGCCCATCCGCTCGGTGTTCAATTTGCCCGAGCCCCAGGCGCTGCGCAACTAGGTATTTATTGGGTAGGAATAATATGGACCATGAGGTAACGTGGGCGGAAAACTGTATCCTGGCCGTTCGTAGGTGGTACTAGTTTGTTTTAATAGACTTTAATGAATCACTAATGCTATGGTGCAGTAGAATGTCTTTGCTACAGGGACTACAAAGAAGGAAGTATACAGAAAAAAAGAAGAGATAATTGGTTGGACTGTCGCCATCGATCAACTAAGCTTCTTCGTTATGTGTTTCTTTAGTAAGGCCCTGTGCTCATAACAAATGTCTCATTTGCCTAAAGAAGAGGTTAAGCCATTCAATCAAGGCAATTCTGCAATAAATATGCGAAGACCATAGAGGAGAAGAGCATGATTTCCAAACACTATCTCGTTTCGTACCCACGAATGGGTTTGAATTCACTCGTAACATTACTTTTTCGATAGGTCTGCACGAAAGCCTCGAACGGTTGTGCTTATTATTGACCGAAACTGCACTCCGAATGGACATTCACACTCTTATTACATAGTGCCATTCGTTAGAAAATCACCATTTAAGATGTATTGGTTGAAGTACTTCAACTTCAGCCTCTTATAGTCCCAGCTCACTTTTTGTAGTTGTGCTCATTTTCATATACTGAGCCCTCGAGCGGAGCCTGAAAAGATGGACTAGAAGCACAATTTGTCCACTGAAGAATAATTGCTCCTTTCCACAATTAATTGCAGTAAGAATTAATTGCAGTCTACTACAAGGCATTCAAATCAACGGAAATGCTTTCATCGAAGATGCCGTCTTCGCGGTTGGGCCTATTAGGAAAGGCTAACGCTATTCTTTAGATTTCTCGGAAGCTTATTCTCAAGCCATATCCATTAATCGTCTCATACATGGGGCCATAAATTCTGTGGTGTACCTATAATTAGCAAGAGGCCATGTCTATCTCTTGTGTTCTGCGGATATCTGGCGTTACGTTAAACTTATCCGCATGCCACTTTCTACATCTTTCCGTCTGGGGCTTATGACACATGGCCACATTCCTTTCGGCTTTTCTTTTTCCGCTTCACGCGTTTTCGTACTTTTCTTGCCGGGCGAATGCAATATCGCCGACTTTTTTTTCTCAGTGTCATTGGCCAATGACCTCGGACACAATGACTCGATCCCGCTCTTGGAATCGCCACCTTCCCCTCCTTGGACCCACTTCGGCTCTTCTGGATATATGACGTCCTGCACATAAACCCAGATGATCTGCCACGCTCATGATGTGTTCTTACTAAATTGCTGTTTGCGGATTGCATATAACGGTTTTTCACTCAGCCCGAGGCGCTCGAAATCCACCTTATTTGTATGCAGGCTCGTGTCCACAGCCGGCTGGTTCAGTATTTGGGAGACAAGTGAATGGCCAAACGTAGACCGTAAAGCGTAGCGAGGCTAGAAAGCACTGAAATGCAGTCATACTGCCCTTTCCCAGCCAAAAAGAACGGTTTTTCCCGGCGAAATATTGCCCTTCCAAGACTAATTCAATTTTGTGTGCAGGCACGCAAATTTTTTTTTTTTCCTCCTGAGCCTACTAGTTAAGAGGCGAGCCTTTTCCTGGTGTTTTTTCTCTTCTTCTTCACCAATCTGCATCCCTTCTATCTTTCTTGGAGTTTGCTGGTTTATCGTCTTTTCTCATCTAAAGTCAGATTCAAACCTCCTTCTCCGTTTGGGTTTTGCCTGCTTCAGAATTGTATCCACTTTCTGAGCTCCAAAACTTCCAAAGGAAAGTTTTCCAAAAAATCTTCCCAGGTCAGTCAGGATCGAGCTTTTCACTAAGTCCTTCGTCCTTTGTCTGATCCAGCTCTTTTCTCTGGTTTAGCGTCGTTTCAGCTCTTTTGCTAGTGCTGTTAGCCGCCAGATAGTTTCCGCATCCCCGGAAAGAGAGTCTTTTGAAGAAATTCCAAAACACACAAAAAACAGATCGCTTACAGCATCTGCAGTGGCAAGTTCAGGCTTCTTTTCTTTTCCTTTGCAAAATGTACCTGTCTTACTACCCTATTGGTACTGCTGGCCACCGGGCTTCGTCTCTGTTTAGTTACGCGCCTTATGCCAGCTACGGCAATGCCCCTTACGTGCAAAACAGCGCTATGGCAAACTCGCTTGCTCCTCCTTTCCACAAGCCTTCCGTTTACAGCCGGCCACAGGCGCCTGTGCCTCAGCCGGCCCCTGAACAGGTGAATGGTGGGATCAATGCTGTTCTCGAGTACGACACGCAAAACATGTCTGCTTTCCTTTGCTGGTGTGCTTTTGGCATGTTAGGCCAGACGAGAAACCCATCCAAGGAGTTTGAGAATGTGGTTGTGTCGATTTTGCACGCCACGCGTTTGCCCAAGTCTACTCTTATCATTGCGTTGGAGTACTTGAATCAGCGGTTTTCCAACAGCCCCAGCGGGCCCATGTCCGAGCTGGACATTTTCTTGAAGGTTGTCATTGCGTTGGTATTGGCCAACAAGTTCAACGACGACAATACCTTCACCAACAGATCGTGGTCTGGTGCCACGGGCTTGAAAATCGAGCAAATTAACGCCGAAGAGCGTCTGTGGTTGCAGGCGGTCAGCTGGCAGTTGAATGTTGTTCACTTCCAGCCCAACATCCACACCTTGGAAGAATGCTGGAGAACGTGGATGGAGAAATTTGCGTGCGCTCCTGTGTCGCCTCCTGTCTCCACACCTCCAAGCTATTCTGCTTCCGTTTCGCCTTCCCAGGCTTATAACTATTCGTCTGTGCCCTCGTCGCCCGCTTACGATGTGGCCAACGAATCTTCACCAATCAACTTTACTTATGACTGGTCTGCGCCCCGCAATTACATGGCGCAACCGATCCAATACAATGTGCGTGCAAACCCATATGTGCCTGTCCAACAGTCCATCTGGTCGTACACGCCGAACCAGTATCAATACGTGCCCCAGGTTAGCGAGCAGAACTACTATGGATATGCCAATCCGTACTACAACTGCAGTGTGGCCACGTGTTGAAACACCTTCCAAAAAAATATATATAAACTTGTCTTTTGTTCTCTTGTGTTTTCATTGTTGCAAATGTTGTGGCTAATTGCATCGTTCACCACGCTGCGGCGTGTTCTGGTATTGAATATTAATTATGATGGGTTAGCAATTGTTCGGGATTTCTTCTGTCTGCCCCTTGGCAGACTCTAATAATATAATTCTGTGAATAATGAATGTAGTTTTAGGCAAAGTCTATGGAGAAGCAAACTACATAATTTTTTCCGTTTGAAGAACAGAGCAATCAACGAATTAATCTCAGAGATGTCACATTATAATGAATTTTTTCTTCTGCTTTCTTCATGTAGACTTTATTAGCCATATATGTTATGACCACAATTGCCGACGGCGTATGTCAATTGATTACTACATGAAAAGTCGCTTCTTTCTTATCTCTATTCTTCGTACTCAATGACGTATTTTTACACGTCTTGCTTGATACAAAATGGAGTTCGTTCATTGTATCCTATTTCTATGCCGCAGGCTCATCCTTGGCCTCGAACTCTCCATCGTCTTCCTCTTCCTCATCGGGAATTTCCTCAGCAGCTTTTTTGAAATCAATAACTTTTCCTCTGGTTCTTCTGCCGCCAGAGATGATGTTGGACTCATCAATCTCCAACAAATCCTCCTCTTCGTCGTCCAAATTTTCCTCCTCAGCCTCCTCCTTTTCATCTCCGTCATCGGACTCAGGTTCCTCTTTTGGCGCATCGTCGTACTGGCGTCTTCTTCTCTTCTTTTTAGGCTTGTCCGATTCTTCTGGCGCCCGTTTCTTGTCCGAGTCTACGTCCTCAGAAACTTTTGGAGACGCTTCGGATTCCGCTTCAGCAGCTTTGGCACCATTGGCAGCATTGGCAGCATTGTCTGTCTCTGGAACATCAGCAACTTTCTCCTCTGGCTTAGCATCCACAGGCTTTTTCTCTGTTTCGGTGTCGGACATTTTGGTCAAGAGATTGCTAGTGCTTCTTCCATATACGGCGCGCGCTTTGCTATATAATATATATGGTTTGGGTTCCGCGACGGGCGATATGGTGCACACACGTCTCTTGTCTTCACAGACTCACAAAGCATCGCCGTAACATTCGCTTTCCAACAATGTCGGCTCCAGTCAGTGTGACGAAAAAAACGAAAATGGCGGATCTCATAAACTTCCGTCTTCAGATCTCCACTTTGGACGGCCGCTCGTTTACGGGCCAGCTCTTGGCTTTTGACAAGCACATGAACTTGGTTCTAGCAGACACGGAAGAGGCCCGCACGACAAAAAAATCGTATCAAGAACTTGCCAAGGCCAAAGTTGGCAGCCAGGTGAAGGTGAATGAGGACAAGCGGTTTCTTGGGCTTATTATTCTTCGTGGCGAACAGGTTGTCAGTGTGGTGATCAAAAGCGGCCCAACTGCAGACATAAAAAAGAGAATGTCCCAGTTGAAACAGTCACGACCCGTGAAGACGCCCGTGAGCCAGAAGGAAAAGCTCAAGGGGCCTGCAAAGGCGCGTTGAACAAGAGATTAGAAACTTAAAGAGACTGTGTCTTTTCAGACTTGGATGGACTTTGCTTAAGAGACTATAGCCAACTGAGGTCTGCAGCTTTGACCAATGAGTCAGCTTGAGCCAAAATTCATCATTTTTGCAAGCGTCTTGACGCCTCTGGCTCGGTTCTTCTGGACTTGTGCTTGAATCTGCATGGCCAGCCTGAATAACCGATATCGAACTGCCAATCTTTTTCATGGCGTTGAAAGGCAGACTCATAAATGGTGTTGTGGTTCATCTAGAATACCGAGTTGCACCTAAGATGAAAAAAAGCTAAAACTTTTATTGCGATGGTCTGCCTAACTTGCATAGCTTCAGTATCCATATGTTACACAGTTCAGTTTGATGACATCAAGCTGACGTTGTACTAGGATATGTGAATGAGACATTGCTGAGATTACTTTTTGCAATTTTGTGCCTATATGTGGCCAACCATACTGGCTTAAGGCACTTCCAAGTATCACATATCAATATAATATCAAACAAGACACTTATTTTGTATGAGACCTCAAAGCTTTTAACGGTGCACTGTATCTGTATTTTAAGTATTGGTCTTTGGGCCACAGAACCCCTTCGTATTATCTATCTTTTGTACATGAACGCATTTTTCCAAAGCCCGTCAGATTGGACAGTTCTACTCTCCGCATCTTTCATGGAAGTAATTTAGCATTCATAGTTGGCGGTTTTGAACGTTGCAGCATATATTAGCAACACACATCACATTATAATACCATGGTCGTCCTGTAAGTGTATTAATAATAAACATTCAAGCGATTTACACAACTGACTCTATGAGTCTACCCACCTTACCGCAATGGTGGTGGCAGTCCATCTGAGTGTACATTCAGCAGAGCACAAGCTATCTGAACTTTCCGTAGACATCTCTCAAAGCATTACGGAACACTTCTCAGCACCATCACACATCGGCAGTACAACATCGCAATCGACATCCAAAACAACTCGTCTTCAACAAATCAATGACGTGGCCACTCCACTACTGCACAACAGCGTAAATCATGTCAGCATTACCTTCATCACAGTTTAGTCATGATTTCAACCATTCTGAAATGGTTTTCTCTTAACAACAGTTGGAGTTCTTTCCGCTGCGCTTTTCCTGTGGCGCCGGAGTTAATGAAATAGTAGGTCCACCAGAAGGCTTGGAGGAGCCAACAGTGTCGTTCGTGTCCAACTGGTGTTTGCTGATCATCTCGTAAATGTTCTTCAACAACTGGTGGAAGGACAAGTCGACATTGTCCGAAGACAAGGCCGAAGCTTCTGTAAACAACAAGTTGTTTTCCGTAGCAAAGCTCTTGGCCTCTTCCGTAGGAACAGCTCTCAAGTGGTCCAAGTCCGACTTGTTTCCAACCAATTCAATCACAATGTTGGCATCCGCATGTTCTCTCAACTCCTTTAACCATCTCGACACGGACTCGTAAGACTCTGTTTTGGAGATGTCATAAACAATTAATGCGCCCACAGCACCACGGTAGTATGCCGACGTGATTGCACGATATCTTTCTTGGCCCGCCGTGTCCCAAATCTGGGCCTTGACTCTTTTCCCATCGATTTCCAACGTTCTCGTGGCAAACTCAACGCCAATAGTGGAGCGGGACTCCAAGTTGAACTCGTCTCTGGTGAAACGCGACAAAAGATTCGATTTGCCGACGCCCGAATCTCCAATCAAGACGATCTTGTACAAGTATTCGTAATCGTAGGAGTAGTCGTCGGTGTTTTCGCTCATTGTAGTTGTGAAACTTTGTATCTTATAAAGATGTGTCTGAGGACTCGACTCAAAATATGCGGAAAGACGCTTCGGGTTCAGAAGATTTAAACGGCAGAAACTCCAAAGGACAAATCCACTATCAGAAGATGAAACAGGAAGTGGGAGCCAAATCAAAATGCGGTCGTGAACAAACACCTGTGCACCCACGTCCAGCCGCGAAAAAAAAAAAAAAAGAGCCTGCCGTCTGGTAGTCAGAGTGCCATTCAAGCAATTATGTTGGCGGAAATTGAAGGATGGGTATATGTAAGTTTAAAATAGAGCTATTATTACAGAATATGTTGAAGTTTGCCTTCTTTTTTTTTTTCTAGTATTGGATCGAAAGACTGCGGCAGATTGGTGGCAGGGCTTGCTTGCTAAAAGGACTGAACAAAATCCTTTCTAAAAAAAGTAGACTTCTCCGGGCCCTTCCAATGTATTGTTGCTCATGGATAATTTCTACTGTCTACGAATCTACTCTTTCTGGAGAAATCACTATGATGATGAGTAAGAAAGTGACACGTTTCAACCAGAAGAGTAGAAAGGAAGTACGCGAATAGGCAATGGAGGTTGAAAAATGTCAGAGCAATTAGGAATAGAGCCACTCTCACAACTTGACTTTTGTGTCGAACGAAAAGTCTTAGATACTTGTCTCAGACTCATAGTGTTTACTTGTAGTGCAACTACAAACAAAGATATTGCTCTACTTTGCAAGAAAAGGGCCATACCAAGTATTCTGACCTGGTCCTGCAATATATTACTTCTAGTAGTTACAGATCAGTCATTCAACCTTATTACAGAAGTCCTTCAACAACCAAGTAATCCTTTTTGGAACTCTTAATAATCCCAACGACTTTCTACCCAGGGAATCTTTCACGAAATACGTTGTTACATAGTCAATCCCCAATAATGCCATCTCTTGCTAGTTAGCTACGTATTGGACAGTGGATGAAATCTCGCTTGAAGGGTTTTTTGATGCATTGAAGCATATACTAACGCATTTAAGGTACCGAACATTAAATTGGGTACATATTCATTTCTTTTGACACATCACATGCCACCCAATGAGATACAAGTGCTGTTAATAACCGTGTTTATTATGGTACATTACTCGCGGCCTCTTCTGCTGTCCTCACGAGCCGCTTTTCTTTCCAACTCATCCCAATCGTCACCTTCGCTTTCCTCGTCACTGCCGCTTCCTTCTGAGCCGTCAGAAGAGTAATCATCTTCCTCGCTCTCTTCCTCACTGGCAACTTCCTCATCTGAAGGATCGTCATCACTAGCCTCGAACTCAGACTCTTCTTCTTCTGACTCTTCTTCGTCACTATCACCTTCACCGGTCAAACCGCGCCAACCACCGTCGGCGAAGAAGGAATATGGATCCGATAAGATAGTTTTCATAAGCGCACCCCAGTTCAAGTTCATCTGGCCCTCACTGAAAGGAATATCCACATTGGTCAACCAGTTCTTGATGTCCTCTAACAACTCCATTGGGATGGTGTTAATGTGCACAACGGGTTTGTGAAAGTCTTTGAAAACAAATACTAAATCAAAGTTCTTCAAGCCGAATTGCACACGTTCCAAGTGAGCAATCTCAATTTCTTCCAATGTCACAACCAAGTATGGTGGGTCAATCAACGAAATCAAGCAATCTCTTGTTGGCATACAGAACACTGCAGAACGGAAGGGGACACCTTGGAAACCCAACTCACGGAACGGAATGTCCAAGTCGATCAATCCTTTGGAAGCGTCGCTGATCTGCTCGGCAAATGTTTTGAATTCCTTGTCCAACATGGCCTTACGCTTTCTTTCCTCTTGCTCTTGTTGCAACTCATCTTCATCGCCATATCTATAACGTCTTTTCCGTCCTCCAGTCTCATCAAATGCCATATCACTTGCTTCACGGTAGAACTGGACATCTAGCGTTTTTCTTTTGCCGATCATAATTGGACTCTTTAAATGGCAATGGATAATAACAATCAATTCCTCCTTACAAGGTTGGAAGAACAAATGCTTGATGTTGGAAAACAAAATGTCAATGCGCTGGTCAGCCCGGAATGATGATTGGTATCTCAAACCATTTTCGTGGATTTGTAAAACACCGCCAATCTTTTTAGTGTCTGGAGTAGGTCTGACGAACACCTGCTCCAATTTCTTGACTCTGGAACCTTTCAATTCAATCAAATTGCCTTGTGTCACGACATCTGCGAGTTGTTTCTTTTCAGCCTCTCTTTTAACACTATCCTTCTTCAAATCTTGAATAGCTTTAAATACATCGACCATTCTTTGGCGATCTTTTGAACGGAAAGTGATGGATCTCACAAATTGGTCTTCAGGATTGTCCTCGTATGGTAACTCAGTTCTTTTAGAAATGTTTCCACCAGCACCAGGCGAGTTGAAGTTCAATCTCAAATAAGTGTAGTCACCTTCTTCGTTCTGTGACCCGTTCTTGAATGAGTTAATGTGAAATGGAACAGGTCTTCCACAAATGGGTAAGATGATGGTGTGACTCTTGTAATCGATATGGATTTTCAAATCACGAACATTGCTCGGAATTTGGGATTCTCTGACATATGATTCGTATCTCTTGAAAACAGGTCTGAAATCAGATGCATCAGTAGCATCAGCTTGCGAGAATCTAGCCAAGCCTTCTTGTTGTCTTTTCTCGTGCAACTTTCTCTGAATTTCTTGTCTGACTTTTTCGGCATTCACGTCATCTGCTGCTGCATTTTCGTGTCTCAACTTGGACTTCAAGATTTTGGAGTTGGCTTCATTGACAGCCAATTTCTTTTCGGTGGTGATATCCTTTTCAGTTTTCAATTTACGGTCTCCATTTTCTTTCTTTACAGCGTTTCCGTCTTCTTTAAAGTAGAAGGTCACCTCTCTTCTATTCTTTTGGAAGTTTGTCAAAAGGTATGCTTCGCCTTCGCTGACTTTGTAAGTGTCCGTAATGAGCAAAGCGTAATTTTTCAATTTAGGATTCGTGGCACTGGCGTTGGTCAAATTGTTAAAACCGATCGTCAATGAAAACACTTGACCATTGATCAACTCTCTCTCATTTTTGCCGTTCAAAACCAAAGTTGAGTCTCTGAATTCAAGACCTGTAAGCCAGCCGGCGTTCTTGGTGAAATTGTCCACCAATTCGGGTTTCTTTGACTTAAGAAACTCGATCGCTCCGGTGTATACATCCTTTGCCACCGCACCACTCTTCAACAAGTTTTTAGCAATGTGCTCTTGCAACTCCAACAAGATATCGTAATTGGATTCCATCTCTGGATTGGGATCAATCAAAAAGGTCCGGCCCACATTTGAACAGTAGTTTTTGTAACGCAACCCCAATGAGGCAATAATAGCACCATCTCCAACAAAAGATTTTTCCAGCGACAATGCGCTTGGCTTCAAATCATATTCGCCACCACTTTGCACGATAGGCGAATAGCACCAGTCGATTTGCTCGGGATCAAAGTCTTTGTTGGACAGTAACAACTTCTTGCCCAAGCCTGTCTTGGTGAACCACTTATTGGAATCGATTTTCTTGTCGAGCTTTTCGGAAATATCAACATTGGTTGTTTTCACTTCTTCATCAACAAGAACCATCATATCATTGGTGAAAGACTCCATCATCACCACAGACGCTTTCGCGGCCATTTGAATACAGCCGAACTCCTCTGAATCCTTCAACTCGACGCTTTTCGAGAGGAAAAGTGCCGCGTCTTCGAATTCCAAGTTCGCAGGGCCTGAGATTTCTTTCCACTCATCAATAAACTTTCCCTTGAAAGAATCCTTGACGATGGTTCCGATTTTGGATTTGCCTTCGACAGGGGTGGGGGCCTTCAACTCGTCAACCAACTTCTCAAACAACTTTTTGTTGTGGTCAACATCCTTAGTTCTGGTCCAAATCTCCACTTTGCTGGAATTTGCAGTTGGAGGCGAGGTCAAATGAGCCAAGTGCTTGGCTTTTCCCTCTGAAGTGATAATCACACATTTGTCTTGATTAATGAAAATGGCTGTGTGGGCAAACTCGTATCCAAGGAGCCAGAGTTGCAATACGGTGGATTTTTTGTAAGTTGCCTCGTCATCACGAGCACCCGCCAAAAACAAAAGACTGGAGAAGTCGTATTTGTCGGCAACCAAGTTTTTTTGGATGATCGACAACCGCTTGTGAAATGCGGACGCGTCAATGACAACTTCCGACATTTTGGGGTTAGATTAGCGTAGACAAGAAGCTTGAATGTAGAAAAGATTGAACACCGGGCGCTGGTGCACGGGTGTAATGGGACCAAGGACGCGACATTAATTCATGCTTGAGGCTGCGACAATGGACCTAGGAGCAAATGATATTATATGACGGTCCGAAGGGAGATAGCTTTGAAAACCAAGCGATGTTTTGTTTCTCTTTGCTTACTTGACTACGTTTAGGTTACCGACTTGCCGTCATGAGCGTCGTTAATTGGCTGGAGAATTGTCCTATTTGTATCAGTTTCCTAATGGAGAAACGAGTGTGCTACCAGTGATTCAAAATGTAATCATGCCATCTGTTTTGCAATGTGTTTCTTTTAATTTCTTCTTTCGAAGCACAATATAAGCACAATATATCTATATTATGTACAGTCGATCCTCCTCATAGCCCTTAGGTTTTGTATGCATATAGACTTTTACGCTTACAAGTGTTTGGCTTTATATTAGGTAAAGGACACTTTTGTGTTGATTTTATCATACTCCTTTGTCGCTATTGAATCAGAAAATAGAAGAAAAAAGTAAATTGCCTTGCTGGACATTTAGACGATTATATGGAACATGGGTCACATGTATTCTCGCAGAGAGGAGAAACAGCTGTAGCAGCTACATGATAGTTTTAAATTTAATATAAAGGTATTTGTATGAGGAGTTAATAATTCTGTAATATCATAATCTGCAAAGCCTCCCTTTGTCTTGATTTCACCTCCATTAGCATTTTTTCCAAAGGTTTTACATCTGTTTGAATATGCTAGCTCATGTTAAGCTAGAATAGTCTCTTCTAAAAAAGCTACAGAATATTTCCCGAAACTAGCAGCTCAGGAAGTTCCAATCTTCCTTTTCTTCCTCTAAGCGAGAATCTGGTTCATCTTTAACACTCAGAATGCAATTGATTAAGCAAACACCGGGGTGTAATCGCATCGTATCCAAAAGGTGGAAGATGGTGCTTTCTTAACTTTTGAATTTCCGTAGCATTGGACTAGTTTTGAGGACTGAATTCATTTCAATCGCACATCAAATCACCTGATGACTCGCAGGAGTACATTTATACTTATTTCGTACTTTAGTGGTACTGCTCATTATTATTCTTTTCCTTCAGTAAGCATCGCTGAATGGTGAGAAAGAATACTAAATAACCAATTTACCGCTCGGAAGAACCAAATACATAGCTTCGAATATGATTCCTTAAATAACAAATTGCATTTAAATATGAGATCACCATGTTAAGTATTTCTCGACCAAAAGCCACTAGTGCCATTAATGAAAAGTACAATCGGTTTAGTCGCACATGTGCATATTTGCAATATTTCGGAGCAAATCGCAAGTACCTACAATACACAAAAATATGTGCTAACTTTCCATTTTCCACTCATCTCAACAAACTCTTCATCCGTTCTACATTTTCCCTTGCCCCTTCCCATACTTCTTAGCCATAGGGGTTTCTTCCTTTCCCACAACTGCCTTCATTAATAATGTCCTGCATACAGCACACTACGCGTCTTCAACAACACAATGTCGCGTTACTCAACTACACTCATCTTCATGTTCCGCCAAACAAAACGCCGTGTTGCTGGAAGAAGGCATTTTGAAAATGTCGCGGCCTATGCCGAGTCTGCTGTGTACCCCTCTCGACTCTCCTTTTACGACACGCCGCCCTTGCAGGAAATCACGTTGGAGCAGTTTGAAACTTGGGCCATCGATCGTCTTCGGGTCTTGATTGAAATCGAATCGTGTCTTGCGCGCGGCAAATCCGTGCGTGACATGGAGGGCATCGTCCGTCCGCTTTTGCTCAAGCATTTACCCTCCTCTGACGTTGACGAGCGCCGGAAAGACCATTACTCACACTATACTTTGCGGCTTGTCTTTTGCCGCACAGACGAGCTTCGGCGGCGCTTTGTCCGGGCGGAAACGGCCTTGTTTCGCCTCCGCTACAACATGCTCCAGCCCAAAGAACAGCACGAGTTTGTGCGGCTCAATGCCGACAAGTTGCACTGGGAATATATTCTGGCGGAGGAAAAGAGCGCGCTCGCAGAAGCACTTTACAGCGCGCTGGGCGCCGCCGTGCGCGCACTTTTGGCAGATTCGGGCGAGCCGCCCCTTCTGGCCGAGCATCTTCGCGCGCACATGCGCGCCGAGTCCTACATTCGCTTGCCGTTTGAGAAAGTGGGCGCGCTCGTCGCCCTGCGGCTGGTGTACGTTTCGCGCGGCCGCGCCTATGTCCCCGCGGCACTTCAACTGAGCTTGCTTGCAGCAGAGTTTTCGTCGCTGTTGTCCAATGCGCTCATGAAAACGTTCCAGGCGCTTCCGCGGCTTGAGGAAGACGACCGGGTTTTGCCGTTGCTCAGCAACTTGTCTCGCTCTTTTGCCAGTGTCCAGTACGATGCCACGGAAACTGAAGGGCTCTCTGCGGCCCAAGTGACACTGCCAGACGTGACACAGCACTATCCCCTCTGTGCATCGCATTTGCAAAGCACCTTGGTGGCACAGTCGCACTTGAAATACATCGGCCGTCAGCAGCTTGGTCTCTTCTTGAAAGGCGCTGGCCTTGGCGTCGATGAAGCGCTTCGGTTCTGGGCAGGCCAATTCACGAAACTGGGGACCATCAACCAGGACACTTTTAACAAGGAATACCGCTACAACATCCGTCACATGTACGGCTTGGAAGGTGGCCGCATCAATTATAAGCCATGGGACTGCAACACGATTTTGCTGAAACCCAAACCGCTGCGTGGAGAAGCCCACGGATGTCCTTACCGTGACTTTTCTCCAGACGCATTGGCAGAGCGTGTTGCATCCATGGGTGTTGCCCAACACGACGTCCAAGGCGTTCTAGACCATGTGGCCCGTCACGAATATACTGTGGCATGCACACGTGTCTTTGAGCTCACCCACAAAGTTGACGAAAACCTCCACATCACACATCCAAACTTATACTTTGACAGGTCGAGGCAGTTGAGCAAGAAGGAGGCACGGACGTAGCTCCAATTGGTTTATCAGTGGGTATTTAATGTATGTGTACTTCGGTTTGAGAGGTCGTTCCAGCGTAGACATGTACCATCAAGTTTAGAGTTATTTATGGTTGGCGGTGTTTAATAATTACAATGTCACATTTTGTATATATGGAACACTTTTGACAAGCGTCGTGAATGAAGATCCGAGAAATGCCTTATGATAATTAAATCCACAAGAAGCAGTCTACTTGATCGAGCTACGAGAACATTGTCAATTTGTTTATCTTGAGCTAGGCCATTATACTTTTCTTTTCTCATGAAGATACGTCTTTTCTAAGAGGACTTTAGACAAACTCTATACCTGACTTCTAATAAATAATCACATTTAGCTCTGAACCCCAAGCAATTTGAGCTCTTTCTTTCCCTGAATATGTATGGTGTTTCAACTTCTGCTCCATAAATATTGTCCATTTAATTCAACTCAAGCGAACGCCACATGTCACGGAATCCCCACCAGGAGGCACCGCTGCCACATAAACCGACCCAAAACGGGGATAAGCATCCATCATACAAAGACCAATGCACGACCAAAGGAAGTTGGATCACCTGCTTAAACAAATTGATGCGCCAAGCAGAATTCCATTTTGCCCGTGGAGTTCGCCGCAAGAGCTCAAGTATTTCAATTACAAGATAAGCTCCCCAAACACGCGAGCTCCATATGTACGCTTCGATACACCACCAGGTGTTGTCGCTGGTTCCGATCCAGTTGTGGTCTGTTAACCAGCCCAAGTTTTCCAAAAGCTCAAGCACGAGGCAGTTGAGGGCCTGGATCAAATTGATGAGTCTGTCTGATTTGGGAACCGGCAGTGGGCCGACCAAGGCCGAAAACTCGTCTATAATCCATGGCATATACTTGATTGAATCGGTAAGACGGTTGAAGATCCGCACGTCGGCAATATACGACGAAATATTGTTCAAGTGTACGGCGACCTTTGCGGCAGTATCTTTCTCGATTGTTTCCTCGGTTGCTTCCTCTTCTTCTATTTCTTTCTCGCGGACTGGTTCATGATCTTCCTTCTTCGACAAAATCGTCCCCTTTCCGTCCTTGCGCTGGGCCACCCCAAGTACCGCCAATAAATTACCCGTTTGTGAGCGCAAAAACTGCTGGATCTGCCGCTTATTGGTCAAGATAGAGCTCACCAAAAGCGAAAAGTAACATATGAAATACAAGTTCTGGTCCACGCTCGCCGAGGAGTCTAAGACTTTGGCGCAGATCTCCAGGTAGAACTTTTTGGAAAATACCGTTTTCCGAAGAAGAGCGTTAAGTTTCAAAAGCCGAGGAAGCAGCAATGCTGGAGGAGCTTGTTTCATGGTGATAAGTAACTAAAAACTGGGGTCGACCGCGGCCTAATACGGGTGTCCTGCAGGAAGGACAGAATGTCTCCATGTAGATAACGAATGGACATGTCAATAGGATATGTTAGCCTGATTGGGATAGTACTGTTAAATGCATAAGCTGAGAAGAAAAATGACAAAAGAACAAAAGAAAGAAGATTCGTAGAGGAGAACACAGTTGCACTCCTCTGGGCCAGGTATTATGCTGATAAAATATAAGTTTCTCTGATCTTCCCGTTTTGGGCGCCTTTTCAGTTGATTGACTGAAAAACCTTATGTAGAAAAGTGTGCAGAGGATTTTCAAACTGGACCCTCACATCTTGCCATGAGTCATTATCGCGACGAGAAAGTAGACTTGCAACAATGTTCACGTTTTTTTTACTCTTTTGAAAATGTACTTAGCATAGCAGGCTTTTCAGCATCTAGCTCAACTCATATCGCTACACGGCTTCAAAGTAGAATTCATCATTGATTAAGGGCATTGTCAGTAGGGAAGGCACGGGTGTCTACAGGTGGCCTACTACTGGCTTGCGCATTCGCAACTTCTTTTTCAAGTGGTCAGAAATGGAGTCAGCCAACCCACTCCCCCGTGTTCTAGTCGTCGGATCCGGTGGCGTAGGAGCAATGGCAGCATTTGCTCTTTCGCAAGCGAAGAAATCTTCCGTCACTCTAGTGGTGCGTTCAGATTATGGCAAAATCAAAGACCATGGCTACACAATCGAGTCTGTCGTGCATGGCACAGTGGAGGGCTGGCGGCCCGAACACGTGTGTCCGTCTGTTACCGCTGCTGCTGAAACTGGCATTTTCGACTTCGTTGTTGTGACTACAAAAAACATTCCCGACGGACAAGCTACTTGTGAGGATATTGTGCGTCCTGCAGTCACATGCGGCCACACCACGCTTGTGCTAATCCAAAATGGCATAGGGATAGAAGAGCCCATGTTTGATGCTTTTCCAGGGTGTGCTGTACTTTCCGGTGTTCTGTTGATCGGACTGGCGTATAAGGATGGAGTAGTTAAGCATCTGCACAAGGACAGGCTATACTTGGCTCCGTTTGATCATGAAGAGATCAATGGAATGGCCCAAACAGAGCTTTTTGCCAAGATCTACCAGAATTCAGATCCTCTGCTCAATACAGTGATCGTGGAACTGTCAGCACGAAGATCGCGGTGGGAAAAGCTTGTGAATAATGCGGTTTTCAATCCCGTCACTGCCCTCACGGGACTTGACATCAATCGCTGCCAGATTAATGGTGCGAATGAAACCGTCTTCAGTCCCGCTATGGACGAAGTCATAGCAATAGCTGCGAGCGACGGCGTTGAGATTGATCCATCAGCAAAATCCCGTTTTTTACACGTGGCAGACGGTTCTTTTTTTGCTTCTTCCATGTTGGTGGATTTGCGCAAGGGCCAGTTGGTTGAAGTCGAAGTAATTGTGGGCAATGTGCTACGTATCGCGCAGCGAAATAATGTTCTGGCTCCTGTTTTGGCCACGCTTTATCTGTTATTACGCATGGTTCAATTCCGGACGAAGGAGTCCTTGGGTATGATTCATATGAACGAGAAAGATTACGTGGGGCATAGTAGCGACGACTATCCTGCGATTTTCGCCGCATTGAACAATAAGCATTCTTGAACTGGTGAACGAATTTGAAGAAGCGTAATCTTGCTTATGAAGTAAGATACTCCAAATATAACGAGATATTGGGAGGTTTCATGCCACGAGTTCTACTTTTCGTTCGATAGCATGCCTGCTTTTTTTCGATTTGTTCTCCTCGGGTAAAGAAGGAGCATCAGCATATGTCCAATGTTTGTTCGATCATTGAGAATTCATTTAGAAAAATGACTCTTCTTAAAAGCACAATACTTCAATATCCTCATTCTGGCCCAAAGATGGGATTATGAGTGTTGAACCGGATTGCGTCGAGTGATAAATTGGACGAAACATTGGCACTCTGAGTAAATAATAATAATAAGATTGTCAATGAATTTACTTGGCATCTTCTCCATAGAGTATAGCATATATCAGTCGTATTGGTTTAGCGTCGCATAATTTTAACACCGTCTATTCCAAAACACATGAGGAAAAATAGCTGGTCCTCAGCTGTTCCAGTTCCGACAACCAGGCTCATCTTCGTTTACATCGTTACAGCCTGCCTGAAACATGTATGGAGATAATTAAGTCATTACGAAATGATCGAGGTGTCGACCATTCACAAAGCACCGAAAATAGGAAACAGCAATTACAACGAAACCAAGTAACGTTAGCCTCTTGATTTATTTCATTAGTGTATCAACTGTAGTCTTCGCTGATCAGATCAAATTATATTCCGCTAAATCGGCCCAATTTATTCCGTCTTACTCAACTATGCATGAAGCGAAAAATAATAGCAAAATCTAGATGCTTCAGTGGCTTTGCTTACGCGAATCTATGGCCTTGTCTTTATCCGCCTATCATCGATTGGTCCTGGTCTTATTGTTATCCAATGATAACAAATTGACGTCAAAATTGCAAGTGCCGCGGAAGTGCCGCGGCAGCCTGCGAAGTATATAAACCCCACCTGTTCACTTCTCTCCACCTCATTACTCTAACATTGTTGGTACAGGAAAAGTGCTTATACTGACAATTACTACTTTCTACTCCTTCTTCTATTTCCTTTGCTGACTTTCATTGATCGAATCTTGTTCTTGCTTTATCTGCAGTGACCTGTGTATTAGACGCTGATTGCTGATCCACCAGATTAATTGAACTACTGATTACTGTTCTTTTACTACTTTTCAACTACATTACTGTTCCTTCTACCTTTGTCTTCGAGGAACATTCAGTACTACTTAACCACTAAGTACTACTAACTACGGACAATCAATTGCTCGGATAATTGTCTCATACCTTACTGATATAACTATCACAGAATGACTGTTGCTCCACAAAAAACCATCTGTGTGTTTTGCGGCCTGTCGTTTGGCAAAAACCCGTCATACGCCGAGAATGCCACTGAATTGGGTGCCATGTTGGCAGCCCGCAAGTGGGGTCTTGTTTATGGCGGAGGCTCAACCGGACTCATGGGCGCTGTTGCCCGTGGATGCGCTACAGCAGGCGGCTATGTTCACGGAATCATCCCAGAAGCGTTGGTCACCCGTGAGAGGGTTAGTGACGCCGAATTCAATGCCAAATTGCAGCAGGGAATCGAGCACCACGTGGGCTCGACCCCAATCCCGGACCTGAAGGAGTATGGAAAGACCACGTTGGTGGGGGACATGCACACACGCAAGCGGATGATGGCGCAGGAGGCGGATGCGTTTGTGGCGTTGCCAGGTGGCTACGGAACCATGGAAGAGCTTATGGAGGTTGTCACCTGGCACCAGTTGAACATCCACGACAAGCCAATTGTGGTGTTCAACATGAACGGCTTCTACGACAGCTTCTTGAGCTGGATCCGCGAGGCTATTGACTCCGAATTTGTGTCGGTGAAAAACGGTGATATCATCCAGGTGGCCACTTCGCCGGAAGAAGTCTTGCTGGCCATTGAAAACTACAAAGTTCCAGAGGGACGCTTCAACTTGAACTGGAGCAACACATAGCTAGAGTCGTCGTGTGGATGCATTCGCATGATCAACTGTACATACGTGGCCATATGATGTATACCAGCAAACCATGTAGAGCATTTTAGATATGGGTGAATCGGAGCAGTTAGTCCCTTTATCCGTGTTCCGGAGCAGTTAGTCCCCTTATTCATGTTCTCGAATCAATTGTCAGCTACTAAAGCTTAATCTAAGATACTTTCTGCATGCGTTATACATACGAAACCATTACAGATATGAACCTAATCTCGCTCCAACTACACATAGATCCTCCTGTTTTGCCATAATTACTTGTATTCATGTTCAGTAGTATACATATTCACATCCAGTGCTTGGTTCAAGTAATTCTTTCCTATATCCCATGTCACCACTCTATCAGTATCCGGTGACTCTATTCTAACGTTTCTTCGGAGACAATATTATCCCTCGGCCACAATCGGCTCAAAGTAATGCAATATCATCCTTTATACCAACTTTGCCCTTCTATTCCGCCCCTCTATATCTTCGTTTCACTCCTGACACTTTCATATTATTCTCTTTGTCTCTTAATGAGGATTGTACTCCTCGTCACCATCATGCACGTGGAACAAATCTTCGAATTCATCGGTGGGGACTTCGACTTCGGAAAGCAATCCTGTCGCCACGTCGTACATCATTCCCCACACCTCAATTTCGCCCTTCTTCAATGCCATCAGGGCACTTGGGTGTCTCTTCAAAGCCAACACCGACGCAACAACATTAAGCTCGGCCAAGCGCTTTGCACGAGCACGAGGGTCATCCTTCAAAGCCGATAAGGCTTCGTTGTTGGCGGCCCGAATGTGGCGGATAGGGTTGAGCCACAAATCAAGGACTCCGCCCATTCTCTTGTTCGACAAGGACGCCCACACCCCACCACAGTCAGTGTGGCCACACACGATGATTTTGCGCACCTTCAACACATCCACGGCAAACTGAATCACACCCTGGGACGAAATGTCGTTGGAATTGACAATGTTGGCAATGTTCCGGTGGGTGAAAATCTCGCCCGGCAAAGTGGCCAAGCACTGCTCTCCGGCACGCAGGTCCAGGCATCCGATCCATAGCGTGTGAGGGGACTGGCCCGCTCCGTTCAATTCAAACACCTGGTTCGAATGGTTGTGTTTGATGGAGTCCACGAAAAAGCGGTTGTTGGCCAAGAAATCGGCCATTGTCGACAGCTTGGAGAGCGTATATGGCGAGTCCAAGGCGGCACGAGGCGCTTCCAAAGCAGGCTTCGATGGCGGCGAGCTTCCTTTCAAGTCTGTCTCGTGGTCATGTTCCAATTGATAGTGGATAATGTTCTCTCTTCCCATTTTGCTGAGTGAGTATGATAGTTGGCGGTAACGCGGAGCGAGGATGTGTCTTACGCGGAACATCCATTCGGCGTTGGATTGGGCCTCACTCTTATACGTGTCCTTGGGCGAATTTTTGGGTCTTTAAACACAGGCTTCGGTTATTAGTCACCTGGCGCTTGTGGAAGCAATAGACCATTACGTCGCTACTGTTGCAGGGCACGTATGCACGCCGGCACAGTTGCGAAAACAGGGCAAGGCAAAATGAACAACAAAAGCAGGAAAAAAGAAGGAAAAATTGAAACAAGAAGAAAGAAAATACTGATTTGGCAGGAGAGGTGTTGCAATGTCGCTTCTATTGTCGCTATCTTCGGAATAACGACTTTGTCTTCGCTGCGGGTCGACGCATGGAGACGAGAATTAGAGCTGCGCACAGGAGTGTCACCGCTGGTGCAGAATGGGTGTGGGTCACGTGCAGAGCCTCGATGTCGCCATTGACAATAATAAGGGGCCAACGTTTTGTTGGCCCGTATTACGTAATGCGATGAGCATGTCTCGCTTCTCTTGTTATCGGTTGATTTTTGACTCTGATTATGTAAGACATGCAACCGAGATGAGGCTGCAGATACATTATTTTTAGTGGCCACAAAAAAATATCATTGAAAGCGTAGGCTGTTTCGAATATTGAAATATTCCTGGAGATTATTGGATGATTCATTGATGTCTCTGGAGATCCTGGTTGCTCTCAGACTTTTAAATGTCGGTACAATTGCTTCTCTGTTCTTTCACCAGAAGCTGCATTTCCTGCAAATGTATCGAAATATTCTTTGCATGTAGCTGGCTCATGTAAGTCGAATTTTTCACGGCGGAAAAGATAGCGACATTAATTCTGAAAAGTACCCTAATCTCAGATTGTCCGTTCACAATCTTGCTTATAATGTCGTACCGTATATTAAAGTTAGGCAAGTAAGAAAAAGTCGATCAAGCTCATCCAATAAATCTATCACTTGATCTCAAAATTTATGAGGAAGCTTTAATCTAAACAAGAAACACATGGCAAACAACTGTTTGTAGAATAAGTACTAATTCATTGAATAAACCTCTATTGACGATTGAAGATTACTAAACATCGAAAATAAAGTTTGATTCATGACTCCAGTTCGCTTTGTTGTCCAATTGAAAGAAGGATTCGCTTACACGAAAATTGCAGACAGAAGAAATCATGCTTCTTTTTTAGAAGAAGGACTCACACGCATTCCAATGAGAAAAGTATAATGACTGATTACGATTGGTGTCACAGAGAGGATTGAAGAATATCAAGGAAAAAGAACAGTTTCTTCACTAGATTCCTCTTCCCATGCAGCTGTAGCACTCATATTTGCAATGCAACATTCTTGTGGAGATAATAATACTCGAATCAATTCTAACTATCAATCATCAGCACACTTATTAGTATGAAAAAGAAGTGATATAGTAAGAGCACTACGAAGCACATGATTTGGTTTAGGTATCCATGGGTACCAGATGTATCTTTTTAAATGATAGAAAAGCTCAACAAGCTATGGACCTTCGAAACGCAAGAAAGCATGTCCATCGATTTCGGTCTCATTGAGAACCAAAAAAAAAAAAAAAAAATTAAGTAGGCTTAACCTAATACAGTTTCTTCAATAACATGCACTTTTCCCGTTCCGTTTCCCAATTTAGCTACTAGAAGTCTCTTGTTTGTATAAGTTGTACATATTGGTATCACGAAGTTTCTTGGAGCCTCATATTTCTCACTGATTGCGAACCATACATTATACGCGCATTCACTGAAATACAACATCGCGTCTTTCACAATGGCCGACGAAGTCATAGATTTGGAAATCAAAAAGTACTTACAAGACAATGAGATCACGGAAGAGCAGAAGAGCTTTAATGAGCTCGATGGCGAAGCGAAGCTTGCCCGGCTAGATAATTTGATCCAAAGATCGCAGCTCTACTCTCAGATCATTCTTGACAATATAATGGAAAAGTCGCTTGAAAAGAAGCGCATGGCAAAGAAAGAAGCCAAGAAAGGGAGTGAAACGAAAGCAGCCAATGATTCTGAAAGCGATGAGGGAGTCTATGTGCGAAGAAGAAGACAAAAGGTGGCTTCTTCACATTCGAGTTCTAGTTCTGACTCAGATCTGCATTCAGACTCCGATTCTGCCAGCTCTGTCCCTTCGAACTCCACTGCCAAATCTCCTATTATATCTGAGTCTCCAACCGACGGAAAAATTGAGCGCAATGAGCATAAGAAGAAAACAGAGGATGAATCACCAGTCACGAAATCCTCTCACCCAACGAAGCCAATTCTAGTAGATTCAGACGAGAGTCTGGGTGATGATGAATTTTTCTCCATGGCTTCTGGCTCCGAAATCGAGGGAAAGAGTCAGGGAGCTAACAAGACTACCAGAGATAAGGATAGAGTCACAACCGCTCAATCTCCCAGAAACACTAAACAGGACACGAGGAGTGGCAACACCAAGAAAGAAGACTTTAATCAAGCGAATAATTCGAAAACCAACAATATAAGCTCTGGAAGGAAAGCATCGAGCAATATAGAAGTGACAGAAGTTCTTCTGGGCGATTCAAGCGATGACCTAGTAATCACTGGTGAAAAGTCCAGAGTTTCTGCTCGTGATACTAGACACTCCAAGTTTGCGGCAAGAAAACGGCGCCCTGAAGACTCGCTGTCCGATGACGACCATAAGAGGTCTCGAATAAGCAACGATACGAGGATGAAACATAAAAATGTTTCCAAAAAATCGGCAAAAACAAGACGTGCTCTTGTTAAGGCCCAGGCCAACCATGATCTGATGCAACCAGCTTTGCTAACGGGGTGTACCATGAAAGACTATCAACTCGAGGGTCTAGAATGGCTCATTACTCTATATGAAAATGGTCTCAATGGTATATTGGCCGACGAAATGGGCCTTGGAAAAACCTTGCAATCGATTGCAATCCTATGCCATTTATTTGAACATGGTGTTAAAGGGCCCTTTTTGATTGTTGCCCCTCTCTCCACTGTTTCGAATTGGTGTAGAGAATTTGAAAACTTTGCTCCCAAATTAAAAGTAATGCAATACACTGGAGACAAAGAGAGCCGAAAATCCTATATTTTTGGTGCTTCCAGTTTCAAGAAGCATAGATGGAATGTTGTTGTCACGTCATATCAGTTAGTTGTGCGTGACTTTCGTAAGATGTCACGGATAAATTGGAAATATCTTGTGGTTGACGAGGGCCATCGCCTCAAAAATTTTGATTGCCTCTTGGTTCAGTTCCTAAGGCGATTAAAAGTGGAAAATAGGCTTCTTCTCACAGGTACTCCGCTTCAGAATAACTTAAAGGAATTGTGGTCTTTGCTTAATTTCATTTTACCTGACATTTTCCAGGATTTAGAGCTTTTCGAGCTGTGGTTTGATTTTGAAAGCATGGGCGAAGCAGCAGCTATCGATGTAAGCTCAGAGGACAAGGCAAAAATCAGCAACGAGGTGCAAGATCGGTTGGTAAAAAGTTTACATACCATCTTGAAGCCTTTTATGCTCCGGCGGATGAAGAAAGAAGTTATGAAGGATTTACCTCCAAAAAAAGAGTACATCGTTTACACGGAACTCACACCATTGCAAAAGATATTTTATAAGCTGATTATCCATGGAGACCTCAAGCACACCGTCTTGACTTTTCATCTTAAGGAGTATTTACTATGTAATCACCCAGATCTCTTTAAGACAGAAGAGGACTTGAATTTCGTGGATGGGTTCTTGGACTTCAATCAAGGCAGGCTCTCGAACAAACGAGAAAGGGTGGCCAAGTATGATCGCAAAACGCTCATGATGCTTGAGCAAGATCTGATGAAGGAGTTTGTCGTACTGGATTATCTGGATGACGGATCATCAAGCTCTGAAAATGATGCGGATGTTCATAATGTCGCAGAATCAGATACTACAATTGATCTTGCTGCTAATGCTGAAGCAGTGGACAAAGAGTTTGCTGATTTACTTGCGGACTTTCAAACTAATCAAAGCCAGCAAAATGCAATAAGCAATCAAGAATCAAAAATGGACATAGTTGATGTTCAGAATCAACCAGGCCTGAAAATTAGCATTCTTCTCAATTCCGAAGATTCTGAAAGTGAACGGAGACCCCAGTCCATAATCGATGGGCGGAAAAATTCTGCTGTGAAACTGGACGATCTGGAAAACCAAATGAATCATATCAAAAAAGATTCTTCAGAGTTCAATAACAAGACCAAACAAGAACCACAACCCAATGCTGCATCAGAAGAACCTGAAGTTATTGAAATTTTGTCCGGAGATAGCGACAGCGAGACCGAATTGAGAGCAGTAAAGGACACACCACGCCATGAGCTTCAAAGTAATGTGATCTTGAAGTTGCTCCCTCGCTTTACCCGAAATCTTTCCCGAATGAGACTTTTGAATCGGGTCATGCAATTAAGAAATGTCTGTGGCTCCCACTATGTCTACTACGAGCCCCTAGCTGACGATAATGAAGATGATGCATACTTAGCTCATCTTATTTTCCGAAACTCAGGAAAAGTTCAGTTACTAAAACAGTTATTGGATCCTTTATTGAAGGGAGGCCACAAGGTGTTGATATTCTCGCAATTCACCAAGATTCTAGAACTCATTGGCGTTTGTCTTGATGAGGATAAAATCAAATATTCATTATTAACGGGGAATATTTTTCAAGACGAAAGGGAAGATGAGATTGCTCTCTTCAATTCCGAAGATGAAGATTCGACTAAAATTTTTCTTTTGTCAACCAGAGCAGGTGGTCTTGGAATCAACTTAACAACGGCTGACACAGTTATTCTTTTCGACAGCGATTGGAACCCGCAAATGGATATCCAGGCGATGGGTCGAGCTCACCGTATTGGGCAAACAAAACCTGTGAAAGTGTTCCGTTTTGTGGTCAGAGATTCCGTGGAAGAAATTTTGCTTTTCAAAAGTTTCAGTAAACGAGCTTTGGAACAGAAGGTCATCAAATCGAACAATTTTGGGAAAAGTACTGTCGCTGGACAATTGATTGACAAAAACATCGACTTGACAAAGATCACTAGGCTTTCCAATATTTGGAACATTGAACAGCGCTTGGACCATGCCAAATCCTCAATTAATTACAGTACAAGTAGGGTGTTGATCGAATCACAGGAGCCTTTGGAAGGTGTGACAGAGGAAGAAATGAACGAGCTTATGGATAGAAGTCTGGAATGTTACGCTCGAGAAACATCTGAATTTGCTAACATCACAACTTTTGAAGTTTCATCGGCGGAAGCTGAGTAATACGATACTAATGAACATTGGGGAGGGAAAATAACTCGAAGAAATAGCATTTAATTAGTGGTCTAGAAGCACAAGCTCTTCATATCCTCCTCTTTTTTAATGCAAAACCATATCATCCGATTCTCAAAGAGCTCATATTTCATGTGCATTTCTAATCCCGTATCAGCCCCAATCATTAACCTCTAAGCGACACATTGAGTCATCTTCTCCTCATTTTGATGCTGTATGTAGGTGATGTTGATGGTCATCCCAGATTTGTTTACCCCGGATTTTGTGCCCCACTCCGCGCATACTTTTATCCGAAGCGAAAACACAAACACTGGATCTGCTGATTGTCCGAAGAACCAGACTCCATCTTCAAAAGATCCCATGGTAACTGAGTGAATACGTAAACTACTCTCATATTAGAAAATCACGAGCAAGCAGCTTCACCTCGGCTTTTCCCATTTCCGAACATGCAGAACCTGCGATGGCAGATCAGCAAACGCATGCGAGCGAAAAGAGGGGTGCTTTTTTTCTTTGCAGTGATCTTTGTGGCCAAACGTATATTTGTGAACATTCGGAATAAATTCTAAAAAAAGGTCATTGTCTTTTCTTGACCTAAGCCGGAAGCTTGAATTTATTAATTTCCCGATCATTGCTGTTTAGCCCCCTTGAAATTCCCTTTGGTACTTGCTCTGTCTTATCTGCACGGAACAGATAAAGCTGGCTAATTCCATCGGCTAGAAATGATATTCTTTTATTCATACCCGATGCAACTTCTGTTGTTTTTGGCCTGGGCGGTAGCCGCCAGTGCCTTTTATATTCCCTTCCGCCTTCCCCAGATTCCCTTTCTTGTGTCATTAGATACCAAGACCCAAGATGAGTATATGACTGATCCGCAGTTTGAGTTATGGGTGGCCCAGCAGTCGAATTACTCATTCCAGTATATATTAGAGAACATTGGAGGTGTCCTGTCTATTCTCGATAAGTCGGAAGTGGCTCCAGGTGTTGTGATAGCCTCTCCTCTGAAAGAACATCCAAATTATTTCTACAATTGGATTCGTGACTCGGCGTTGACGCTCCGGTCGGTGATTTATTATTTGGATGACGGAGCTGAACATTTACGTCATGCTGAGGAGTTGCGTGCTGTGGTGGAACAGTACATGGAGATAAATTATGAGCTTCAACGGCTCTCAAATCCTTCCGGTGATTTTGACGACAATACTCGATCTGGACTTGGAGAACCTAAGTTCATGCCGGATGCGTCTGTCTTCAAAGAGAATTGGGGCCGTCCCCAGTCGGATGGCCCCGGTTTGCGTGTTCTGACTATATCCAATTACATTGCGTACCTCAAAAAGTACAAATTAGACTTTTCCAACAACTTTTTGGGCAACACATCTAACGTATACTATGGGATTGTTCGGCCGGATTTAGAATACATTATGGCCAACTGGAAGAAAGACTCTTTCGACTTGTGGGAAGAGATTAATTCTGTGCATCTTTTCAATGCCTTGACTCAATTGCGGGCACTTAAGGATGGTCACAAGCTTGCCAAGCATGTGGGGGACTCTCTGGAATTTTTAAATTTATTAGAAACATCTTTCAATGAGCTTAAGAACTATATTCTAGACTCAAATACGGGCTTCACGCAATTTTCGTTGCCGTATCTCGTGGAAACACCGTCTCTTGTTCAGCAACGGAAAAGAGCTGGGCTTGATGCTGCAACATTGTTGGCATCCCTCCATGCACATAACTTAGAGTACGGCAACACGGATGTTATTCCGTTTGACGTCGAAGATGGCCATGTCCTCAGTACTATAAGTGCAATGGTTGCCGATATGAAGTACAGGTATCCAATCAATCATGACAAGATTCGGTTGCCACAAAGCATTGGCGTGGCACTTGGAAGATATCCTGAGGACATTTATGACGGCTATGGCACTTCTGAAGGAAACCCTTGGTTCATCTCCACTGCAACTGCGGCGGAAGTTTTGTACAAATGGATTTTCAAGGCGTTGAAGCTGAATGAAGATATCGTGTTGACCTCTGAACATGAACATTTTTTCGCCCCCTTTTTTCCAGACGATAAGTTTACCACTTCAAAGACCATAGTTTACGGCAGCGAGGAATTTGGCACTTTGCTTGTGCAAATGTTCAACTACTCAGACTCATTCTTGCAAGTGATCCAGGCTCACGTAGATAGCGTTTCGGGGAAAATGCTGGAGCAGTTCAACAAATACCATGGCTTTATGCAAGGAGCAGAGAGTTTGACGTGGTCTTACTCGGCTTTTTACAATTCCGTCAGATGGAGGCTCAAGACATCGACAGAACTCGACAAATACTTCGAGCAGGCGAACCGTACACATTAGAGCTAGATTTATGCCAGTAAAGACAACGATAGAATTTCTGTATTCAAGTAGTCCGATAATCTCGGGTACGGGTTTGTCTATTTCTCTGGTGTCAGTGTGTTGAGAATCTCTTACATGCAATATGCACGTCAGGATTACTCCAGAACAGTTTCATCGTTATCTTACAGATTCTGAAACTATAGGGCTACACATAGTACCCCTCTCTGTTTTAAGAAAGGTTTCACCTTGTAGTTCTCACGGATATATAAGATCATCTATTCTCTCTAAGATGGATTCCCTTCTCTAAAGGATCATCTCTCCATCTCCCGATACATATCTGTCTATGTCAATCAAACGTCACTTATCAATGTTCACTCCATCTACTGCTACTGCTGATGCTATGAAAACCATCTGACTCTAGATCCTCACTGGAGGATTCATTTAAGGAATCCTCTGGGTTAGTCTCTGGTCTACCAGCTCCAAACACAGTTGTGTATACAGCTCTGTTTGTTGCGCAAAGCATTGAACACAGTGTATTCCTGTACTTGTTCAAACTCTTGTGTTCAGGTTTATGAATGCGTATCTCACTCTTATCACTTTCATATTCTCTAGCAACATGAATTTTCTTTACCTTATTGGTGGCTTGCTAGTGTTGCATGCGGGATATTCGTCTTATGAGCATCACCAGATTCTTAAACATGCCAGTGGCATTCCTAGAGATATCATCGGCGAGCTTTTTGTGGGGCTAATAATCATCAACTTTGGCGCTTTCCAGTCGATTGCCAACTCGTCACGTTACGGTTTGACCCACGACAAGATTGTGACGAGCCTGAAACCATTTTTGCGTCCTATTGAGATGAGTGAAGCCATGCAATCGGTGAATCTGTTGGGCATTACGGAATTCGAAGAGTATGATTCCAGAATAGACTTTTTGGACGTGGTGGAGAAAAGACGCCAGCACCGGGAGTGGGCAAAATAGGTACACTTACGATTGTTAATGGGAACATGCGGCTCAATGTCGTTTCAGTTGTGGTCTGGCAAACAACTGCGTGGTTAGATTGAAACTGCCCTATTATCAGGTGGAATGGCGACGAACCACTGTGAAATATAGTATGGGAACAATGGTTTGAGTGATGTCTTATTGTTGAAAGGATGGACAGTTAGTGTTTGAGCAGTCAGCTTCTGGTCAAAAGTGATGGGTCCTATTTTACGACACTTTGTACTTTGGAATTAGGTCTAGAAGCAAAAAGAAATGGCATATACCCGGTGATGATGTAAGTGGTAGAGTGTTGACCATGACAATACATGCCCCTCTATAGAAAATTTTGAGAGAATTGTAATCCTTAGAAATTGCTAAACAGTTCTTCCGAGTAGACTGGCGAGATGCAAATAAGAGATCGTTATGATTTCGCTACGACAAACTAGTAGTTTTTTTGCCACAACCACAACCAGATATGGACCTGTCATTACCAAAAGTTCATCAGTTCTAATGTTGCCATGAATAAATACAAACAGTATGTACGACTAAGATGGGCGTGGGCAAACGTAATGATTTTGAATAAACGAGCGTTGCACCAGCAAATGACTAAACGAATATATGTTTGGAGAAGAAAAAGCAAGCAGCGAATATTATCTTGAGAAGCCGTGATGTGTAAAGTGTCGGAACTCATCTGCTCTCTTGTGGGATTCCATTTACTGGACCTTCTTTTCTGCTTGGGCTTTCATCCTGCTTTCTCTCAGCTGTTTTCCCTTTGGTCCAGCTTCGGTGTCCAAAACAAAGTCCCACCATCTGAAACTGGACGCGTAAGAGCCGATAAAGAAATGGTGGTGCTCATCGTGGTGATCAGCACCGGCCCAGAAAGGAAGGAAGTGGTGCAAAGACCAAGGGAATTCGTAACCAGAGTGGGCATCGACAGCCTGGAACAATCTCAAGCAGATCCAAAGCGAAATGGTGAACAAGTGCAAGTCTCTGGTGAAGTAGCACCAAACCAAGGGAATTCCAACGGTTCCCATGCCCAAAAGTGCAACTTCGACAGGATGAGCATACTCAGCCGTCAAGCCAAATGGGGCAGCATAGCGGTGGTGCTGCTTGTGAATGTACTTGTAAAAGACTCCGTGGTGCAAGCCCCTGTGGAACCAGTAATGCCAAGCGTCTTCCAACACAAAGAAAAGCCCCAACTGGAACAAGATTTTCGACCACGAAGGGAAAGGAACCAGGAAAGACATGCCGATCTTTTCACTGAGCGGGTGGAAAAACCAGATGGGGAAGGCCTCCACCAAGAAATGCGATGTCAAGACCGATTTAAGACACTCCCATTGCTCGGTGTTGCTAGGCAACTTCGACTCCTGGATCTTGTACTTGCGGAAGTATGGGATACGATCGATAATGGCCCAGGGCAAACATCTGCCAAAGTACATGATCTCGTGCATCAAGAAGAAGAACAATCCAGTGGCCAAAACATCATTGTTCATCCAATAGTAGTAGGCGGCCCAGAGTTTCTCGACTGGGTTCAAACTGCCGATGTTACTGAAGTTCTGGTACGACTCGGAAAACGTCGTTGCGTTCGAAAACCCACTATAGTCGTGATAGACAGCGCTTACCATGCTTTTGTTGAAAGAAGAAAATAGTTAATCCGAAGACTTGCGCCTGGTCGTGTAGCGCCTCGTATAGAGTACGAGAAGGGCCTGCAGATAGACCGTGTTTGTAGCCATGCCGGTGAAGATTAAAAGAGATCTGTACGAACTAGAAGTAGGAGACGGGATGGAAAAGGAAAGTGTCAGCACTAGTCAAACTGGTGGCTAAATTAATTTGCTGGAAATATCATTAGACCTAGATGTGCGAAAGCGATTTCGGAACATGTTATCTAATGAGCAAAATTTCACAAGACTTTGTTGGCAAGGTATACTGAACTGGATTAGTGGAGAAAGTGTGATTTGATAAGATATAGAATTTGATGTTTTTGTGTTTGTATGTACTAGATGTTTGTCCTTTGGGGATCCTTGGTGAATCAAGGAAATTAAAATACGCGCAAATTGCCCATTTCTTAGTAAAACGTCCTTAACCAAACTTGAACCATTGCAAAATTGTATTTCAGCCAAACAAAAACTTGAGATTCTTGCGGAAGCAATTCTTTCTAGATTCATCGATACATTGAATTGTCAATTGATATAAAACACTGTTTATTGGATACTTGACCTTTTATTGGATACTTTGACCGTTTATCGGATACTTTGACCGTGTTAATGCACCCTGTGCATGAGAATCGGGGTAATGCAAGCTCGATCTGACAAGTGGCATCTCTGAATCATCAGGAGTGTCAATTAGCAAGGATTCTAGTATATCCTAGCCGCACATTGCTGAACATTATTGCTACTAAACTAGGAAGGTTTCTTGCAGATTCAGCCAATCAAGAGATTACACATTCTGGTTATAAGTGTCAAGTTTATATTGTTGAACGAAATAGTCCTCTTTGGTGCCTTTGTCGAGTATTGACTGCTTTCTCTGGTTTTACTTACCTTTCGCCTTTCGATCCGAACTATTCACTTCAATTTCCGGTCTCGTTTCTTTTTTCCGTGCGCACTTTAGCCGCTCCGATTACTAAGACACATGCAGCTCGGAAAACAACAGAACTTTCCGAAAGTCCCCAATATTAGATTGTAGAGTTTCCAAACCAGTTCGACACAGTTGAAATGACTGGCAAAACTGTAAAAACATTACTGATCCTTATCGCAGTTGCAGATCTTGTATCTTGGCATCCACCGGTATGGCAAATCTGACGTGCAGGTGCATATGATATCAGTAAGCAGATCTGATAATAAACAAAAACTGTAGCATTCACTCAAATTTCACCAAACACAAGAAACGGCCCCCAATTGGAAAGATTGAGCCATAGGAAATATGAGCGAAGCCGTTCGGTCGATTGGAGTTTTTGTTGTTGGGCCGTCAAGGAGAAGTTTCCACACTTTTCCGCAGCGTGCATACAAATATACGGGAGTCATCTTGCAAAAGCTACTCAAACCATTTTTCATCCACAAAACCATAGCGTCTTTGGTCTGTGCCTTATAGTTGGCGTTTCTGCACTGGATTATTCCATACATTTTTCTGTATCATCCATTGACTCTGTGCTAACCTACTGGTCTTCCCTGCACTGACATTTCTTGCATCAGCCTTTCCTAGCATCTAGATATCGTGGCATCGCTTTGCATCAGACTCTTTGCATATTTGCTGTCTATTCTGGATTCTGCTCTACCAAACGGAATCTTTCACATTTCCAGCGCTTTTCCCATATTCTGGCTCAAGTGTTCCGCCTCTAGTGTTGTGGACTGTTCGATTTCCGCTTAATCCCGTCCTACATTTTTTTCTGCCTGCTCCAGTTGGCACCTTGTTTGTCTTTGCCTTCAAGTGATCGCCATGCCTCGAAAATCAACTTCCCCTTCTCTGTCGGCACACTCACTCTCGTCTGAAACGTCGGGCCAAAACCTGCGCGCAAATCTGCCCGCGCGGCTCGCACAAGATGAGGCCAGCGCGGGCCTCGCGCGCCTCGACTCTTCCATTTCGGCCGACCCAAGCATCCCCAGCTCGCTCTCGCACACTGTTTCGCGCGCCCGCTCGCGCGCCAGTTCTTATTCGGTGCGCGAAATTTACGGCGGCCTTCCGGACCAGGAGATTCGTCTTCGCCGCACGGCCACACGAACGACCATTATCGACCTGTTGCAACAACGTGTGGACACGAGGCAAGATGATTTTTACGAGCATCTTCCGGATGCGCCGGTGCCGGTAGCAAACGGAGGCGAAGAGTTTTCGTCGTTCGACCCTGAACTTGTCACCTGGGATCTGCCGGACGACCCTGCAAACCCAAGAAACTGGTCGAATGCAAAGCGCATCCGCCAAACGGTCCTCGTGTCGCTTTATTCGTTAATTCTGCCCATGTCGCTGTCTATTTTGTCCCCTGCAATGACGGAAATTGCCCGCTCGCTCAATATCCATAAAAGAGTCATTGAGTCGCTCTGTGTGTCCATCATGGTTTTGGCATTTGCCCTAGGGCCGTTGGTGATTGCGCCTCTTTCTGAGAGTGACCGTGTTGGCCGGCGCCCCGTGCTCAACCTTTCGATTTGGCTTGTTGCCCTATTCAATTTAGTCAGTGGATTCGCCAAAACTCCGGCCCAGCTCTGTGTTTTCCGCTTTTTGGGCGGGCTTGGTGGCTGTGCTCCACTTAATGTGGGCGCTGGTGCTTTGGCAGATATGTGGAGCGACAACGAACGTCAGTTTGCCATGGCAGCTTATTCGTTAGGCCCAACCTTGGGACCCATTCTTGCCCCGATATTGGCCAGTTTTGTGGTCACAGGACTCAACTGGCACTGGTGCTTTTTCGTCTTGACGTTTTTCAATGTGGCTGTTGCCGCCGTGGGACTTCTTTTACTCCAGGAAACGTATCCGCCTCGCTTGTTAAAGCTTAAAGCAGAAAGACTCCGCCGCGAGACGGGAAACGAACATTTACACACAATTTACGAAATTGCAGATGGAGAAACTACATCGGAGAGGGTTCTTCACACTATTCTGAGGCCCATTTCTTTGCTTGTGGGTCACCCAATGGTTTTCGGTCTTGGCCTGTTTATGGCTTTTACTTATGGCTTCATGTACCTTTTCATTGTCACATTTCCATCGGTGTTCAAAGGAACTTATGGCTTCAGCACAAATATTGCTGGCCTCATGTACATTCCATTCGGGCTTGGTTTTGTTTTTGGAACTGTGTTCTGGTCTGTTGTAATTGAACTCATTTACAAGCGCAAAACGGCATCCAACGGCGGTGTGGCCAAGCCAGAATTCCGTTTGCCATGCCTCTGTTTCTCTGGAATTGGTATTCCAGTTGGTCTCATTTGGTACGGCTGGTCGGCCCAGAAAAAACTTCATTGGATGATGCCATGTATTGGGCTGGCGATTTTTTCTTTCTCCTTGGTGGCAGTGTTCCAAACTATCCAGAATTATTTGATCGACATGAATAATCGTTTCGCTGCCTCTTCTGTTGCGGCAGCGGCTGTCTTCCGATCATTCTTTGGATTTGCGTTTCCTCTTTTCGCCACACCCATGTACGACAAACTTAACTACGGATGGGGCAATACCATGTGCGCATTTATAGCGCTAGCACTTGGATTGCCATTTCCAGTGTTTTGTCTTATGTACGGCGAACGCTTGAGAAATTGGGCCAATCGTCGCTTTGATGAAAAGCAAGCCAAAAGAGACCAGCGGAATTTAGAGCGTTTGCGCGAGCAAAACGAGAAGGAATATTTGGAAGAGTGAGCCAGTCTTGTCATTCAACTCAATTCACCAAAGGACAGAGGTCTACACACTTAGGCCTAAACGTTGCATCTGAAAGTCTTTGCACATTATTTATCTTAACATATAGTCATAGATGTTATCCCATAAGCTTTTGTAGACTGTGTGTGTGCATTCGATAACAGTGGCTGAAAGAATTGTGTACGAGTCTAGGGAATCTAAGGCGTACTGTTTGGGATGCATGGAAAAACTGCATCAGATCTGTTGAATCGTTCCATGACTGTTCATTAAGTCTGTTGGATTGAAACGTCCGATCATCAAATGGGAACTACAGTAGCACATGATCTGGCGATTCCTCGTATTCTTACTAGCACTCAAATGCTGGCCTCTAGGAATTCTTTGACAAGACTTGCAATATAAGTCAGAATACGTGCCCTTGTACAAGCTGACATGATTCAGATACTACAAGGCCTGGCTTCAGTGCCATCAAATGGCCTACCGTGCTATCAAATGGCCTCACGTGCCAGAATTAGAGAGAATGCACCTTAATCGAACAAAGAATAGAGGCCAATTTTCATCTTAACGTTTTTTGCGTCGCCTTTCCTTCTCTTTTCTCACTACCTTTCCGTTACCAACATTACACTACATTTGTAATTTTTATTTCTTTTCCACCCTTCACCATCTCTTGACAGGTATGTGCATGCAAATGACACTGGTGCACGCACGCATACACATTATCAATCGCACACCGCCTATCTCCTGAAAAGATCACAGATGAGACTTTTAACGTGGGCTACCTTTGTGGCATGGGCGGCTAGCGTTGTTTATGCCATTGATTTCCAGCGGGTTGGGGTGCAACTCGACGGATCCGAGGTGCCTGAGGCATTGAGGGGAATGTACCAAAACCAAATAATCATGGAAGAGGGAAAGCTCTTTTCTGTGTCCAAACCAGAGATAGATGACGACTTGCCGGATTTGGATCTGGGAAGCTCAGACGAGGAGGCTGACGAGCCGCGGACACCGCAATGGTGACCAAAGTAACTAGGAATAATGCACAAACGGACAGTTTGGTGATGTAAGGGATATAGGTGCAGTAAAGAAGAAATGAAGAAGAAATGAAGAAGAAATGAAGAAGAAGAAATGAAGAAGAAGAAATGAAGAAGAAGAAATGAAGAAGAAATGAAGAAGAAATGAATAAGGCGAATGCAACTGAAGAGAATTGAGAATTGCGAATCTGATAGAAAGTGACTAACGGGAGAAGTGAATGAAAAAGGGAGAAAGGATAAGTAAGGATGAGAAAGGGAGAAAGGATAAGTAAGGATGAAAAAGGGAGACAGGATGAGAAAGGGAGAAAGGGAGGGGATAAAAAGAAAAGAACGAAAGAACGAAAGAACGAAGAGAATAGACTCACAAAGTAGAATGCGAAGAAGCGCGAAGCTGAAGAAACAGAATACAATCATAAAAGCTTAATGATAGAGCCCAATGCAGATGGGAAAATCATGAGATTGATAGCGCGACGAGAAAAGCGCAGAATGTCGTAAGATGAGATCAAGATGAAGACGGCGATGAAACACCAAGGCCACAAACACCAGGCCAGAAGTTTCAAAGCCAGTAGAAACGACATTCCATTCACAACAGCGTGCAATTCTTTTTCCTTCCATCTTATTAATAACCCTTCGCCTGGTTGTGCTCCGCTGTATGACATCGTTCCATGCAAGATAGGGTCAGCTCTATGCATGAAGCGCCAGCTATGTGCCGTCCAAAGACGTAATGGCCAAAAGCCAAAGCCTTCGGAAAGTTGCTCGGCCAACCCGGCGTGCCCCCACATGGCCCAACATCAAGCAATAGGGAACGTGGTTGTTTCGGGCGATTGCTGTTCTTTTTGGCGGGGCAATCCCCTTTCCCCACATTCTTGGGCGAGGTGTTGTTAGGCCTGAAAAAGAAAAGTGGCGCCGTTAGTGTGTGCAGGACGTGCTGACTTGAGAACGCCCAATTCTGGGGTATGCCAGCGACAAATGTCGCTGCTAGCTGGCCCACTTTTGGGCCTCGGACTAATCCGGCCACACCGCTGGCCTAGTTGCAGCAGCTATGACGACGCCCAATTGCCCTGGACCGAGTTGGCCATAACCCCTCCAAGTCCGAGAAAAACCCCGGGAATTTTGCCTGCCGGGCGCCAAGTAGGAGGGACCCGTGCGTGTCTGCAGGACAGTATCAATACAGAGCGTCGTTTCTTTTTCCATTCGTGACACCCGGGCAGACCCATCACGCCTATATAAACGTGCGGAGGCGCCCAAATTTTTCCTTTGGTTTTTTCTCGACTACCGTCTAATCTTTGCTGTTCCCGACCCTTTCGCAGCTTATTGGACGATAACATTAGCTTCTGCTGTCAAATTCACTCATCTGTCGCTCACTGACCCCATCTCATGTCTGAATACTCATACGAAAACGTTGTTCCCAACTTCCGTTTGGACGGAAGATTGGCGATTCTTACTGGCGGCTCCGGCGGAATGAGCCACGTGGTCTCGCGTGCTCTTGTTGCCCAGGGCGCCGATGTCGCGTTGGTCGATATCAACTTGGAACGCACAAAGCAGGCAGCCAAAGGTGTTTTGTCGTGGGCCGAGGCCACTTTGAAGGGCGACAAAGCTTCTCCTGTGGGAATGGTTTCGGCCTGGTCCTGCAACATTGGTGATGCCGAGTCTGTGGCCACCACCTTTGCCGAGATCAACGAGGCCCACGGCAAAATCGCCGACTTGTTGATCAACACTGCTGGCTACTGTGAGAACTTCCCGGCCGAGGACTACCCAGCGCTCAATGCCGAGGGTATCATGCGTGTCAACGGCTTGGGCTCTTTCTACGTGGCCCAGGCTTTCGCCAAACCTTTGATCCAAAACAACTTGCGTGGCTCCATCATCTTGATTGGCTCCATGTCCGGCACCATTGTCAACGACCCACAACCTCAATGTATGTACAACATGTCCAAGGCGGGCGTGATCCACTTGGTGCGCTCTTTGGCCTGTGAATGGGCCAAGTACAACATCCGTGTCAACTCCTTGTCTCCAGGCTACATCCTTACGCCTTTGACGAAAAACGTCATTTCTGGCCACGCAGAAATGAAGGAGGCATGGGAGAGCAAGATCCCAATGAAGCGCATGGCTGATCCAAAGGAGTTTGTGGGATCCATCTTGTACTTGGCTTCCGAAACGGCATCCTCCTACACAACAGGCCACAATTTGGTTGTCGATGGTGGCTACGAGTGCTGGTAAAGGAGAAAAATAACGGATTAAAATAGAAAACCAAAAAAAAAAATCTTGGGCCCTTAATGACTGATAGAGCGGGCCTCCGCTGTGTTTAATGTACATCGATTTCGTTCACGTTTATGTACGGTGCGTTTAGATGATTTGATGGATTTTACATTGACACAATAGATTGTCGTCACGGTTATATTTATTAGAATTGAAATTATAGACTGACCATGAGTAGATTTGCCTAGGCCCTCTCGTTCGGCTCGAAAAGGCGTATCGGCAAGTATTTCGGCGCATTACTATGGTGATGACCCAGTTAGCCCCATTTACATATGCGATTTAATCCGCCTCTTTATTGTACATTTATGGAATTTGCGTCTGTAGATTAACCTTCTCTCGTGGAATAAAAAGGTTCATTTTCTGCCCATATGTTCAGTATGGGAAAAGACATCACGATATTCATGAACATTGCCAGCACTTGCCATATTGGATTTTGTTGTCTCTACGACTAACCGAGATACATATCACTAACCAATCAAAACTGTAGATCTATGAAAACTTTTTAGGATTTGACTTTTCTCCGGATAATATCTCCCTTTTGGGAAACAATGTGTTCACTTCACCGAATTAAAGACCATTGGAGTATTTGAGTGTTGATGGAGCCTCCTACTGAATTCATAGTCATTGCAATCGGTGACAAAAGTAATAACTTCGCTTGTTCCGATTGTAATTCATGTCCAAAGGTCTGCCTTCGTTTGTGAAATTCTCCATTGACTTGATGACATTAGTCTATAACAGGGCCTCTTGTAGAACATAGAGTTCGGTATACATTCTGACGACTGTACTCGTATACATTTTCTGGTACATGATCCTACCGCTTCACAGCCCAACATTGTTCTTGACTCGAATCTATCTTTCTTGCACAGGAATCCGATCACGTTAAGCCCAGCTTTACTATTCCCCGCTTCTGTTCCTAATATACACTTTGCATCTCCTGGTAATGCTCAATCCTGTGTTTGAAACTTAGCACTGGCCCACATTTTCATCAACGATTTTTTGAACAACCCCACATTGTGGTCAATAACTGTAAGTAGCTCGTCCATCTTCTCGTTTTCTGTGTCACTGCGAATCAAGGCCACGAGAGCCAAGCCCCGGATCATTTGCTTGAGATACAAGACCGAGCCGTTGGCCAAGTAGCTCGTGGAGCGGATTTCGCTAGATTTTGCCTCGCGTCCATCTCCATCAACATACAAATCGTCCAAATCAATGGTGATGTCAATGAATTCAGCGCAAACCTCGTACGTCTGGATATCCACCGGAGACGAGTCTGTGGCCACGTAAATCTTTGAGTTCACGTCAAACAAAAATACCTTGTCAATGCACGAATGGGCCACCAAGTTGTCAAGCATGTTCTCGAGCGAGGGCAACTCCGGCACCAATTTCTGCACAATACGGGAAAAGGCTTCGTAGATGGAGTGGTCGAAAATCGACGTGAGATAAAACGACACCTGGACTCCCTCCAAACCCAAATCCAACAACTCGTCTCCTGTTCGCTGCATGATGTCACGCTGGGCGTCAATGCGATAGTCTTCCGAAAGCCCGTCGATTTTGTGGATCAACACCTCAATGTGGATCTTTGGGTTCACTTTGTAAGCGTACTCGATGATCATAGACAAGTTGGTGAGCGCATTCAAGTACTCGTCTTGCGAGTCAATCACATACACCAACGCACCGACACTTGCAAAAAGACGCTCGCTGTCATACGTGGGCTCAAAGTAGTTGAGCTGGCCCGGCAACTCCATCACAGAAAGGTCAATGAGAGACAGAAACTGCTCGCTGATGGGTTTGGTGGTGCTTTCCAAATACAAGGTATCTAGCGGCTGCATGTTATGGAAGACGACTTTGCAGATGGACGACTTGCCGCCTCGGCGCAAGCCCATCAAAAGAATGGTGGCGTTGGTAGTTTCTTTCGGGGCGGTTTCCATAATGAAGCGGGTCTAATGTTCTTATCGGTAAGAAAGTGAGCGCAGGAATGTTGGAGTGCGACCAAGTACACCAGAAAATAAGGTATCACAGCTAGGAGAAGACACAATCACTAAGAGTGAAATGTGAGATGATTTACAAGTAGGGCAAAGATTGGCAAGGGCAAAATAAGTAGGACAGGACTTTGTGTCAAAACATACATAATAGGTCAAAGTACTACAATACCAAAAGGCTCCATGGCAAGGAGACGTCTATTTATGGAGTACTAATGCAAAAAGAAGATGAAGATTTTATGGAATACTAATGCAATAAGATGACGAAAAAGAGACAATCTAAGCTGCCATCGGAATAGATGCAAACCTTTGTTAACTATGGGGCTATTAATCATTTATTTCCTTCTCTATTATGTATTGAGTGATACCAAAATCGGACGTAACATAGTTGGAAAACAAAGCCAATGTCGAAATTCCACACTGTTGTAGAAGATTTCGTTGTCATTGAAGAGCAAGTCAAATTTTTAATCTTTCGCTGAATAATCTGAGCAATGGCATTGGCTGAATGAACCTGCTCTGTTGGTATATGTTTTAGCTTTCCACACAATTGACAGACCTAATGAGCATTATGTATGGAATCAATACAGTATTGAGGGGTCAAAAGTCATCAGACTGTTCTCTATGGCATCGTGCAATGGTCGTTCTCTTCATATACCATCAGAAGAGGGCCCAAACACATACAACAACGAAGATGGACGATTTATCCAGTATAGTTAGACCTTAATTGAAACATAGAAGAAAGTTTCCCGTACTCGTCTGTGCCATCATCATCTCTTGACATCTATCCCCTAGTCTTGTGGTCCCTCTCATTTCCGTCGTTTCTGCTACCTTAGTAATGCTCCCACTCCTATACCCTCCACTGCTTCAATAATGGCACTTCCCATGACACCCGGGCCCCCCACTATTCCATGTTTCCGTTTATCCCAGAGCAGGTACATTCGTACCGTTCCATCGTTTGTGACCACGGCAATCTGCGTTTCATCTGGAGCCATGGATGCGCTTAAGGCTCTTACGGATTCTCCAGGAACGAATTCGGCCAAAAGATTCATCTTAGGATACGAATAAACGCCAACCAACCGACCGTTGGGCAGAAAACCAAAAGTTGCCACAAGTTCCTTTCGGGAGCGAGACCAATGAATAGAAGAAATCTGGCCGCCTGTGAAAAACTGGCGCAATAACAGCCCGGAAGACAGATGCCAAAACCGAATATGTCGATCATTGCTTCCTGCTCCCAGAACCAAAAGCGAAGGTGCCCAAGGGCAAAACAGAAGACCTTTTACTGCAGAAGTATGCTCTAGGCGGTGCAAAAGAGCGGGAGACGAAAGATCTGAAATGTCCCAAATAAGAACCAAATTTTCATTCCCACCAATAGCAGCCCGAGTCCCGTCGGCGTTGACGGCAATTTCTGGGGTTAGTAATCAATCATATGGAGAAAACCAAAAGATCGAACACATGGAATGGAAAGGAGAACGAGCAAATAACAGTGAAGGCTCCAACAATATCAAGCGGATGTTTGTCTGCATCCCATTAAAAGCCCTGAAGCAAAAGGTTCCATTCCTAAAATGAAGTACCTTCTCCATATTCTCTTCCAAGTCCATTCCAATGTTTCACAATGAACTCACACATTCTTCAAATACATACCACAAACTTGCTGGCATAAGCCATCCAAGCGAGAAATTATTTCCACCCGTTCTCGCAAACAAAGACAGAAAACCTCGCCGGCAGCAGTTCCTGCTAATAGGAAATTTGGAAGAGGAAGAAACCGCACGCAGTGGATTGCTGAACCGAATCGGCGCCTAAGGCGACGTCCCACGCCCAGAAACGAAAGTGCACCGTCACACGAAGCAACTGCTACTATATTTCCATGACACGCCACACAAGATATCAGATCCAGAGCGACCATTCCAAGACGATCAATATCGCCTGTTCCGTCCCACCAGTAGACAGCCTCGCCAATGCCTATGGCAAAAGCCTTCTTGGGTGCGCTCCAAGAAACTAGATTGTAATAAAAATTAGGCGCAAGTCCAGGTGCCACCAAATATTGTGTTTCCACAAGAGCTCGGGGCCGGGTTACAGCTGTCTTTGGTGCATAAGCGATGGGGCACAACGGAGACGAGACAATGGGATTATCAAACTTTGGCGCCAGTGGGCCAGGCGAAAAACGGCCGAGAGGTGCAGTTTTGGGCCGATAGTGCAAAGTGCGCGAGGGAAGGGCAAGTACGCCCAATAAAAGTGGGTGTGCAAAATCAGGTGCACACAGGTCTTCAATTTGGCCCAACCGCTCTGAATGGAAAGAGGCATTTGCTGATGTATTTGGAAAATTAGCCTCTGGAGCAGCTCCTAAGGAAAGTTGGGCCAAAGATGCTTCAAGCGACAGCATGGAGCGTTGTTGAGAAAAAGGGCGGAATTCGTTGTTCGCACCATGGAGCTGCGAATTGGGCCGCGCTTCTGAATGAGGGCGCGGTTCGCGCCTCGAGGAGGGAAGAAGTGGGAAAGGCACACTTGGATGCTCGGGCGCGCGCCCCAATTCTGAGGGCGGGCGCGCGGATTGCGGGCGTGAAAGAAGAGCGAGGTCGCGCGAGTCTCCTGGGCGCGGCCACATGGTTGAACTAAGTAATTGAAGGTATGAAGTTGAAGGATGAAGATATGAGACAGATAAAATCACACAAAGCCAGATTGGCCTCCACAAGCGACTGCAGCACCGAATGTAGCCAAATTGAATCTAGATAGTAGCTGTTCAGATTGCAGTCCGAGAGATCGGCTAAAGCAAACTAAGGGTCAATCTGACAGACCGCTCCATCAATATATGACCTCCAGTTGTAATCGGAGATGACAGAAAAATGTAAGGCGCCGATCAAATAAACCGATGAAGACAAATTTCAAAAACCCCACAAACGTAATCTCTGCTTACTTCCACAAAGAATGGGTGCAAAAGATGCGCGCAGATAAGGCCACGATAAAATTCCAACAAGACAAAAGCCATCACAAGTACAATGAGAGTTAATTCAAAACTTTTTCAAAAAGACAACGCAAAGTAGCACAGTTTTTACCACAGCATCTTTCTGATAGTACTGGACATCTGTCGTCGGTAGTGTGATACCCAATAGTTCATATCAAGCTGTGTAACTGCAGGAAGCAACTCAACTAAACGTTCTCAAGCCACTAGCCCGAAAGTCTATCTGCTTTGGTATTTACCATAGTTGAAAGCAATACCATAGTTAAGCTTACCATAAGCAATACCATAGTTGAAGGCAATTGATACCATAGAAAGCAATTGATACCATACTTGACAAAACAATTGACCCAATCCCGAAAGAGAAAGACACAAGGCATACAGACACATATCACCAAGACCCAAAACGAAAGAAAGCAATCGACCAAACTCGATCCCCACAAACTAGACCTTCGCCTAATATTTCTATTCAGCCATGCCGGACCTTCCATCACTAGTTGTGCCCTTCTTCACTTCCATGACCGCGTACATTGCTGCGTGTATGCGCACATACGTTCCTCTCCCGTTTATTGACGAATACTTCCATCTTCGCCAGGCGCAGGCGTACTGTGCGAGCGATTACGCGGTGTGGGACCCCAAAATCACCACGCCGCCCGGGCTTTATGTCCTAGGCGCGTTTTGGGCCCGCGTTTTGGCCGCGTGGGGAGTATCCGCGCCTTGTGGCACCACCATGCTTCGCGCGCTCAATCTTTTGGGCGGAACACTTGTGTTGCCGCTCGCCCTTCAGGGCGCGCTCGAACGCAACTACTGGAAAACCAACATCGCTGCGCTCCCATTGTTGTACACGTATTTCTTCCTCTTCTATACGGATGTGTGGTCAACAATCTTTGTGGTGTGGGCTATACTCGCAGTAACAACGTTTCCAACCGCGAAAGGTGCCATAATATGCAACGTTGCCGCATTTGCCAGCATGTGGTTTCGCCAGACCAATGTCATCTGGCTCGCTTTCGCTGCCGTGGTGTTTGTCGATCGGCGCAGAAAAAGGCAAGCTTCTTTTGTCGCTGAGTTGAAGCTGTTCTTCTCCCAATGCCTTCGTGACTGGCCATTGTTGCTTCCATTTGCTATCAACATTGGTCTTTTTGCGGCGTTTGTCGTGTACAACGAAGGCATCACTTTTGGTGATAAGGACAACCACAAAGTCACTGTTCATGGCACGCAGATTTTCTACTGCAATGCTTTCTTGGCTGTGATGTTGGCTCCTCTTTGGTTTTCCTGGTCCACGGCGAAACTGTACATCCGTTTTGCCGTGACAGGTCGCAATGGGGTCAACACAGTCTTCACTGCAGTTGCCTTTGCCGTTATTTACTTCATCATTGTTAATTTGTCGGTGGTCCACCCCTTTTTGCTTGCCGATAACAGACATTACACCTTCTACATCTTCCGCAAGATTATCCGCAGACCATATGCCAATTTCTTATTGGTTCCTGCTTACCATTTTTCCACATGGGTCGTATTTCATCTCTTTTTGAAATCCCAGTCTGCATCCTCCTTAACTTTGGGTCCCATGGGTATCTTAGCTTGGGCAGGAGCCTGCGTTTTGACGTTGGTGCCCTCGCCTCTATTTGAGCCTCGGTATTACATTCTTCCGTTGGTGACGCTTCGTCTATTCACAAAACCTGATCCAGGAACGCGAACTCATATGTTGGAGTTTGTGTGGTATCTGTTGATTAACGCTCTTGTTTTCATTGTCTTTTTTTCCTATGAATTCTCGTGGCCCACCGAACTCGCTCCGCAGCGTATTATTTGGTAAGTCTTAAACGTACAGTATCAATTCACGTTTACATTGGCATGACCAGCAGCGCCAATGTATCTAAAAATCCAATTTTTGTGCTTGTATTGTAGGTGTAATAACTCCGCCAAGTATAGTCGCTGCTCTCTAATTATGCAGTTGGGAGTATGTACATTCTTGAAGCACTCAATCGTCACCATCAGTAGTCGCATCAATTGCAGCTAGGTTCTCACTTATGAAATCGTCTGTACGTCTGTCACTGACATTGGGAACATGGTAAGAAAAGGCGCTGCACAAATGTTCGATTAATGTGCGATTGCTTTCGAGCTTGCGTTCCTCCTCAGTCAAGGAATCAATCCAGTTCTTAACACATCTCTCTCGAAGAACATCAAGATATGGCTGCTCCTTCTTGGTAACATGGTCAACATACACGAGCTCACTATCTACACCACATACCATGTCTTGGTTGTCCAAGGTTGTTCGGAGATCCCAATTGCCTTGCTCCAAATCTTTGGCAAACATAAGCATAAAATCGCCGAAATTGTCAGCGATCTTGAACTTTGTATCAAAGTCGCGACCAAAAACAATAACCTGTCCCCATACCGCTCCGCTAAGCCCGGATTGCAGATGAGTGCTCTCTCCCTCTTCTGAAGCGGGCAGTAAGTCAAGTGCTATGGAATTCCCAGCACCATCTGTGATGATTGGGATCCACATGTCATCGACATATTTAGGGTAGATGGCTCCAGGGGGCACAGAGTGCTGTTCTGGCATTGATGTCAGTAGAGTTGGCTTTCTTTCGGGAAGCCCTGTTCCCAAATCACCCTCGAGTGACGTTAAAGTTGCGTCTGCATCTTGCTCTGTATCCTTCAGTGTTGTTGTCATGTTCCGTGCAATAAGTGATTGGTTTGCTTTGCGCCAGCTCTCCGTAAGAACGGCAATTTGGTCTATGGACAAGAGTTTAAGACCGTAGATCAAGCCACCAGCACCATTGTCATCAAACGAAGACTGGCCATCGGTGAGAAGAAAAAATTCGGTCACACACTGTGGCAAGCGGACCCCCAAGTCCTTTTGGAGCTCATTAAGATCTGCAGTTGTGCAAGGCGTCAGCAACAGGTCATTCAAATCCGAGCTATGTTTGTGGAGCCATTTTTTAATATGCCGCCACGCAAGACGCATCTCGTGGACCCCATCGCCCACTGCTGCATTACTTACGGAGCCTGTCAACGAAACAGAAGAGGCATTGTTGTGGTGCGAGAGAAGACTGGTTTCTGCGCTTGGTTTGTTAATTCGGTTGAAAGATTTGCGCGAGTCGTAGTCAGAGTACTTGTCTGGCGCGTTGAGTGAGTAGAAAAACTCTTTGATTCGCAGAGAAAGCGACATTGGAGAATCAAAACACTAGACAGAGCCCAAGAAGATAAAATGCCTTGACCATTATCGGAGCGCGCGGTAGCAAAATGAATTTCCTGCACGAAATACACGCGCCTTGGTTCACCGGCTGCAAATTGGCAAAGACGAGTCTTAGAGAAACGATACATCTGTACCCCGGGCATGAAGTGCCAATTCTATCGAAAAGAAAAAACACGAAAAACCGGGAATTCTTCTGGAAAAACCAAAACTAACACCGTGGAAAGAAAAGAGCGACATTTACTACAGATAGAGCTCACTAAAAAGAACATCCAGAGAATTCCAATAAACGTCAAAGTTGGGCGCGGTCATGTCTCGCTGAACCTCCACACAACCAGAACGGCATGCTTTGGTTCAGCTGGTCTAGCCACGACAGTTCCGCTAGGCGTTTCGTTTTAGTTATTCGTGGTAAACAAATTGGAGAAGAAAAATTTTGTTGCGGGAAAGCGCGCGCTTATATACCCCGCGTCCGGGTAATCCCTCAGATTATGAGTGCTTTGGGATGCTAGCATACAAACTTTGTTGATCAAAACAATTTCACATTGAAGATAACTTGGTTTCTAGCATTTATGGATGGTTAGGAGCAGAGACGCAAAAAGTTGATGATTTTTGCCCATTGTGCGGTCCATAACATGTCCCAAATAGGAAATAAATAAACATGGCAAATGTTCCAAACATCACGTGCACTGAATTTCACGTGCACTACTGTACTTCTTATCCTTGCTCAACGTTCAACATTTCACGTTTCGAAATTTTGTGACCACCAATAATGACTTCTTTTGCCAAGATCAAGTGCTACGCTGCGTCGTTTTTCGTGTTTTATTTTTTGTATCTTTACGTTTACAAGTGTCCATCCACTCATGAGAGCTTTTTGGAGCACACGCTTGGTAAAGTGATCCACCCATTTTCCCACTCTCACAACAAGTTATGTGGCGCTGTCGACACCGCTAACGAGAAGGTCACGCCCTACGTCAACTCGGTTACCACCTTTGTTGGCGACAAGGTGCACTCCCACCCATTTTACAAGCAATATCAAGTTGAGGCCAAGCTCAACTTGGTCAAGGCTCAATACTTGCAACACGTTTACCCATATGTGATCAAGTTGTTCCAATTGTTTGAGATTGTCGAATACCATATTGCTGTGAAGGTGAATGAGTTGTACGCTTTCTTTGAAAGCCACTTTCACAAGACGGTCGTGCCTCACGCTTCTAAGTTGAAGACCTCTGCTATCGAGCACGCCGAGACTGTGAAGGAGCAGATCAAGTCTAAATTGGACTAGATCCGTATATGTTTATAGTAATATAGTCGCCCTTTATTTCAGTGTAATCTTTCCTCACCGCAAGGTCGTTTCCATCGCAAACATGTATTCAACTTTCACTCTCAAAAAGCTTCATCTGCTTCCCCTGCTTCCAAATACTCATCTGCTTCAATTGGTTCGTAATCAGCAGAATTAGAGACATCGAGCTGGTCATGAGCACCGAGAATCTGATTCTCGGCTTCGCTGTGAGTTGATTGACTTGGACTTGACACAGTGGCAGTCTCTAGAATAGGGCTGCAAGTGACTTCAGGGATATTTTCCGCATCAGTATTGTCTTCTTCCTTCGAGAGCTCCAGGAACAGCTGTGCGATGGCCTCAGGTACCTGTGTATTAACCGCAATGGCTTCTAAGGTTGCACTGCCTATGTCAGACACAGAATCAGTCTCTTTATTTGAACTCTCGACTGACATTGCAATACTTGTTGACAGGCCCGGATTGTTAGATTTCTTCTGTTCTTCTTCTTCCTGTTGTGCGGCCTTTTCCTGCGGGGTCTCCTGCTGTACTGCTTTCTCTCGTTCTGCTTCCTCCCGTTCAGCTTTCTCTCGTTCTGCTTCCTCCCGTTCAGCTTTCTCCTGTTCTAAGTTCTCCTGTTCTAAGTTCTCCTGTTCTAAGTTCTCCTGTTCTAAGTTCTCCTGTTCTGATTTCTCCTGTTCTGCCTTCTCTTGCGCATCTTGCTCTGCCTTCTCCTGTTCTGCTTTCTCTTGTGCAGCTTGCTCTTGTTCTGCTTTCTCCTGTTCTGCTTTCTCTTGTGCAGCTTTCTCTTGTGCAGCTTGCTCTTGTATTTCCTCCAATTGTCTGGTCAAGCCTTCCCTCATTTGGTAGGCTACATTGGCCTTCGCTCTCACCAACTTCAAATAATCATCGTTATCACTCAATAGGAATCTGATGTGAAAGTTAATGTTATCCAAATACAATGCCCATGGCTCCAAGGCACGAGGTTTAATAGAACCACGGGGTTGTAACTTGTATGTGTGAGCTTCATCGAGTATTTTGTCTCTCGCATTGAAAATCAGCTCCTTGATCTTATGGAATTCCTTCCAGGCATTCCAGCTAATCTCATCTTCGAAATCAACATTATTTTCCAAAATTGTCAACAATCCAGACAACGAGTTGGAAAACTCAAGAATCTTAGTGTCTGCAAAAGATTCCAAGACATCGATCGTGTTTTGTGCCACTTCGAAGTACTTTTCCATAATGATCCCATGAGCTTCATTCAAAACCAACTCAACATCTTTCATGGAATTCTCCACAGCCTCACGAGCCTCCAGAATTCGGTCTCTCATCATTTGTCTGTCCACTTCGGGAGATAAAATGATCTCCTTTGTCGTAATAAGTGTTTCGGAGTCTTTATCAATAGATGAAATCATTTCAGCCATAACCTTATAACGCAAATAGTTTTCCTGTTGCAATTTTGTAAAATTGGCGGATATTCTGTCCTTCAAGTCCCCAATTATGGTATCTAAAAATGGCTTCAGCTCTGTTTCAAGGGACGATTGAGATAAATCTATCATTTTCAGGACTTTGTTCCGCCAATACTCGATTTCCTGTTCCACTTGTGCCTTTGGTGAAAGCAACCCATAAGCCTCAACATTATCGTCCTCGATCTTGGGCACTGCGATATTATTATGGGGCTCTACAGTATAACTTTTTGACTCCTTCTCAGCCTTGGGCTCTGCAGAAATATCATGGGATTCAATTGAAGATCCATTCGTCTCCTCCTCAGAATTAGGCTCAATTTTATTATGAGATTCGATGGAAGGACTTTTCGTTTCTTCCTCCACTATTGTGACGGTTGATGTTTGAGTTACAGTGATGTACTCAATCTCCGTATCACTTTCATCAGAATCAGAGTTTTCAAATTCCTGGGTAGTATTTCTTATGATCTCCGGACTTTGCATCACTCTGGTCTCCAGTAAATTGCCCTTCAATCTTTGCTTCAACCTGTCAGAACGAGTTAAATTATAGACTTCAGACCGCAAGAAATCTGTCTTTTGTTGCATGGTATTCGAAAAGTGGCTGGACTTATCCATCAATGAGGAGACCAAAAGCTTTACATGCTTGAAGAACCATTGAACTTGGGTAGTGGCTAATATCTTTTGAACATGCGCGTTCGCGTGGATGCGCTTCGTGATAGTACGTAATGATGGACCAATATAGAGCTCTAGTGATCTTTGAGCATGTCTTTTTGATGCTCTTAAAAACAATGAGATATTGAGTCTAGCTTTCGTGGAAAGAAAACCAACAACACGGGATGAGCGGCTACGACAAGTCTCCCATTGGTACATTATCATAGGCTTCTTACCCTCGTACATCAGTTGTACCTTAGCGATATAGTACAGTGCACGCAGATGAAGCATGGCTTGAATACGGCCAATATTCCTGTTGGCCCACACTTGAACGGATGTCCACCACAGATCTAATTTATACGATAAGCGATGCTTTTCGTCAAAAGCGATCCATTGAAGATGGCAGGTTTCGAGCTTGGGATTTATCAGTTCAGAGATTCCGAATTTTTCATCAACATTTGTCAACAGAGGATGGATATAACGATCCCACATAGGGTACACCACGTAATTCAATTGGATACAACTGGTTCGAGCCACAATGTTATAGTTTGAGAAATCATTCCGACAAGCAAAAAACAATAAGAATGCACCGTATGCTAGAGCCCAGAGGCCGATGACACGTGAAAGTAGATTCATCAATCTGTTTGTGGAATCTGAAGGATGATTAGGTAGTTGAAACGGCAGTAGACATGTGTGTTTCTACATGCAGGTTTCGTATGTTTGAGATTCTGGGTCATCGTACTCCTTATATACTCATGTGGCTGCAAAAAAAAAATATTAGCAGCCACGAGTTACCATGGGTATTTAAAGCAACCCTCTTCTTCTAGTTTAATGGTATTTCACTTATTTCCAGCCACCACATTTTAAACAGCCTTAGTATTATTTGCCAGACAAATTGGCACTATGAAGATCTAGATACATTGGGTACTGTCAAGAAAAAAGTTGTACATCTTTCTTCTTTATGGCAACTTTGCTTGGTTCTTTTTGCAGTTTGAAGTCGATTTGACTGGGAATTAATCTTCTATTTTCATTAGGTATTCCATAATAGATCACGTGCCTTCAGTTACATGGAATTAAGAAATGCCTTTGCTCAGCGCAATTTCCAAGTACCAAAAAATGGGACACTCTTGCTCAGCACAACTTGCAACCTTCGGAGTGTTGGTATTTGCAGCAGGTTATTCGCTACATGGCTTCTTGAATCGTACTTCGATTACTAGGAAACGGTTTAGTCGTCGTTCTGAGACTGACACAGAAAGCACAGAGTCAGGCACTGAATCAGAGTATGAGTCTGAAGATGAAATAGATATTGACTCGACTGCCCTTAATGATATTCCAGGTGAGGTGCGCATGACTTTGGTTGTACGTCAAGACTTAAAAATGGGAAAAGGTAAAGCCGCCGCTCAATGTTCACACGCCACCTTGGCACTTTATAAGAAGATGTCAGACTCCTCCAGTGCTGCTTACAATCCAGAGCTTCTTAGAAGATGGGAAAGAGGCAATGGTCAAGCAAAAGTGACATTGCAAGTGCCTAACCAGGAGGAGATGGATCTCTTGTTCGCCAAAGCCATGTCGTTAGGTGTCAATGCCTACATTGTTCATGATGCTGGACGTACTCAGATTGCTGCTGGAAGCGCTACTGTCCTTGGACTTGGGCCTGCCCCAAAGTTGGTGATGGATCAGATCACAGGCGAATTAAAGTTATACTAGTTTTGTACATAGAAAGCTCGTTGTCATTACACATCCGGGGAGCTCTAGACCCCCGCCAATGAAAATAAATCGTTTCAACAACAAGTTCCGCTTTTCCCAAAGATACAACATTCAACAATCATCGAGGCTAGTGGAGCCGGCGCCTTATGTTATCACGAACACTTAGCGGGTTAACAGCCGAAGACGCCCGTCGTTTTCTCGCTCTCTTCATCTGGCCCGGTATACTGTCATCAACATCCAAAAGTGCATCTTCATCCTCATCATCCTCGTCACTATCAATTGCTCCTATAACTGAATCGACTTCCGAATAGAAATCGTCAACGTCATCCAATCCCAACAGAGATTGCCGGCGCCTGCGATTTTCTCGAGACATCAGTGCACGATGACCGTTACGAAGACGCTCTAATGCATCGATTCTCGCCCATATTTCTCCTTCAGTACGTTGGGGAAGTAAAATAGAAAGCTCGGCAAAAGATAACTCCTTCCGTCGCCTATTGATCAACAACTCGTCTTCCTCCATGGACCAGGGCAACTTGAAAATTGGCTGAGTTGAAGCTGATTTTTTGGGGGTTTCCAGTCTTTCGCTCGATTCTTTTTCATTTTCTTGTTCCTTTACCTTAGATTTTTCGTTCTTGACATCTTTTTCAGAACCTCTTCTCTCCGTGTGTACCACCAGCATTGACAGACGACGCAAATATGCTTGAGGAGGACCGACAATGGAGCCATTTCTGATGCTGGAGAGAGTGGACGCTAAATGTGGGAGCCCCGTAGGTCCTGATATGGAAGTGTTCCTTGAAGGCCCGCTGATGCTGTTACCACCAAACAATACTGGCAAGTGGGCCAACGCATTGTTGTTCAGCTGGTGATGCGGAATGTTCATGGAGTTTGAGGGGAGACTCAGCATGGAATGCCGCAGTTGCAGCGACACAGATGTGCGATCATCACGAACTATTTGAATGATGGAATTATTATGGATTGGCATTGTGTGCTGGTCAACGTTGGATGACCGAGGCGTCAATCCCAGTGACATCGGCACTGGATGCGGCCTATTATGAGGCAAGTTCAGCGTAGGATCCACGGAAATGTCAGTGAAGTAGCCTCCAGATGTGCCAGCGGCTGCTGCGCTGTGTGTTTGAGGGTCTAACGCCACATCCAGTTTGGGCAGATTGTCAAAAGTCTGGGGGTGTGACGTGGTGTTGATAAGTCCACTTTGTTGTGATCCTACAGATGCACCCAGGGTTGACGACAAAGCGCTCAAACCGGCAAGCGCCGTCGACACCGTGTCATATCCAGTGAAGGTTGTGTTGGCTAAAGGAGAGTACACCGGTGCCAATGATGAAGTGGGTGTCTCAGATTTGCGTCGTTTGGGGGCTTTTTTGGGCGCCAGGCCTGCTGGAGAACCGGGTCCTTGAGAAGGGCTTGGGGTCTCCGTTATGGACGTTGCCGCGAGGCTACCAATCGCGGCGGCACTCTTCGGAGGATTCTTCAAGTTCCCGCTTTTTAAACGCCGCCAGCGAAACTGACACGCATTGGGCGTCCTGTTGTGGAAATGGGACGCGATTTCCTTCCACCCGAGCTTCTGATTGTCCTTCAAGTGCATCAAGAGCACATCATCCAGTGCGTCCCACGAAGTTGGGGTCCTCAGAAAGTTCTTTGACGGAGGGGATGCCGAAGGCGTAGGATCGCTAGACTCGTTCGCCATGTTGTTTTTGAGCGCCAGCAGTATGGAATCGAATGTACGGCTGTGTAAGCGGTCAGTGCCGAGATTGGGTGTGGGTACGTCGAGTCGTGTGGTGATGATCATCTCGACGACGCGCGCACGTGACGCCACGAAGTCTCGGGCCGCGAAAATGGAACTTAGCTACAATCGCTTTTCGCAGCCACCCCACAATTGCAACAATAAAAATGTCGTTCTTGTGTTCTCATACGTGAATAAAAAAAAGGTTGGGGAGTTATCCCTATTTATATTGAGGCAATTTTTATTCCTGCAGACAAAAATCGGGGCTGTAATTAGAATACACAGTATATAAACAAGTGATGGTGCTCTTTCTAAGCTTTTCAGTTTTTGGCACAAACATGGTAATTGGTGACTATTTAAAATGTTTAAAGCAATAGTAGAACTTTCTGAAGTCGCTGAGATAACAAATTATGGTACACATTGGATTTTTGACAGATTTTGAACGAAAGGATGATAAAGTTATCGTAAGTGACGTTTGATTTCGTTCGCTTAATGTGAGTCAGAAACTTTGACAAGGACTACGGTTTACATTTGCTTGCTATAAAAGCATCCTGAAATACGCTGAGATAAAAGGGGTTCTATCCTAACACATTACATGGTCATAAACCATTTAGGCGTATCGTGGATCGACTCATGTGTGTCAAGAAATCCACGAAACGTGCCCTTTAGAAGAGATCCTTCAATTCTCGTGAGGTACAAGAATTCCCTACCTTACAGAGTTCATGCCTGACATTCAAGTGCTCTTACATCTATAAACACTAGGATGACTGCAATCAGACGAAATAATTAGGCCTCCTCCGATCCCACTTTTTGAATCCAGATCTTTTCTGCTTGCACAATGGTGTCGTTGTTGGCACGCATTTTGTTCATCGTCTCCACATACTCATCGTATTCATCACTGTCGAAAACAATGCCTCCGCCTGCTTGCAAGTATGCCACGCCGTTTTTGTAAACCATTGTTCTTAAAGCAATGCATGTGTCCATGGTTTTCCCGTCATAGCCCCAATGACCGACAGCTCCAGCATATACTCCTCTCTTTTCCTTTTCTAACTCACCGATGATTTCCATTGCTTTCACCTTTGGTGCGCCACTCACAGTTCCTGCGGGGAAAATAGACCGGAAAGCGTCAAACCGGGTTTTGTCAGGACGGAGCACACCTGTGACCTCAGAAACCAAATGCATCACATGCGAAAAGCGTTGGATGGTCAACAAACGTTCCACACGGTTACTTTCGGGAGTGCAGACTCTGTTAACATCATTCCGTGCCAAATCCACTAGCATAATGTGCTCAGCACGGTCTTTCAACGATGAACGCAAAATCAGCGCGTTGCGTTCTTCTTCCTCGGGAGTTTTCCCTCTTACAATGGTTCCTGCAATTGGGTGAGTGGTGATTTGACTCTTCTTGTCTGCTTTCACCAAAAGCTCTGGCAGTGCTCCTATGATCTGGAAGTCTACCAAATCAACATAGAAAAGATATGGAGATGGATTGACCGTACGCAAGTGGCGGTAGATGTTGAATGGGTGCAACGATGTGGGGCGTGCAACTCTCTGCGATGGCACCGCCTGGATCACGTCGCCCGCCTTGATATGGGCCTTCAATGTGGTTACGTGACGCTTATAACCTTCTTCACCGATGTTCGATGTAAATGTCTGGTGAGGGCGGATGGGTGGTTGATGAGGATTCAACTCTTCCAATGGTCTCTGCTCCTTCAACTTTTGCTCTACCCAGCGTATCTCTTTGACTGCCGCAGAGTAAGCCTGTTCCAAATCAGTTTCCGGATCCACGTGGACGTTGTTGATGATTTGGAAACGTTGGTACACATGGTCGAATGCCACTATTAGGTCACAGAGCATCAATACTGCTTCAGGAACTTGCAAAGTGTCTTTGAGATCACGGCGGGTTTTCGGTTCAAAGTATTTGATACAATCATACGAAATGTATCCGACGGCACCTCCACTCAACGGAGGTAAACCGGGCAACTGAGCCTGGCGACAGTTGGAAAGTTCCTTCTCCAAAACGGAAATCGGATCAACATTACAGAATTCAGGTGCGAACACCGCTTCGTTGTCACCAGTCTTGATGATCTTCCTCGCACGGAGCCCGATGAACGAATACCGGTCGACAGAATCACCATTGACAGACGACTCAAACAAAAAAGTTTCCGACCGCTTGTCATTGTTTAAATCCGCAAGACGCAAGTAGGCCAGATGCACAGTCAAATCTTCTGTTGCCATGTACTTATAGATCGGGTAGATGTTGGGAGGCAAAACATTGTCCTTGTCCTGGGCAACTATTTCGGCCAAACCTGTAAGCAGGGGCTGAATGTCTATTTGCATTGTGTTTTCGGAAAAAATATTTGGTAGTTGGCAAGTCTGACTCAGAATGAGTGAGATGGTAAAATGAGCGATATGCAGGTGGTAACTACAACTAGTTGGAGAAATTAACATGACAGACTTCCCATTACGACCGTTCAAACTAGGTTTGGCGTTCCAGTAAAAAGTTTCAAATGGCATGGTTATCTATGTAAGTTTATTGAGCGATCGTGGTGGTGATTCCAAATTTCTTGCAATATTAAGTCTGCTTCATTTGAAATCCCATGGGCCTGAAGTTGTATATACAAGAAGATTCATTCTAAAGTTGCAGAATGGATATGCAAACTCATCAAATGGATGAGAAATAAAATGCAGAGAGTTGTTGTGGCTAAAATTTATGGGAGTCGGCCAGTTTCACAATGCACTCACCGTTTACGGCGTTGACATGTACAAGATCGTTTGTTGTGACGACACTGCCCACGGCCAAATTGTGATCCGATTCAACAGTGATTTCTAACGCCAATTGCTCACAAAAGGCGTGCCAGAGTTTTCTGCCGTTTGACACGGGTCCTGCGCGTGTAATGATGCATTGGTAGGATTCGTGAGTTTGTTCCACATATCGTAACTTCCAGAAAGTACTGCGTAGCTCCGATATGTATTGGGCACCAAGACGTGCATCCTCCATACTTTGAAGGTGAGTGGCCAATACCTCGGATATATGTGGACCGTGCAATGGGTACCCCCGAGCACGAAGTTCAGAAAAGATTGCCACACGAGTCAATAGCGGTGTTTTGGCCACAGTGGATGCATGAATAAATGCAAGAAGTTGAAGTTGGTTAACGTATGCAGCTATTGATGACGAAGCATCAACGTCCACATAACCAGAGTTGAGACCTAGCGGCACATGCACGGTGTCTGCATTAGTGTGCAAACGGGGAGGTGCCAAGTAGTTGTTACCAGCAAAGTAAGCTGCTGGGGACACGTTTCCAGCAGCATCCCTAGCCAAGATTGTCTGGTAGTACGAGTTTGCCTCGAAGTTGGGCAATAATCGGTTGTTATGCGAGATATACACCTCATCAGAAGGAGTCAGCATGAGCTCCTGGCCCTCGGCAAAGACAGGGATGCTCTCGCGCAAGCAAAACGTACCTGCCATGGAGCCAGCCAAGATTTTAAGCTCGCGTACAAATCGGGAAGCACGTGGAGTAGCGAGAGAACGTACATGGACGCCCTTAGGCGTATCCTTGGTGCAATTTCCTCTATCTCTGTCTGTTAATACACCATTTGCCAGGATTACCGCTCCATCTACCAACTTTTGGTCCTCTGTTTCGTTGGTGTTCGCGTCGAAAGTTATGTCTTTCTCTAGCATTGACTGATCCGCCAAAGCAGCGCAGCGACGGTTCCGGGTCGTACGGTAGCGTTCCAAGATATTATTCACAAAATTTGCGACGAACTTGTCTGCTGTTGACGTAGACGTGTGCGCTCGAGTAAATAAGCGGAATGCAAGCAGATGTTCTTCTGGACGAAGCCGATCCTCCAACTCTGCGAGTGACAAAACACGGACATCCCCCACGCGGTCAAAGCTTATATTGACAAACAGCGAAAGATCAGCCAATGGGTCAGTCCTCTCCGTGTGGTAGTCAAGGCTGATGGTCAAACATGTAGACTCAGACAGAACGTTTGTCGAAGAAGCATCGCCGACGCGGAAAAATCTACTAGCAGGACGTTCACCTGGACGTCCAGAAAGTGAAAGATTATCTGCAACGGCTCCAAGTGGACTCGGGCCGCCGCCCACTCGAAAGTAATTTGCCAGAGTCTGGGTCCACCGCTCGAACAAGGCAGATGCGGGTTCAACGTGTGCCGCCACGTCACTGACGTGAATACTGAGTTTGTAGCGGCGAGGGGAGATTTTCGCAAGCGAAAACGCAAATGGTGTCCCCTCCACAGCGTACACCTCCAGAATGGTGGCACTACGGAGGTGCGAGAAAAGGTCGGGTGGGGCAGAAGAGCCGGAACGCACCACGGGTCCAGGCGCGATGTCAGAATCCTTTGCTGCAGCCAACGCCTGTTCTCGAGGCAAGCCGGCAAGCCCAGCAGACAAAACAATGTCTGTGCTCGAGTTGTATACGCCTATGCGCCTGAGGAGATCGTACACATGGCGGGGCTGAAGAGACGAGCAAGTAGCAGAGTTTTTGCGCAAAACACGCAACTTCGAGAGCCGGTCCATGAGTCGCGGGTGCGGGCAAACCACAGCGTGGCGAAGGGCGGTGAGCGCAGCGCGATGGCGACGGCCCTCCCAGAGATTGAACAGCGCGGCAGCGTCGTGAGGGCGCGCCTCAAGGTCACTGAGGAAAGAGTCGAGCGCATCGCAATCGGCAGGCAGTGCTGCCAAAAGGGCGGCGACTGCGTCCATTGTCGCCACAGAATTGGCCAAGTAAATTGGTGCGGGCGGAAGCGTGTTCAGACAGCGGCGCCATACGATGTTGGATGAAGGAGGCAGCGCCACGGTCCAGCGAGCGGCGTCGGCGCGCATTGCGCAATGCACCGCCCAGAGCAAGGCGCCCTGGTGGAAGTAGCTTGGGAGCGAGCGCGGGTCCGGTTCGACGGCCGCCGCGGCGACCGCGAGGCTGGTGCAGGTAGCGGCGTGCGGGGCGGCCACAGCGGCGTAGTGGGCGCGCAAGGCCGATGCCGCACGTGCGCGAAAGGTGTCGGCGAGGGCCGCGAACAGGCGCACGAGCGGGAAAACCGGGCGATATTTGCAGCCATTTCCCACAGACTCGCGCGGGTTTTGTGTCGCGTGCACTTTGTGCGGCACCGATGCTTGGCCCGACTCTTGGACTGGCCCTTGAGTCAGCTGAATGTTCAATTCTGAGTGGGCATTCGCATCTATCTTCGCTAGGCGGACAACCTGGTGCGCCACAAACGTCACGTCACCCATGTCCACGTCCACGACAGTCTCATTGACGGTTGCCACGCGCAACTTGTTGGCGCGCTCGTCGAACATTTTGGTCGGAGCAGCGACCACCGCGCCCAAACACAAGACGCCGTTGGCGCGGAACTCGACCATCGATCCTTCAGCGGGCGGGCGCGCTGCAGTCGCCGTCTCCCAGAGTGTGGGCGCGAAGGTGAGCGACAATGCGAGGGCGAGCGCCTCTGGGTCTAGTTCGAAGCGAGGAAACTCGCTGGCAGCCGTACTTTCTGCCTCTGTTTGTGTCTCTGTTTCTGCCCCTGTTTCTGCCCCTGTTTCTGCCCCTGTTTCTGCAGCCATACTTTCTGTGACCTCTGTTTCTGCTGCATTTTCGAAACCTTGCCTCTCCGCCCCCTGGCATGATTTCTTCTCGTGGTTTTTTCGGTCGAGCGTATTTCGGTCGAGTATTTTCTCTTCATTTTCCCCGAGTATTTCCTCGTTTCCCTTGGTTCCCTCGTTTCTAATCTGTTGCTGGCGCGTATGTTCATCTCTGTATCGATCTCGGTGCTCTATTCTGTAGAGATCTTTTGCGATAGGGTGGCTGCTTTTCTCGTCTTTTGCAACCTGCCCTTTCATGTTGTCTCCTTGCCGCCCTTTGTCGTCGTGGTTTCTCGCCTGCTCCAGTCTATGGACATCTCTTAGAAAAACAACTTCTGTCGAGTTGCATCGCAAGCCAAGATTCCGCAGGGCCATTGGGCTCCGCCTAGAATAACTTCGTCGCCATATGTGGGGCGGGAAATGCCTTGGGCGGAACATGGCCGAAAGAGATGAGTTTGGTTGGCACGGTTTCGCGATGTTTGATTTCGCGCTCTTGTGCGCATAAAAAAGGTGTTGGAGCAGAATCGTCTGAAGCAGAAACCTTCGCTGTCATTGAGGTTTTCTGTTTAGTAGAGTTTTAGCTCCGTTTTTCCTTTAGGTTTCTTTCCTTCTCTCCTTGTTCCTTGTTTGAATGGGCGATCAAAGATCTTCAGCCATGACGCCTTCTAACTAGATATGCTGTCGACTAGCAGGTAAACTTCCTCATATCTGTTTTCTCTTGTTTCTCGGTTTTCAGATGGCTGAATTTTTCTACTTCAAAACATTTGGCTCAAGTCACGATAGTTCATAATTAAGGTGGGAAAACTAGTTCAAGAAGTAATGCTTGGGGAAGCATCGAGCTTTCTTTGAACCAAGTGTCATTATCTACTTCTCTAATGTCGTCGTCAACCAATGAGTAAGAAATCGACGTATTTTTGCTCTCCTTCTATCCTTAAGCTACGAGAAGTTTAGGCTGGCCGATTGGCTTCGTGTTCGCATAGCCATATATGAGACATATGCTTGATGAAAACTCTCTATTTCCTGAATGAGCACCGCTTGCTCAAACCGTGACTATATTCAAATTCCCTTGGTCATGGACGTTTTCCCTTAGTTTAGATGCTACCCAATGATGTGCAAAGTCAACCTTGCAACTCATCTATTTCTATAATGGTGAACGCTGTGTCTCTAAGAATAGTTGAAATTGTCACCTGTCAAGATACAATTGTTGGCTTTCAAAGTTTCGATGTACTCATTCCACAACGGGTCGGACCGACTCAAACACTCCATGTCACCAATCAAGATCAAACCGTACTTTGCTCTCGTTAATGCCACGTTCATTCTTCTTGCATCATTCAAAAAGCCAATTTTGTTTTGCTCGTTGGACCTCACACAAGACATGACAAGGAAATCTTTTTCTCTGCCTTGGAATGCGTCGATGGAAGCAATCATGATGTCAGAAACCATGTGAATGGTAATGGGTTTCGATTCGTTGAAGAAATCGTCTCGATCAACTTCTATCTGCACCTCCACTTTTTCCGGGTTGATCATATCGTTCTTCACTAAGGTCGAAGACATCATATCACGCTGGCCTCTGTATGGAGTGATTACACCAATATCCTTTCTCTCGATGCCTTTTTCATAAATCAATGCCGTTAAGACCTTCTCGACATAATCGATTTCTCCTCTGTTGGCATAAGTTAAGCCATTATCCTCTCTAAATCTAGCCCGAACCGTTCCTTCACGAGCCTTGCCGCAAGTGTCCCAAAAGAGTACAGGATTAGCCGGGATATTTGGCTTGGTTCTATCAGCTGCAGTGATGCCGTCTTTAAGCAATCCGCCGTAAAACTTTTTTCTTGGAAATGCGCTGATGGCAGGATGCATACGGTACTGTGTGTCAAGCATATGAGGTGTTTTGTAAGAGCCATTCAAAAGGATTCTCTCAAATAAGGAAAGGGATAAGTTAGGTACCTGACTGAAACTACTCAATTGTTTTTGATCTCCCACAAAAACGAACTTTTCGACTCCAGGCATTGAAAGCGGAATCAATGTTGTAGGCTCGGATGATTGAGTGGCTTCGTCCATTATCACCACTGGCATTTTTTGAACGGGTTTCAACTGGTTTCCGCCAGCAACAACCGTCGTGGTGAAAATAACTCGGGCCAGCGAAATTAGCTTATTGGTGTAGTCAATCTGTGCTGTCAAGAGTTTTTTGTATTGGTTCTGGCTGATAGACGAACCGGGACGTCTCATCTCGCGAATGGTCTCTTGGAAATGCAAAGGTAACCCATCAAATACTTTGTGATGCAAGCAAATTGATGATAAAGGATGCTCTCTATTATATTCTGGTTCTTTTTCATTCGATACAATCCGCAAAATCGATTTCTCGTGCTTGGGTAACAACTTTTCAGCAATATTATCAATGGCAATATTTGAAGCAGCAACCACGAGAATCGGGAAAGTGTTGAGGTTTTCCAAAAGTTGAAGTATGATTTCGTAAATGGTGGACGTTTTACCTGTACCAGGGGGACCTTGCAAAACAGTAATTGAGTTATTCAAGACGGACTGAATCGCAACCTTTTGCGAGTCGTTGAAAGTATCTTTCGTGAACTTCAAGAAGTTCTTGAACACGATCTGCTTAATCGGTTTTTTGCCCAAGATCATATCTATGAATTTGGGGTTTTCGATTCTGGACATGGCCAAGAACACACGACTCACAGGAATGGACACTGGAAGAATCCGAAGGAGGCTAGCATCCACCGTCAATGGTAGAGGCATGTTGTTCCAACTGTAAAGCTCAACAATAATATCAAGTGTATCGGTTTTCGATGACGGGCCTGGCCGGCGCCCCTTCTTGAAACCTTTCTTTCCCTTTGGTCCCTTTGGCTTTTCTACTTCACAGAGAACTATGTTACCGTACCAAGGAATGTCATCGCCCAAAATCAAGAAAACGGACTGGTTAACTGAAAAGGGCATTTTCTTCAAAGCCTGCATTTTTTTCGAAACAAATCTGTCCATGAACTCGGGAGTCATCACGATACTGAATTTGAACTGTTTGTGTTTCTTATCTTGATCAGCATACCATTCAAGTTCGAACTCGTTAGCTGTGAGTATGGTGTTAGAACTTGTTGATAAACTGGCCTTCTCTTCCAAAAACAAATTGTAACACATCTCATTGAAGTACTCATTCATGGAATCAAAGGTAAGTTTTGGCTTAGAAGAAGGTTCATATTTCTTGATTCCTGGTGGAAGCTTTAAGACAGGTGTACTTTCCTTTGAGTTTTCTGAGCTCTCTTTACCCTTTTGAGTTTGAGGCGGATTCTTCGGTGGTGCTTTGTCAGGTTTTTGGGATTTTTCATTCGTTCGCTTTTCCGTTTCTGCTTTCTTTTTCGAAGCTTTCGAAACCTTGGAAGTGTCAGTCAGCGGCGTTTCTGGCAGACCAGTCGATAGAGACTTTTTATCCAGATCGAGACTCTTCTTACCTTTGAGACTTGCTGTGCCAGTTTTCAGATCAGACTTGTCTCTAGGTTTGCCATTGGGTATATCCTTCAACGATTTGTCTCCCTTGGACTTGTCTTTGGATTTACCATTTTCAGATTTTGGGGCAGGTTTGGCATCTTTTGTCTTTCCAGTTTTGGATTTCTCGCTAGGTTTGCTATCTCTAGGTTTCTCTTTTGGTTTTTCTTTAGGCTTCTCGTTAAGCTTCTCCTTTGGCTCCTCTTTAGCCTTCTCTTTGGCCTTTCCGTCCTTAGACTTCCCTTTAGGTGTCTCTTTTCGCTTAGGCTCGGCCCTACCAACATTTGCATCCCGTTTACCTGATAATTCAGATTTTCCAGACTTCTTGGTTCCATTGGCAACAGGCTTTGGAGTCGAAGAACGAGAAACAGCAGGGGTGGACGTTTTTGAAACCACTGGTGTCGATCCTCCAGAACCTACAGCTTTGATGGTTTTACCCGACTTCAACGCAGCCTCTGTGGCCTTTTTGTTCTCGTAATGAGCTCTTCTCTGGGCTGCCTCTGGATCTTCTGGTTTCAGTGACTCTCGCTTGGCCCGCCCACCTTTCCGACCCACTTTGCGCTTGTTGTGTTTGCGACTGGTCTTGGGAACATGTTCCGTGATGCCTAGAAGAACAGACAAAAACTTGTCATCGTCCTCGCTGATGAAGCGGACGTTTCTGTGCTCATTCTGGTGCTTTTCCAAGCACAGAGAACAATAGAGAATGACCTTATCGCCTTCTCGTCCAACAAACAAACTCGTTTCCTTGTGGCATGCCTTACATTCGATATCTCTGAAAGTATAATACTGGGGCAACTTTACCAAAAGAGAACCATTATTGAGAGTATATTCTGCCAGAGCAGATTCATGCGGTCCTTTTATACAATCCGAACAGAGCAAGGCCATGTCTGAAAGACCAAATCGGAGCAAGTGGATCAAGTGAATATTGTCATTCCCACATTCCTCACACTCCACGATTTCGTCCAAAGGGTCATATTTGACTTTCTTGTGGCGCGTTTGAGATAGATGTTTTCCTAGCTCTTCCAGTGTAAGAGAGCATGTTTGGCAAGTATAAGTCATTGCTAGGTAAAATGCATCACAAAACTTGTCTGTGTATATTGGGTTGATATGCAGTCAGTGACAGTGAATCCACGATGGAAGTCAGTAGTATCGAAGAAAAAAAAAAATGGAAAGAAAAAGATGGATAAATTGTTCTCTTAGAAATTTCTTGTATTCGTTTCCTGGGCTTCTGGTCTTGCGTCTTTGTTTGTATGAACGTCTAGCCATCATAGACTTCTCATTTTTCCAAATCCATGTAAGATTCAGCTTGCTGGCTTCGACGACATTTGGAAGTATAGAAACTTCGCCAGAATACCTACAGATGTATTTAACTGTAAATACATAGAAATCTGTACTTTGATATTGGCGGGTCAACGCACAAATATGAAGAAGTGGAAGTCTTCGGTCTTTCGCAATTTAATGATTTGAATGTGCATTTTGTGCTTTTCTTCTCTTTATTTTGAAAGACATAGAGAAACCAATATGTGAACTTCTTTACTTCATAGGAATATTGGACATGCCATAGATGTGGTTTGGCCACATATATTGAGATACATAGTCGATGGAATCTGTAGTTTTGACGATTCTTGTCTGATAAGAGGAAACCTTATTCACTGGATAAGGCAAAATGATACATCTCCTGTTTATATTTTACCAAAATCAATTCAATTCAATAAATTAACTTTCACGGTTGTCATTGATTTCTTATATGACGAAGTGTTTGTTATCTCAGTTGTGGGTTTATATTGGCTCTATTTAGCGAGTCAATCAATATCGCAGACATCCATTATTTCAGTTACAGCTTCCAGTAATCTGGATCAACGCAACGCACTCAATGTCGCCGACAGTTAAGGCAGAATCGTACTTCAGATGCCGTTCGGTTGAAAGCTTCAAGCATTCTTCAAGATACTAGCATAATGATATGCTCGCGTATTTCATACAATCAAGCCTCTACTTCCACCGCTGGACAAGCACCTCGTTCTTCAACTTTGCTTCGCCCAATGTCTGGGTCGACTCTTCGATTGGCTTGACTGGGAAAGCATGTGAAAGCACAAACTCTCGCAGCTGGTCATTGTGATGGTGTTGGCGCACAAACGCATAGATGTCGGCCACTGTGTCTGACGAGTTGAAGCGGTGAGTGACTCTTTGGCCGTTGGCAAAGCGGATCTGCACAGGCGAGTCGCCCGAACCTGGATCCTCCTTCTCTTTAGGGGTTTCCTTTTCAGTTCGCAGAACAGGTTCTGGCGTTGGTTCGCCCGGCACAGGCAGACCTAAACGCTTTCCGGATCCGCGGAAGCCGCCCACAGGGCGAGGCGGCACGTAGTCTTCGTCGGTTCTGCGCGAGACGGAAACGTCAACGTCTTGGCCGAATTCAACGCCCAAAACCAGCACGGGCACGCGGCCTTGGCGCAAGTCCTCCAAAACACGCTGGTTGGCCGGATCGTCGTATCGTTGCAACTCTCCGTCGCCCACAGTGAAGCCTTGGCGCCAGAAAATGATTTCGCGCGACACTTTGGGCGGCGCGCGCGGCGCCGCCGCAATCGGTTCCAGCGCGCGCTCCAGGTCGCCCAACTTGTAGCCGCCACCGGAAAACTGGCGGGGCGGCGCTTGCGCAGACTCGCGGTCGTCCGGCTCGCCCATTTGGGCGCGCGCGCGCTCGAAAATACGCTCCACCATCAGCAGTTGGCGCGAATCGTCTGGATTCTCAACTTGCAACGCCGACTTCTCGCCGCCAGTAAACAAGTTTTGGTTTGTCTTGTCTTCTTCGTCGTCGCTGCCCAACTCGCGCAATGTGTGCACGCCCCTTGTTTTGCCACCGGCTTTCGCTCTTGGGGCGGGGCTGCTGGCGGCCAGGGGCGAGTTGGATTCGGCCGCATAGAAATCCTCAATTGCCGCAGCAAGGTCCTGGTTGTTTCGGGCAAGATACTGTTCGGCCAAATACAGCGATGCGCCTGTCACCGCAACAAAACTTTCAATTAGGTGGTGGTCAGACATGAAGAATGAAGAAGGTTGATGGAAGTTGTGCGAATATCATGATAATGTGCAAGTCAGGTCGTGAGAAAATGCTCGAATGTACATTGCTGGAGCGACAGGAAATTGAGAGTCGACTAGAGTGAAGTTTGGGAATAGACTAGGATGAGAGATTAGGATGAGAGATTAGTATTAGGATTAGTATTAGAGAGTATTAGAGATTAGTATTAGAGATTAGTATTAGAAATTAGGATGAGAGATTAGGATGAGAGATTAGTATTAGAGATTAGTATTAGAAATTAGGATGAGAGATTAGGATGAGAGATTAGTATTAGATTAGTATTAGAAATTAGTATTAGAGATTAGGATTAGAGATTTGAAATTACTGAATTACTGAACTGGAACTAATTCACGATCACTGGTTAAGATTACTGATTTCGGATACTGATTAGGATTCAACTTATTTGAAAATGGGAAGGATTATTACATTATTGGGATGGAATTAGACTGAAAGCTTAATTCACAGATTAATCCAATAATAATACAGTGTTAAAATTACAGTTAACATTAGAGAGTCGAAACTGGATAATTTAGACCTGGGCGAATAAAAAAAAGCTAGGTATATAAATCTTGACGACCTGCTGAGAGTGATTGTAGCCTCATCAAATGCAGATTCATCACATTCTGTCATCCAATGGTTATCACGAGATATAATCGTGAATGTTCATTCGAACTTACTCAGAAGGAATCACGTCGTTTTAATAATTTGTCATAGAGAAGGGAATGACTAGACTTTAGATTGATTTTACGAGCAATTCAAAGTTCTCTACTTCTTTTTAGATAACATTTATTAGATACCGATGTTGAAATCCCACTGATTTTAAAACCCCAAAAACTTAAAAAAACGATCATAATCTTCATCACGACACAAATCACATTAATGTTGAATAAATGTGAAACAGCAAGTAAACAAGAATTGAATAGCTGCAATGCATAATAACATGGGGCTTGAGCACTCAAAAGCACATTTAGTACTTGGCTCTGAACTCCTTGGCAGCGTTAACCATGTTGGTCAAAGAAGCCTTGGTCTCCTCCCAACCTCTGGTCTTCAAACCACAGTCTGGGTTGACCCAGAACTTGTCCGCAGGGTAGACCTTCAAGATCTCCTCGATTCTGGCAACAAACTCCTCCTTGGAAGGAATTCTTGGAGAGTGAATGTCGAACAAACCCAAACCAATGTGGTTAGGGTAGTCAGAAAACTCTCTGATGTAGTTGGCGTCATCCTTCTTGGAGAACTCGATGGACACAACGTCAGCATCCAAGGCCTTGATGTGGTTAGGGTCCAAGTCGGAGTAGCAGAAGTGCGAGTGGATTTGGGTAGAGTCTGCGACACCAGAAGTGGCCACTCTGAAAGATTGCGCGGCCCAGTTCAAGTAGTCAGATCTTTCTTGGCCAGCTCTCAATGGCAAACCTTCTCTGATGGCTGGCTCGTCGACTTGAATGACAGTGATACCTGCAGCTTCCAAGTCCTGGACTTCGTCTCTCAAGGCCAAACCCAATTGCAAAGATTGCACCTTTTGCGAAACGTCGTCTCTTGGGAAAGACCATCTAAGACATGTGACTGGACCGGTCAACATACCCTTGACTGGCAACTTGGTCAAAGATTGAGCGTAAACGGACTCCTTGACGGACATGGCCTTTGGTCTAGAGACATCACCGACAATGATTGGTGGTCTGACGTATCTGGAACCGTAAGATTGGACCCAACCGTTGGTGGTGAAAACGTAACCGTCCAATTGCTCACCAAAGTATTGCACCATGTCGTTTCTCTCTGGCTCACCGTGCACCAAGACGTCCAAACCAATCTCCTCTTGGAATCTGATGACAGTCTCGATTTCCTGCTCGATGAACTTCTCGTACTCCTCCTTGGTGATAGTGCCCTTGGTGAACTTGTTTCTGTTGACTCTAATGTCCTTTGTTTGAGGGAAAGAACCAATAGTGGTGGTTGGGAACAAAGGCAAGTTGTACTTCTCCTTTTGAGCAGCCAATCTGGTTGGGAATGGCGACTTTCTGGTCGACAAAGACTCGTTGATAGTGGCCATTCTCTCTTGCACCTTAGGGTTGGTGGTGATAGAAGACTCTTGTCTGGCCTTGATGGACTTGGCGTTGGCAGCGTAAATGGCAGAAACATCTTCACCAGAAGCTTCCTTGGCAATAGAAACAACAGCGTCCAACTTTTGAGTGGCAAACTGGAACCAGTCAGCAATCACTGGGTCCAACTTGGTCTCGTTCTTCAAGTCCACTGGGGTGTGCAACAAAGAGGAAGAAGTGGCGACAATAACTCTGTCAGCACCGAGCTTCTCGATAGCCTTCTTAACCACAGCAGAAGCCTTGGCGTAGTCGGTCTTCCAGATGTTTCTACCGTCAACAATACCAACGGACAAAACTTGCTTGGAGTTCAAGATGGAGACAACATCATCGAATTGCTCGGCACCTCTGACAAAGTCAAAGTGGAAACCAGAAACAGGCAAGCTCTTGATGGCAGCCAAGTTAGGTCTGACGTCACCAAAGTAGGTGGTCAAGACGATTTCTGGCAAGCCTTCGCCAACCAATTGCTCGAAAGTGGATTGGTACAATTTCTGGACAGACTCAGGCAAGTCCAAAACCAAAACAGGTTCGTCAATCTGCACGGTCTTGGCGCCGGCCTTGTACAACTCGGTCAACAAAGACTTGTAAACTGGCAAGAACTTCTCCAAAAGAGAAATAGGCTCCAAGTCCAAAGAGTCCTTGTCGGCCTTACCCAAGTACAAGTAGGAGATTGGACCCAACACAACTGGTCTGGTCTCAACGCCCAACTCCTTGGCCTCCAAGTATTCGACAACAGGCTTCAAACCAGCCTCGGTGTTCAACTTGAACTCGGTGGAGTGAGAGAAAGTTGGTCTGACATAGTGGTAGTTGGAGTCAAACCACTTGACCATTTCCAAAGCAGTCACGTCAACAGCAGCCTCGGTCTCGGTGGCCTTTCTTTGCAAACCTCTGCCCATGGCGAACAAAACGTCAATTGGAGCCAAGTCGTACTTCTTGTATCTGTCTGGGATGACATTGAACAAGAGCGACAAGTCCAAAACCTGGTCGTAGAAGGAAAAGTCGTTGGAGGCGATGATGTCGACACCAGCATCCTTTTGCAACTTCCAGTTGTGGGCTCTCAATTCTTTACCCTTGGCCAACAAGTCGTCAACGGAAACCTTCTTGTTCCAGTAAGCTTCGGTGACTTTCTTCAACTCTCTCTGGCCACCAATACGGGGGAAACCTAAAACGGAGGATTGAACCATGATGTGTGTTTGAAAAACTAAATGTGTTCACTGGGAAAAGGAGAAAAAAAATTCGTGGCGGATCGGGCCTCTTATATAGCCTTTGGCCCGATACTTTTATCGCGGACCCACATTTTCCCAATCAATCGTGAGCGGAGCGCTTGTATGCAGGGGTCGTATCGCCTTGCAAACAAACACCAAAGCAATAATAGACTGGCTCTTGTCTTTCGAGCTGATTCGGCTTGGGCACATCTTCTGCCGGCCCAATTGTGACATTTTATCTTTCAAGCATGTCTTTTTTCCGACTTTGGCTGTACGACTTTTTGCTGGAGTGGATGTGCTGGCCTGAATTTTTCAAAGTGCAATCGCACGTGCCCTGACTCTGTTCGCCGGAAACGGCGCGTTTGGCGGATTTTTCACAATTTTTCTTTTGACCTGCTATTGAGTCATAGTGCACCCGTACATCCCGAGCCGCGTGTTGGGTGTGGCATGTGTTATTGACAAGATAAACGAGAACAAATTGAACGAGCGAACGAGAGTGAAAATGAAACGAGATAAAAATGTGAAAATGAGAACGAGATGAAAATGTAAAAATCACGAATTGAGTTGAAAAGGGAATAAAAAAATTGAAAAAAAAAAAAAATGTAATTGAAAAGTAGGACTATACACTGATACTAGTAGGGCAATAACAGTAGCAAATGGATGTAAATGAACGTCCACGCCTTTGGCAGACTGTTCTAACTCAGGAATAGCCTCTATATGAGTGGACTCAGCTGTCGAATAGTCATTATATGTCATTACATGCGTCGAAGTTGACAGTATGAAACGATGAACCTGTAAGTCTTCTGTTGGATCATGAAATATGATTAAATATTTAGACACCCGACTGTGTTTGTCAATTGATCAAATATGTAGACACTCGACTGTGTTTGTCAATTGATCATGAAATGGTAAATCGGGCATTCTTTCGATATTGTATGCTTTTTTCGTCAATGCCCTTACTCTTTACAGATTTCTTGTCTTCTTGCTCAAGGTGTTCTTCCATTTTGATTTAATCGCTCTTACGGTTAGAAAATGGATGGTTGAATGAATGAGACTTCGGTAACAGCTATTAGACGAGCTAGTAAAATGTCCTGTTCGGTTCATGATCATACCGAATCACATAATGCCTAACTCCTGCTCTTAGATTATCATGAAAAAAGATACTCCATCATTATTGTTATCATTAAATATGGATATAACTACTGAAATATAATGTTCCAGTTCTATTGAACGCTGATTCAAAAAATACTGTCGTTATAGTAGCCGGTAATGCCTGTGAATACCACATCTCTTCTGCCAAGAGCCTATTGAAAACTAACGTACATTGGTCTATCGATACACAAACGAACTATTAACATTAAGCGCAGCGTCAGGTTGCAAGGAATTAGCATTGTCAATACACCCATCTTCGGCAATCAACAATGACCCAAGTCAGCATCACAATCAGATCATTCCTTGGAAAGTTTCGAGTCACCGTGGCTTTTTCTTACCTCCACCACACGACGAATCTCTTCACTGGAGTTCAAGAGACCAAAGCGGCGGAACTCTTTGATGGCCTCGGTCACTTCGTTCTGTGGCTTGTCCTTGATGAATTTTTCAAAGTGTTCACCAAGCTTCACGAAGTACGAATAGCTCAAAATAAGCTTATCTTCCTTGAGATCGTCAAATGTGTTTTCGGAAGAAACTGGAGTGTTGAACCCCTCGCCTTCGCCCAAGAAAACACCCAATTGCTTCAAGCGGGTAAATAAACCGGCCTGATGCGCAGGAACCATTCCACCGTACTCCTTGATTTTGGCATTGCGGTAGTGTTCCTTGTATTCATCGGCGTTGGCTCTTTTCGAGCCGGTCCAGCCCAAGCTGATCAACTGTTCCTTGGTGACGTCAACTTTTGGTGCAAAAGGCGAGCGAAGAATCCGTGTTGGGTTGAACACACCAGCCCAAAGGACAAAGAAAATCACCACAACCTTGACAATGTGGAAAAAGAAGAAGATGCATTGCGCACCAACACCAACAGGGTCCATGATGTCTTTCAAAAGCACGTCGGCCATGTGAGTGTAACCCGCCATTCTGGCGATCTTGGCAAAGAATTTACTCACGTAGTTGGTCATACAGTGGCCTGGAGTGGGCGAAATGAAGTCTGGTAAGTCGGTGTAAAGCCACGCACCCAAAAACGACAAGAACGAGTAGAACGCAAACGAGTTGAACTCCCACACAGGCAACACCAACTGGCCCGGCCAGCAGTGATCGGCAATGGTGTCGTCCAAAGCAACTTTCTTCTGGAACCGTTTTTGGCCCGTCTCATACGAGAAAAGCAACGCACCGTCCTCGGTCAAGTATCCTGGAGCGGTCGAGACAACAAAGCCCTTAGGCACAGAGTCGTAGAAGACATTGGGTCTCAAGGCAATAGGCAAAGTGGTAAAGATCTTGAGCAAGTCTCGGAAAACAGACTTGGTGGTGACTTGGAAGCAGTAGTCTTTCTCCATGTCGTCGCCGAAGCGCAAGTATATCTCCATTCCGGAGCCTGATTCTTTCTCTGAAACCTCTTTTTCTGACATGTTGCTCGAAAGAATAATGGGCTGAAGAGATTATATACTCAAGAGTTTTTTCTTGTGAGTTTTTTGTTCTGAAGAAAAAATGGCCCCGCATTTGGACGCGGGGTGGTGCGCTTTTTCATCATGGGGCACGGGTGTTTTGCCTCACCATACTACCTGGGCGGACCAGTCATTCTTTTATTCTGCTTCGTTTATTATGCCAATAAACTTTTCGTTGAATTTTTGAAAAAGGTTGGAGACGATAATTCATTAATAGTCTAGAATCGATGCATACCATGTAATTGTATGATACTTCTGTGAATCATGACGTAGCCCTTAATGCTTCAATTGTTCGACTCGTTTTTTGTGCTCTGCAAGAAATAAAATTGGGCGTTTAAGTATATGGACCTATTGTTCGTAATTTCTTCTCTAATCGAACATTCGAAAGTTTGACTTTAGGGCATTGAAAATTGAAATTCATTGCTTGTACGTAATTCCTTTTCAAGCTGTTGTTTGTCTGTTGGGGATTTCCTAGTGATGTCTGACGAAACTTTAAATTTAGCGTATGACATTTGACACCGATTCAATAGCAATGCAAAAAGTATGGGTGAAAAGCCATGACACCATAACCACTTTAACATACCATTTTAACAAGTGGGTACACGAAAAATGGTCTGGTTAAATTTGGAGGTGGAAATCCATAGTCTAGCCGTGTTATACCACGAAAATCAAGGAGCCGTACTATGAGCCAAAGCTTAGATTGTATGCTCGGTGCCATTTATTTTGAGTACCTTTCTATTTGATCATGTCAACGAGTACAGTTATTGGTCAGGTACAGCTCGGAGAGCTAAAAGCATTGGTTCTTTTACCTTTGTTCAATCGCTGTATTTTTTGTACTTGCATGTTTAAAGGCATTCGGTGATTTTCCAAGATCTAATCGTGGCAGAATATCTGTTATTGCATCTCCTGACATTTATGTCCTCATATCCAATGCAACAATCAGAAAGTTGCTCGTAAAATACTTTAATTCTGAGACGTTTGGAACACAAAGCAACCTATATCGCTTTACTGTATTCGCCAAACGTTAGTCTGTATTTCCTCTCTGCATCAAGCTTTGGGGAGACTGCAAGATGAGCTCCAAACAGACCTTGAAGTTCATGCAATTCGTGAAACAGCAAATAGCACATATAGTACGCTTCTCGAATTGTGATCAAACAACTTACTTGGGCAAGTTTATAGTGGACTTTGAAAATGTCGATGCAAATTACAGATACTTGCTGACTCCGTTTGCATGTCGTAGTATTTCTCGTCTATCACCGCTGACATCTTCTACTGTCTACACCTTACTTTCTGATTCTCACAAGCCTCCCCGGCTAAACTTTCTTACAGTCACCATCGAGTCGGCTGGTGTCTTGCTGAGCTTGCGTAACCAAGATTAGATGAGACACGTCAAAAAGGTAATCACGGCCCCGAAATAGGAAAAAGTGGCGGAGTGCACGCGAGGGAAATGGCTAGTTTACGGGAGCGGGGCACATGGTACCCGAAGCCGATCGTTTAGACCGAAAACGTATTCGGAGAAGTCAAAACAAAAAAACAATGGCAATTACGACTCAGTTTTGGAGAGTGACAGATCTACTTTATTTGTTTGGAGAGAGTTATTCAATCGAGAGAAGGTAGGATGCAAGTCGATAGAAACACGATCAACGGACGCAAGATTAGATGCATGTAAATTAGCCAAAAAAGAAGAACACAAAATTCAGCAGGAGACGATACGCGAGGGCCCAAAAGAGTAAAATCTGGCCATAGTGTCTTTTCCTGGAAGAACCGGAGCTAAAGGGGCGAGAACGTAAATGAGAGAAAAAAAAAAAAGAAAGGCCTCCGAAATTGCCGCGGCGCCGCGCCATTTGCAGGACGGCGCCATGCGGTCACCAATAGCAGTGCAGCATGTCCTGCCCCTATAACAAAGGTACAATGCTTAGTTCAGATTGAGCCTCCTTCTGAAGACAGTTGTGTTTGGCGAATTGCGTAGGGGCAGTGCTGGCGCACCTTTGGAATGCACATATTGGGAGCACCGATCCGTAAATGTATGTCAGCCAGAGGTCATAACGCGGAGAGGTTAGATGCACCGCGACGCATCAGTATCACAATGGGACATGCGCCCACAGAGAAGGATACACACAAGTGAAAAGCGTCGAATGTAGAGGCCATGACAGCAGCTGGACATAGCAAAGACGGAAAGGGAAAAGGAGAACAAAAGAAAAAAAAAAATAGATCCGATCGCGTAAACGCGAGAAGAACCTCTTCTGGCAAATATAGCACCAGCAGGTGAGAGGCACGATGCCAGATGTTGTTGTGTTTCCGGATGCGGCAGCGCGGCTATGCGCCTGTCAATCCCATAAATACACGCCCACCGCGAGAAACACAATTTTCTCGCCATTTTCCCAATGTTGTTCAAGTCTTTGCTTGCCTCGGCCCTTGTGGCGGGTGCTGTTGCCGACTTGCCTGCGATTGAAATCGTGGGCAACAAGTTTTTCTACTCCAACAACGGCCTGCAGTTTTTGATGCGGGGTGTGGCCTACCAGTCGGATTCGGCTAATGCCACCGCCGATGAAACTTTTGTTGATCCTTTGGGCAACCCAAAGACATGTAAGCGTGATATTCCTTACTTGCAAGAGTTGGAGACCAACGTGATCCGTGTCTACGCGTTGAACACTTCTCTTGACCACACCGAATGTATGAACGCTTTGTCCGACGCCGGAATCTACGTCATTGCCGACTTGTCCGAGCCAGACTTGTCGATCGACCGTCTGGACCCTAAGTGGGACGTCACTTTGCTCGAACGTTACACCTCTGTCGTCGACAAGTTCCACAACTACACCAATGTCTTGGGTTTCTTCGCCGGAAATGAAGTCACCAATGAGGTTTCCAACACCGATGCCTCGGCCTACGTCAAGGCTGCCGTCAGAGACACCAAGGCATACATCAAGGAGAAGGGCTACAGATCCATTCCTGTGGGTTATTCTGCCAACGATGACGTGGACATCCGTGTCGACTTGGCCGACTACTTTGCTTGCGGAGACGAAGACGAAAGAGCAGACTTTTTCGGTATCAACATGTACGAATGGTGCGGTGCCCTGTCCTTCAAGGCTTCGGGCTACCTGAACATCACTGCGCAATACGAGCACTTGGGCATTCCAATCTTTCTTTTCCGAGTACGGATGCAACAAGGTCACTCCACGTAAATTCACCGAGGTGCAAGCCATCTACTCCGAGGAAATGACCGACGTCTGGTCTGGTGGTATTGTGTACATGTACTTCGAAGAGAGCAACAAGTACGGTTTGGTTTCCATCGATGACCTGGGCTCTGTTTCTACTTTGGACGACTTCAACAACTTGAAGTCTGAGCTCGCTTCCATCTCGCCTTCTCTTGCCTCTGCCAGCTCTGGTGTTTCTGCTTCCGTCACCTCTTGCCCTTCAGTTGGTGCCTTCTGGGCTGCTGCCACCGCTTTGCCTCCTACCCCAGACCAGGACATCTGTAACTGTATGGTGAAGGCTGCCGGCTGTGTTGTTGACGACTCGGTTGACGAAGAGGACTACGGTGACCTTTTCGGTATTGTGTGTGGCCTTGTGGACTGCTCTGGCATCAGCGGCAACGCCACTACTGGAAAGTACGGCTCTTACTCTGGTTGTGACTCCAAAGCCCAATTGGACTTTGCCCTCAACTTGTACTACGAGTCCAACGGCAAGGATTCGTCTGCCTGTGACTTCTCTGGCCTGGCCCTGACCCAGAAGCCTGCCACTGCTTCGAGCTGTTCCGCTTACCTTTCCTCCGCCGGAGTGTCTGGTTTGGGATCTCTTAGTGGCGATATTGCTGCTGCTTCTGCTGCCACCACTGACGCTGCCGCTTCCGGTTCCGCTGCTGCTTCGGGATCGGGTTCGGGCTCTGCTTCTGGCGCTGCTTCCACTTCCGGCTCGTCCAACTCTACCTCCTCTTCTTCCAAGAAGAGTGGTGCTGCTTCGACCAACTCCGCTTGGACCTCTGTGTTTGGCGCTATGGTTCTTGCTGTGGGCTTCCTTTTCGCTTAGGTGTGTTCTACTGTGTAATCTTTAGTACACGTTGAAATTATTCTTGATGCATTCTTTGCGTAAGACTTTCCTAGGAAAGTTGTGTAAAATACTGCTCGAACTTTCCCAATCCATCTTTCATCTCCTAGCAACACTTCTATGTTGTTCTGTTCCCTTCAATCTCGCCTTTCCTCTTCTCCTTCCAGTAAGAAACCAATCTGCTTTTTTTTTTTTTTTTTTGTCACTCTTGACTGCACGCCAAGACGGTTTTGAGATGTGACAATCATGCGCCAGTTAGGAACTCTGTGCTTCTGCTTTCGTAGTTTTCGTATCTTGATGTCAATGCATGCGAGAGTATTTATTGTCTTGGCTTCATTTAAGGTAGGCTAACTGTTTTAAATCCGGCGGCAACTCTATGCCAACCATAATTTCATCGTGCCAATTCATCCAATGGTGTGAAGGGTACTTCAACATGTAATTGTCTAAATTACCAAGTAGTTGAAGATACGTACAAATAAATAGAATGACACATTGGATGGTATTTGGGTGTATTATTTGATGAAAGTAGCTTTCCCAAGTCTTAATTGTCTATTGTGTTACTACACTTTTTGTTTTTCAAGCTTGTTCTTCATGACTTCACATGCTATCTCGAGAAAGGAATTCTTTACCGTCACGAAAGTTTTATCCATTGAAGTAACGCCTTCTCATAATCATACATGGGTATATTCATAAAAAGGATGCAGTAATGAGTATAATCTATATGCTATCATGACTTTTGTTCCATCTGAATGATGCTGTTTAGCCCCTGCTGTTATCCATGACCATTTTGCGTATTTCCCAGAAATACTCAGAGTCGAAGTGCCGTTCTTTATCTATTCGGTATTGTTCATGATGACCAAACCAATTCTGAGTTTTCTTTCGTATTTTCTGCTCTTCCTTTTCAAATCTGCTTACAAGCCTGTTGCTAAGCTGAAATTCTTCTCCTGCGCTTGACTGACTAGAACTACGGTCACTAGATACCGTCAGTGTAGTTCTTTGAGTAAATGCACTCACACCGCGCTCAACTGGGTACTTGTGGTACCGTGGAATATCATTGGGTTCAAGGTCCGACATTTCGTCAAAAACATCGAGGTTTTCTTCTGCTACTGGATCTAGATTGACCCAGCGCATGTTTTCGGAATCGTACAACATATTTCCTGAAATCTTCGCATTGTTGCTGGAAAACTCTTTCAGTGTGATCAAAGCCGGTTGCTTTTTCGCTTTAAGGGTATCATTTTGTTCTTCGAATCGTAGCAAGTCGTGATCATTTCCTTCCCACCTCCTATTAACTGCATTGAATCGCATCTTATCGTTACCATTCACTATGGGTGCAGCTGTTCGGTCATTCAAAAACTTTAGTAGACCTACTCCCTTCTTTGTGGCCCGTTGTTTCCTGGCTGCTCTTCGTGGGCTTGAATTGAGCTGCTTCTGCTTTTCTGTGATTTCCATATACTTTTCTAGAAGTTGTTGTTTCTTCCTTTCCATATCAATATTAAGCCGATCGTCGTTACTTAACTTTCTGTCTGCCTCCTTCGAGTGACGGAAAGACGGCATGCGGTCCAATTTTCTGATGATCTTATTACTGTTGTTGAACAAAGGATGTTCATCTTTTAGCTGCGCTGGTAGGTCCATAGTTGACCTGAACTTAGTAGGAGCAGATGGTTTCAAGGATTTAGGGAATGCAGGCATTGATATTTTCAGGGACAACGTAGCGATATTGGGCTGAGACTGAAATTGCTTTAACTTTGTTGCCTCTAGTCGCATGGGCACATTGAGATCAAACCCATCCTCAAAAGACTCATTGTCGTCTCGTGTATATTCATAATTCACAGTTCGCTCATTTTCAAGCGGGTCCTCATCCAAATTTGAGATGACAGGATAACGCTTGAGATCTTTCAAACGAAGGGTGTTCACCTCTTCGCCATGCCTGTGGTGGTACTTTTCAAATAGCTCCTTGTCTTCCAAGTCTGCTTGTTTTTTAAGCTGCAGTTTCTTCTCGGTTAAAATCTGACTTGCACGGCTAATGTTGGCATTGTTCTGCTTCTTTCCGCCGCTGCTGTAGATCCCGCTCTCTTCTTTACCAAAAATATCATCTATGTCTTCAAAATCCTCCTCATTCATTTCAGTGATATCTGTATCCGTTCCTTCGCTGTAATCACTTAGGGAACGTCTTCTTACTGGGGACGCCGAAGAGAATGTTTTGGGCAGAAAACGATTATCCTTTTGAAGAGGCGTATGTCGAAGTTGATTGAGGCGAATGTTCTCTGGGTTCAATTGACCCTCGAAGTCTTCGTCAAACAAAAAATCCTCATCATCCGGTGCGCCCGTGTCCATCTTAAAGCCTGGAGAAATCGACGGGCGAATGGCTTTCCTCTTCACAGGCGAGGACGTCGCAACCACGTCGTCGATTCCTGAAATCCGTAGTGTTTTGAAATCATTCGCAATATTCCCGTCTAGTCCGTCAAGGTCATCTAGTATATCGTCGGCATCGGGCCCGGCCTTCTCGCCCCATTTTCGTAATTTCTCGTTCTTATTTCGAATCGTGCTGGATTTTGGATCCAGCTCCATGTTGAATAGCTGACACTGTGGATACATGACAGATTGAGCCATATACACACAACAAATGCGCACCCGTACATCACGCATTCAAGTTGCACCCACCATTCCACTATTGAACAGTCCTCAACGCAAATACGCCTGGTGTGGAAGCAAGAAAAGCTGGTCCCGTATCATTGTTATTTTGGTGGTTGGGCTGGAACATAGGCTTGAAAACTTCTGGTGCCCTCTGCCCAATTTTAAAATTGCGGAGAAAATATTGCCGGAACAACCACCATGGCACACGAACACAGCACAACTGTCAAATACAATAAGGAGTAGAGAACGGATTGTCTTCTTCTTCTTTTCCTCTGCCGCTTAGAGTAGATAGGGCCGTGTACAATTCTGCTCGGTTTTAACCAAAAAAGAATATAGGTGTGCGCCTTATCCACAAGAGGAACAAGAGCTACAGGAAATATGGCCGTGAACAAGAAATGGCCCAATACAAAATCGTAGCCAAACAGAGTTAGATCACAGGTTTTGACCAAAATTTCCCTAAAAGGTTGGGAGAGCACAGCCCATCCAAATCTTTTGATGTTCCAGTTGCCGGACCACCACGCCAAATTCGACTGGTGGTCTTGGTACTCTTTGGATAGTAAGGCATTGTACGTCAAGGTTTTGAGAAAGGTGTGGATTTTCATGATGCAAATCATGGCGCAAAGGGACCTTGGCACGTTCCAGTCATGTAACAAAAGAGTAACGTTGACGCAAATTATCAATCCTAAAAAGCCCCAGGTGTAAGACATTCCAGCAAACAAAGAAGGGCTGCTCTTGAAACATAAAGTAAGCAAGTTCCCTGCAACAACCAGCACAGGAAAAAGAATCAAAAGCATTATGAGATTCAAAATTATTGGTAGCAAGGCCAAGAACGCGATTCTTGTTATAGGATCAACAGACACTGGTTCTTGAACTCCCGATTGTGCTGTTATGTATAGATAAGGAAGCAAAAATAGCAAAGCTTGAAACAACAAAGTTCCAACCTCTCCCAACTTGTTTGCCAGCAGTGAGCTGGATTCCAGAAGAGCGATTGTAGAATCTGAGGTTGCTCTCTTGTTCAGTTTGAACCCGGTATACTTCGCCCGTTGGTGTTTTTTGAAAGCAACCCACGTATCGTCAGAGGAGCTGTGGTTCCCACCAAAAAGCCACCCCAAGAAAAATCCATAATCAAGTATATATTCTTGAAGACAGAAGTTATGTGGATTGAAGACGAAAGGAGAAAAGCACAATGCAAAAGAAGTCAAGTAGAACCAAAAAAGAGCCGGTCTCCACATCGTCAAGGTAGCAAAAATTGTCACCAACAACCCAAATCCGCCAGCATAGATAGATACATCTGCATACTTGGAGTACAATTCATGGAATTTTACTCTTTCTGTGGCAAATCCTCTTCCCGTAGCAACGTATTTTGCTCCGCCAAACCTCAAGTTTTCCGTGAATGACTTTGCATACACTTTGCAAACAAGAACCTCAAACAAAGGCGCCAAGGAGAAGAAATGGTGTGTTACTCTTTTCAATGTATTTAGCACATCTTTTTCGGTTATTTCCCTGGACGGTGATGGGAAGGAAAGAAATCGTGAAACAAATGAACATAGAAAGAACAAATCTGTTCATCCACTCGAGAACAGGCACAAGATTACGGCATCCGTATGGAATATTAGCTTCCACAGTCGATGAAGCAGTTTCCGTGATGCATAATATTGACTCGTACCTCAAGGACCCCAAGAAGACCAATATCACTAGGAAAAGACTTACTGAAAGAATGATAAAGACATTGTTCAAGTGGAAGCCAGCATGAGCATAGTAAAATGACAAAAATCTGTCAACATGGAGTCTTGTACCCATGTAAAACACTTCTCTGGAAAGTGTTTGTTCACCCATTCCAGCTCCTATTTTCGTGTTGAAATTGAGGATCGTAGCAAATCCCAAATCTCTTCCTTTTCCACACTGATAGTAATCACAATGTTTTACGATCCCTCCTCTGCCTACTGCATTCATCCCAGCATAAATATCCTCATTCAAGTGCAAGCCTTTTTGGGCCTTAGAAATTCCGCCTCTAGAGAACATGAAAATAGAGTTGATGAAGTCCGGGTGGCCATAGTGAAGTTTAGCATTGACTTTGGACAATGTTCTAGCAAATAATGTCCCGAATGTCTGCTCTTTTCCAGCACTGACATCTCCTAGCACTCCAATATTTTCTGAGAAAATGTATTCCCTAGCACCAACCATGGCCACTCTTGGCTTTTGTGTTACATGGCTCATTCCAGGAACATATTCGAAAGTAGGATCCAAGTCTAGCTCTTCAAATTCAGCTAAAACAGACTTTATCTTTAAACATTCCTCGATGTAATTATCCTGGTTAGAATCAATCGCTTGAATGTACTCCCCTCTGTGAAAAATGATGGAATGATTTTGATTGTCAGACTTCCCGTCCCCTAGCTTTGGATCTCCAGAAAGCTTTATCCTGAACCTTATATCTTCGCTTTCTTCTGCTCTTTCATTCGTGGAATTTAGCAATACAGAATAGTAACATGTGCCTGTTTCTGTCTCTTCTGCTTCAATGTAAGAAATATGCAAGTTAGGAAAACATTCGGCCGTGAGTTGTGTAGCCACTAAATCTTCATCTCTCAAATGTTGATATCTTTGCATGGATACAAGTAATCGAAACTTCCTCCTCGAGAACGCATCTAACTCATCTTCAAGGTCAGCTGGCTCTACAAGGAATTCCCTCTCAAGATTATAATTTTCCAGATAGTATAGTATCTTGAGTGCTTTTTCGTAGTTGCTGAAGCCGGAGATGGTCCTAAAAAGGGTTTGGTACCTTAAAGATGCCCAAATCCTGGTTCTTATAGTAGATTCTGGCTCTGAGTTTTTGAAACCAATTGAGTCGAAAGGTATGTCTTCATATTTTTGCATATTTTGCCATTTTGTATAACGAGATTCCGAGCATTCAGCCTGTTCATCTGGTGCCAAAGTCCAAGACGTATCTGTTCCTAGACTTGACAAGGAGTTTACATGCCCTTTTATAACTTTGTGTCTTTCACGAATGCCCGCCATTCTGCCGGATGTAGTTTTTTCAAATATTCCAAGAGTGAAATCTTTGACTTTTCATTCTCTTTGAGAAGTTCCTTTATTTCAAGAATAATTTTCTCTGAGTAATGAGGTGCAAACACTGTAAACGATGGAAGACCTTCGATTGGAATTGGAGCCTGTAACAGACTGGATAGGGACCGGGCAAAAAACGAAATCCTCCTGGAAGCTTCAGCATTGGATGCAAAAAAGTCTGACAACTTCTCAGAAGCCGAGTCTTCTTGAAAGTTGAAAAAAATGGGCTCCCGGAAGCCTCCTATGGCTAGCTTATCATCATCTGTTTCCTTTTGGTATATTAATTTGTTCACCTGCTCGACAGAGAGTAAGTGTTCTTTGTAAAATGAAATGACAATGCAGTTCCATATTTTAGTGATGGCAAAATCACCATCCTTTTCGTTGAGACTGAAGACTATCTTGGAAATTATTCTCTCTGGTAGTTTACTGAATCTGTTCTTCCAGGGTTTGAAAATGGAAGTTCCAGCTGAGTATGCTATAATTGTTGAGAAAATACAATTGCAAATGATATACCACAAGTAAGTGTCGAGGAAAAATAGCAAAAAATTGGTTAACAAGAGTAATCCAGCGCATATCTTAGCGAAATTTTGACAGATCAACTTTTTTAGCCAAATATCTCCAGCACAACGAGAGGTGTCCATAGTGAGAAGAATATTCAAAGGATCCTTGAGTGAGAGAGTAAGAAAAAAATAAGACTCAAGAAACTTAGACGTGAAAACAGTTAACCAGAGCAAGAGTGAGTATAGGGCACTTTTCGAAGTCATTTTTGCAAAGCTTGAAGTGAATATGGTGGTTTTGATAGTATTGGGATCTGCTTTTCTCTTGATGAAAGAGAAGAGCTTGTCTGCTGGGGTAGCACTAAGATATGCAGTGGTGAGTAAAGAAAATCCCAACTGGCAGCCTCCGATGGCACATCCCATAGGTGAGTAGACATTCCAGCCTTTAAAAATGAGGATGTAGACGGAGGGAGCGGTAAGAGCCAATAAAAGAAACACCTGGAGGGTAAATCTGGCTAAAAGTGGCTGACATCCTAGAGAAGAGCGAGGCACAAAAAACCATTCGCCTATAGTTGAAAGTAGAGATACCATGCAAGAAACTGAGCCTCCTAAAGCTACTACTGTAAGTTGTACCTGCGGAGCACTTTTGGTATTCAATGCATGGTAGTAATTTCTTGTGTAAAGGGCCGGGGTGTTAATGACAAAGTAGTACCAAAAAGCAGATAGGTGGATGACCCATATTCTATTGAAATTTACAATGACATGGCCCCATGAACGAGTTTCAAGATACGTTTTCTGGAACACGGTCTTCCACTGGACATTCCGAAGCTCCTTGTATCGGTGTTCTTTCTGGATGGAGTGCAACGTTTTGTCATTTGCAATACGCAACTTTTCGAGGTTTGATGGGTACCAAAAGAACAGATTGACATCGTCATAGCCAATAATTTGGGCATGGTCAAGTCCACGTTTACGGCAAAGCTTACCATCTTTCAAATCAAACTGCTGGTCTCGAATGTAGAGGTAAATCGGTGTAACGATGTCGTTGAGAAACAGAAATTCTGGCGCCGCAGGTTTCTCCTCTTGACAAAAAAGATAATCGCTGGCACATTTGTATATGAAGAAAATGCATTCGGGCATAAAACGCAAGTTATTCGCTTCTCCCCATATGAGCAAGTATAGCACCAATTGCTCGAGCAATTCTTCTTCCGAGTATTTGCTCATTTGCAATCGCCAAGCATAGTCCATGCCCCAAAATGAGCTGCGGTCATTTTCAAACTCGGGCAGGTTGGGGATGACTCCCGAAGAAAACCGGGGCCACTGGTTCCATTTTCTTTTTATGTCTTTTGCGTCAGAATATTGGCGATCCAAATCGTAATAGGCGGCAAAATACCATTTTTTGTAGCTGGAGGAATCTCCGCCCAAATAATCGGCATGGACAGATATCAAAGCAGACGTACACAGCATGCGGCTTGCTCGAGAGTCTAATAGGGACATGAGATATTCAAACATATTAGCAGAGTTGTCGGCTTGAAATCCAAAAACGAGAGCTGTGCGGTCGAAAATGCTACGAATGGTTTCTATTTCGACGGAAGCACCATTGTCGGAGCACCAAGCTGGGTAAAGAAGATTATCATGAAGACTTTCTGTTTCGATTTTTGGATTTACAGACTCAAAGTTGTTTTGTAGCATTTGCGTCACAAAGAGATTGCAAAAAGAAAACGTGTTCCTGTTGAGAACAGGAAAAATAATGCCTTCAGCCAGATTCGAACTGACGATCTCCTCATTACTAGTGAGGTGCCTTACCAACTTGGCCATAAAGGCTTCTGATGTTTGCTTTTAGTGTGTGGTTGTCTATACTCTTTATATATATATCTCCTTCTACGTTGTGTTGGCATATTGTGCTTTAAACAGTTTGGTATACTTTTTCACCAGCTGGATTTAATTTAACCTTAGTAGTGCAGAGAAGCAGTTCGGTTACCCATCATTCTATCTAGTTCTGGCCAGTTCAGTTCTTTTCGATTTTTTAGTTGGGCAAAAGAAACTTAAGGAAGCAAATCAGTTTTCCAGTTGATGCTCCTATAGATGTCCGCCATGTATGTTCATTCAGATACAATCTCTACAGTTTTTATGAGGTATCGTTTGCATTTTCAACTGTCGCACAATATATAAAGGAAAAAGGAATAGTGTTTGGCTATCATGATGAGCTGAGACATGAAACTTCAAGAACAAATCACATTTTTTCACTTTTTATCTGTTTTTTACAAACTTCCATTTACAACGGGTAAACTTCAGACAAGCATTGGTCTGACGTGCCTTGCCATTTGTGACATTCGTCAAAGAAGATGCTCAAGGGTTTTCAGCTACGCGCATGGGTCTTTTACCCTTACCATCTGATTTCAATGGAATGAGGAGCAGTTTGAGTCGTATTGGATGTGACAATATATCACCTTCTCATATGAATGCTTCTATTTTTATCGTATATCAAGTGGCTCTGTGGCCGAGCGGTCTAAGGCGGCAGACTCAAGTTCTGTTATCGTAAGATGCGCGTGTTCGAATCACGCCGGAGTCATTATTTTTTCTCTTTTCTTAAACGCTATTTTCCTGTACACAGCGTTCGAGAGTCCCGAAGTCACACAAAAGCATAGTGTCACAAAAGTGTAATCTTGTGCAATTCGCAGCCATTCCAACACCAAGACTCGGCTCAAGAATCCGCTCGCATCTTCGCAGAAAATCCCGTTTGCCAGAACTAACGTCTACTCTTGATTGTTCTTACCATTGTTCAACGTCTGGTTTGCCTGGTTTGTCTGCTTTGTCTGGTTTGTCTGCTTTGTCTGCTTCGTCTTGGTTTTTTGGTCAGTCTTTGGACTTAATTAGTCTTGTATTTGTCGTTCCGTTGGATCTACTTCCTCCTTGGTTGATGGATTTTGATTTCAGCAACTCAATTCTGTTGATTTCTCATGTCGCTTTCGCACCAAAATGTGGATGAGGTGATGGAGTTGGGCGCGCCGTACTTTCTGAAGGCCGCGGCGCTCGACCTGGAAGAGCTCGACCGCGGGTATCTTCAGCCGCTCGACATGGATGCGGTGGTGGGGCACAGTTACGTGGCGTCGCCCCAGGGCTTAGGGCAAGGAGGCGAAGCGAGGTACGGCGTGGGAGTCGGGGCCAGCCAGGCCGCAGTGCGGGAAAATTATGATCTGGCTCTGGTTCTGGCTCTGGTTCTGGTTCTGGCTCTGGCTCTCCCAACCCTACAGGCTCCCAACCTGGCGATTCTTCCCAGTCTGACGTCGCCGTCTTTCGGGCCTCACCTGTACAGTCTGTCGCCCGCGCCGCGCAGCTTGTCGCCCCGATCGCGCGTGGCGCCGCGCTCCAAGAACCTTTTCCGCGTCGGCCCGCCCTTTGGCGCCACCGTTCAGGCGAGCCCGCTCTTTTCCCACAAGAATAACACGCAAATCACCCCGCGCCTCAGCGCACGGCTCGACCGCGGGTTCGAGCGCGGCGAAGCAGGCAACTGGATCGGCTACAAGCGCAACTACTTGACGTTGGTGCTGGCCTTCGAAGTGCCCGGCTGCGACTTGGACTCATTCCTCGCCCAGACATACTACGTGGTGAAGGGCGCGCGCCGCATGCCTGTGCGCTACTTCGCCCTAGGCGTGAGCGCGCGCTGCTCCGACGCCACCTGCGCCGTGAGCTTGGTGCAGCATACGCCCAAGCGCGACAAGGGCCCGCAGTACGCGGTGCCCATATATGCGGCGGTGCCGGGCACGTTGCCCGACCACAAGACAGTGACGCTAGCTTGCAACAAGCGCAACCGGGCCAAGGTCGATGCGTTGGACCGGGTGTTTCTGTATCGGCGGGCGACCGGTTCCACCTCTACGGAAGACCCAATGCACCCGCAAGACTTGTACTCGGTAAATTCTCTGGGATCTGTCTCTGGAAATTCTATCTCTGAATCTGTCTCTGGAAATTCTATCTCGGGAAATTCTATCTCTGAATCTATCTCTGGATCTGTCTCTGGATCTGCCTCTGAATCTGTCTCTGAATCTGTCTCTGGAAAGTCTGATCCACCCGCTTTGCGCCACTATCCGCCCGACGTGGTGCGTGTTGCCCGTTTCGAGCGAATCCAGTTTTCGGCCTCGCTTCGTGTCAAATCGACGCCTGTGCCCCAAAAGTACTACACGTTGACCGTGAAACTTTTGGCTGTGGTGGCCGATGCAAACCCGGTTGTCATCGCTTCGGTGGAGCTGGATCCTTTACTAGTCCGCGGCCGTTCGCCTTCAAGCTACGCCCGCGAGAAGACATCGGGCTTCCGCGGCTAATCTCCAAGTCATATACCAAATGATTTCGATGTGAGGATGTGTGTCAGTGCAATGCGTCCCTTTGTTTCTCCAAGTTGACTTTGCTACATATATTTTCGGTCACTTTGGTGGTTTCGATCATCGTTTCAAGTTTCACACTTTCGTCATTCTTTCGAATTACTCTCTAACCTCAGCTTTTTGTGCAATAATCAAAGGTCTGTCATTAATAATCCTTTCACTTCAGTGTGTTACTCACATGGACTCGCCAATGGACAAATCAAATGTGAGGCTGCTAGATTCTCTAATTGACGGTCATTCAAACTTCGAAGTTACAGTATACCATCACTTGGTACTACCTGCCTCTATAATCTCTAATGATGTATTCTGCTCCTTTTAACTCAACTTTGATAAGCGTGAGGAAGAGAGCGCAGTAATCTTCTGTCCCATAGAAACTAGTCCAATGAACATTGAAGTCTAGTATTCAGTTCTATCTTCACTGAAGTACATTGTCGTGCCAAATGTTCCAAGCCTCAGCAATAATTCATGAAATGCAAGTGGCCACTGCTGCTTTAGTACCTTGATCATAATTACAATTGCAAATTTATGGAACGCAAGTGCCACTGATGCCTTAGTGCCTTGATCATAATTACAATTGCAAATTCATGAAATGCAAGTGTCACTGATGCTTTAGTACCTTGATCTCAACATGTCTCTTGTTCTGACTACACAATTGACTCGTCCACTTATCTACTCTTGGGTCTTCTCTGGCCACTAAAGTCGCATACTTCCTCCGTCTTATCCGATCAATTGTCCGAGTGACAGATGCTCCTATTCCAAACCGCAGCTTCCGCTTGCGCAAAATGCGAACGACGATAGGTCCTTCAGATAGTCCAGATAGTCCTTCAGATAGCTTCGCCCAGATATCCCCACAAAACACAAGACAAAACAAAGCTCCGGACCGGACCTGCCAACAAAAGACGCCCGGATCCATCCTTCAGTCCATTCGAAGACTCCAATAACATCATCCAAAAAACCATCCAAAAAACCATCCAAAGAAACCCATTCAAAAAACGCATCCCACCCAGCCACCTCGCGCCATCTCGCCCACACGAACCGTCCTGCGCCTAACACAGGCCCCGCAAATCGCGAAGCACCAAAAGTCATTGGAAGTTCGAGCCACTATCACCATTTTTAGGCGAGCGCAGACGTCGAGCATTAACCATCTAGCATCATGTCGCTGGACTTTCTCCCGCCGGACGAAATCAAAACGATCGACAAACACTCGGCCGAGTACGTGTTGCGCTCGGGCCTTGCTGGCGGCATCTCGGGGTCTGCGGCGAAAACACTCATAGCGCCGTTGGACCGGATCAAGATCTTGTTCCAGACGTCCAACCCTGAGTTTCTCGAGTTCCGCGGCTCGCTCTTCGGGCTCGGCCGCGCCGCCCGCAAGATCGTGGCGTCCGACGGCTTTTTGGGCCTTTTCCAGGGCCACCTGGTGACGCTTTTGCGCATTTTCCCCTACGCGGCCATCAAGTTTGTCGCCTACGAGCAGATCCGCAGCATTCTCATCCCCAACGACATCCACGAGACCGCCGCACGCCGTTTCATGGCCGGCTCGCTCTCCGGCCTTGCGTCGGTGTTTTTCACCTACCCGCTCGACTTGGTGCGCGTGCGGCTTGCCTTCGAGACCCGCGCCTTGGCCCACGCCGCGCGCCACCCGCACCATGCGGATTTTGTCGCCCACCACCGCGGGCGCATCTGGGCCATTGTGCGCCTGGTGTACGCCGAACACCCGCCGCTGCGCGACCTGGACCCGCGCTGGCTCAAGTTCATGCGCAAGACGGTGCCGGCGGCGTTGGTGCCGCTCTCCAACTTCTACCGTGGCTTTGGCCCCACCATCCTCGGCATGGTGCCCTATGCCGGTGTTTCCTTCTACACCCACGACTTGATCCATGACATTTTCCGCCTGCGCATGTTGGCGCCGTACTTTGTCACCGAGCGGGCGCCCGGCTCCACGCGCGTGGTCAAGAAACTGCGCGCGGGCGAAAACGTCAGCTCGCGCGACTCCAGGGCGCCGCTCCGCGCCCATGCCCAGTTGGTGGCGGGCGGCTTGGCCGGCATGTTTTCGCAAACGCTGGCGTATCCGTTCGAGGTGATCCGCCGCCGAATGCAGGTGGGCGGCGCCGTGGACCAGGGTGGCTTTTTGCTGTTCCGGTCCACCGTGCGCTTGATTTTCGCCGAGAGCGGCGTGCGTGGCTTTTTTGTGGGCTTGACCATCGGCTACATCAAAGTGATTCCCATGGTGGCGTGTTCCTTCTACGTGTACGAGCGCAGCAAGACGCTACTCGGCATATGAGTCGCGACACGACGTCGGCATGGAGACACGACGTCGGCATGGTTGGAGCTGCGTGTCGCTGAAACGGCGTCTGAGGCATGCCTTGAATTCGACGAGTCGATCAACATGAAGTCTCATCCGCTTGCCTCATGAATCTCATCCGCCTGCTTATTCTACAAATTTACCGAATTTCTCGCATTGTTATGTACATGAGTTGGTCAGAAAAACCAGAACCACTTGTTTTTCTTGGTGGGCCGCGTGCCAAACCGGCCGCCTGTTGCACTGGCAGTCACACGGTCTTTGGCAATGGCGGCAGTGGCCGAGAGCCCGTCGGTTCCGATCTTGAACCCCCACCCCCGGAGCATCTTGACGATGGAAGGCGTGAGGGCCGCGGTCAAGGGAACACGCACGAAAATGAACACAGACTTGTGGATTCCGTACGCAATGACAAACTCCGTCCACGAAAACCACGAAAACATTCCTTCAGGCTCGGGCTGTTTTGGTTCCGACTCCTCTTCGATCTTGTTGATCTCTTGCATCCGCTCCAACTCGGCGTCGCTCTTGCCAAAACCAAAATACTGCTTGACTTTGTTTTCGTATAACTCGATCTTCTCCTTGCCCATGCTGTGCACAGCAAAGTAACAGATGGGCAAGTCTAGCATACTGAGGAACAAGTACACCCCAAGGGCAGAGTACCCGTACTCTTTCATTAACGCTTTGATACCTGTTGGTTTCCGCGTGGAGTTGAGACGCACCTGGCCAAAGGCACGTGGTTTCAACGCCGCAAGCATTGTCTGGCCTGCTTTAGGTTGCAATTGCGGCCGCAAGGAGGCTGCAAGTCGAAACATGGTGGAGAAGAGTGGAGGCGAAAAGTCTCATGTGGATCTTGCGATATTGAAACTGCGTACAGGACGCAGCGGGCCAAACGGAGATACCATACCTTGATTCTAGAATGCCGGTCGGAGAATGCTGCGATTGGCCAAAAATTGGAAACTGGCAACATGAAGTCAAGAGCAAGGAAATTGAACATGGCAATGATTGTCAACGTGGACAATGGAAACTGCTGGGAGTTGACCACTACATGTATCGCTAGATCCCTTTATGCAGGTGCTTCCTACTAGAGCCAATGTGGTTCCCAATGTGGAGCTACTTACATGGAAGATATCCTGTGCTTAGAAACTTATTTATTCAACATGGCATGTAGCCAATAAACATCATAACTTAGCACGGTGACGTATGTGAGTTTGTGTAATTAGTCTCTTCTAGTGAATTGTTCCTTTCTTTGTTAGTTGTACGTATTTATATGTCTGGAGTGTCACACAGTCAAGGTATCGTTCTTGAGATAAAGATGAATGTATCATATTATTTATACTTTGTGTTTGTGTTTTTTGAAGTATATTGGAGTATTTTGTAGATATGAGATTGGGCTCAAAATAAATGCGAATAATGAAGTACCACCGACTAAGAAAAAACAGAACAATTTTTTGAACAGTTACTAATCTAATCGTTTATAATTAACATGACAATTTTAGCCCGTGGTCAGATTTTAATTTTTATGAATAGTTGCTGGTGGATCATAGGATATCTTATCACAGTTATCATATCGCATCACATTAGAAACATGAACTCGAGGTATCGGACTCTCCAATTTTGGTGATTCTAAGTGAGCGACATTCAAAAATGGAACAACAAGAAAGCGTGAAGCGAAGAGGCAGTGAAAGTTAAGGTTACAGTCGAAATGGCTAATTTCCAAATCTTTATGAGCCATATTCTGGTTGAAAGAGCTTGGTTATCTTTAGTCTCTCTATACATGGAAGCTGCACCTCGGATTCTTTCTATACACAGAAATCAACGGAATGTCGAATAGTACTTCTCCTGGGCAAAACGGTGCGCTACTTTCTCCAACACTTCCTTACCATACACCAACTCCAAAGGCTCTCCACCCTGCAAAACACGTTCTTCGTGTCGGCGCTGTTCTTCTTTTGTCACCAAGACAACATTTTGCATGCTGAGCTCCTTTGATGGGTCCCACCGTGTGAGCGCCAAACGGGTTGAGAAGCCTGATACAACCGACTTGCCGCGGAAAACTTCCTCCACAATGTAGGGTATATCTGCCATGGCGACTGGTGTACGCTGATCAGTGCGTCCAAGACGTGCTTCTTGGGCTGCCAAACTTTGCAACACACCGTCATAAACCTTCATACGGTTCTTGCCTTCAACATACTCAGTAGGATAGCCTGCCACAGTAGTAAGGATATGTGTAGCTAATGCAAGACCGAACATACCAGGCATGGTACCCAAGACAGGCAATATACGCACGCGGAACGCTTGAAGGGCAGCCAACTGGTTCACGTCACCACGCTCCACCTCTTGTTCTGGCAAGGGCAAAAGGCTGGCCTTTCTAGGATCCGGCTTCTCTGCACTAAAAACAACAGGAACACCACGAACACCCCGCTTACCCAAGCGAATACGCACAGCCCGTGCCAATGGATCCTCTTCTGTCTGGGTAATGTCAGCCACATTGAGTCTAGTTGGGTCAGATTTGCACGCAGCACCACCAGAAGAGACAACACGGAGGCCGTGCTCATGGCAGAAAGTCAACAAGTCTACCTTCGTGTCGATGTTGTCGATACAGTCCACGACAATCGTTGGCTCGAAGCCGCCGCCCAAAATCAACTCTTCACCCAGTTTGCGGTCCCAAAGCAGGTTTCTGGCATCGATCTCAACCCACGGAGCCACACGTGCCATATGCTGTCTCATACACTCTACTTTGGGTGTTCCAACGTCTGCCAACGTGGCCACGGCGTGACGATTGAGCGAGGAGAGAGACACCTGGTCAAAATCCACAATACGAAGCGCACCCACACCTGAACGCACCAACAGCGTCACAACCCACAGGCCAACACCACCACATCCAACAACCACAACGCGCTGCGCTCTTACTTTTGCCATGCCCTCTTCGCCGAGAAAAGCGTAATTCCGGGCCAACTGCTCGCGAATAAGCTCTTCACTGGACTCCTTCTTTTTTGGCTGTTCTTGGGGAGCATGCTTCTCTCCTATGTACATGTGGTAAGCATGAACCGCAACGGCAGCAACAGCGGCAGCAGTAGCGGCCACTGTGGCTAATTTGGCTGGAGAAGACATGGGCATCGCAGACTGCAGACATGGTTGAAGTAGTAGGAAGGTGTTGGAGGCACGGGTGTCACAGAAACATACGTACCTCCGATCCCTTCAATTGCAGCCACGAAAGATGGCTAAGAAGCAGAGAGGAAAGGAAAGGAAAGGAAAGGGAAAGAAATATTATAGATATGATTTGGATTGCGCAAAGCGAATCAATGTATCAGGAGGTTTAAGTAAGTATGGGGAAAAAGAAAGGAACAAGAAAAGGAAGACTATCGCGCTTGAACTCTTGAGACGAATAAAAAGATTCAACAGGAATTGTGCTAGTCTCAAAATATTGCCAAAGTAAGTCCACTTATGGATAATATCTTATAACTCTTCAAGGCCGATTGTGTGTGAAGACAACTCCATTCAAGGCTCATCAATTGTTTGTAAGTACGAAATCGTCTTAATTGTTTGTGATGATGGAAGAGACACAGATGGAAATAGAAGAGCTAAGAGCGGCTATAAATGTAAAATAAGCTCCAGTCAGTATCTCAACGCATCTAGATCGTCAGCACACAAACTGGAAAAGAAAACTCTGGCGCTCCCAGCAAGAATCTTAGGTGGAAAGAGACGAGACAATGCCTACAGATACTCCATGGATTGGCCATGATGAAGCCTCAGTTTATTGAGACAAGAGTCACTGACCCCGAAATGACTTGTGGCGATGGCCATCGACGTGCTCCATCTATACTTCTGCTGTCTTGAGACTATACTTCAGCTGCCTTGAGACAGTACATCCGCACGGGATACAACTCACGGGGCATGCCCTTCTGCACGTCGCTTGCAATCAACCGCAAGCCTGCGCGGGCAAAAAGCTCCCGGAACTTGGCGTCTGTGCGTGTTACGCTCAGGTCGGTCGGATCGAAAACGTCCTCCACCGGCGCAATGTTCTCCTTGACCACAACCGTGCCGTTGGGCATCAACGCCTCGCGACATCTCTGCCAGAACGCCACAAGCTCGTCGTCGGGCAACTGGCCCACACACCACTGGCACCATACAAGCCAGTACTGCCCCATCTTCTCGGGCAGACACCGCCACTCCTGCATTCCTTGGGCGTAGATGTCGCCGAGACGGCCGCGGCGCTTGACATCCGCAAGTTCACGCTCCATCTGCGCCACAAAGGGCTCCACGGGCTCCAACAAGTCGCACCGGTCGCTGACTTTCCACAACAAGTCGCGTGTGATCCGCCCGATCCCGGCACCCATATCTATGGTGAGACGGGCTCCGTCGGGACACGCCATCCGAGACTCGAGCTTGCGCAAGAACGTGGCCGAGCCGATGATGTCGGCCTTGGGCACAGGTGTTTGTTCGCCAAAGCCACCGAGCACTCCGTTGACGGACGCAGGCACCGACAGCCAGTAGGCAATAGCGTCAGAATAGTTGATGTTGGCGTCTGGGACGCCAGAGTCTGCGCTGTTTTCTGTATCGTTGATGTGTTTGGCGGGCATTGGGGAAGAAACCCGTGCCGCGGTGGTTCTAGTAGGCGATGCCTCTGCGGCACGGGCCTGGACACTGGGATGTTGATGGTGGGGAGGTACTGGTGTCCGTGCTGGTGTCCGATCTGGCGGCTGCAAACAGGGGATGTCAGCATGAAAACGTCGTTGTGGTTGGTGTTTCTGCTTAGATGAGATTCAAGTGAGGCAGTTTTTCAGTCGCGGGTGGAAACGGCGTTTTCTGCGAAATCTCTGTTCTCAATATCATCTTTTCTTCTTGCTCAAGTCCTGCTAATGGTTTGTTCTGTCTGAATTTCGCTAAACTAAAAAACATTCACCAGGCTCCGTTTGACTCTCTGGATTGTTTTGCCGACATTTGAAGTGGATATTATCGACTGCAAGTTCTTCTTTTGATAGTCGATTAAATCCTACGACTAGGGTGCGAATATGTCTCTTCCATTGTCATATTGGCCGGGTCACAAAAAATATTTGGTGTTCGAATAGATTGTGGTCCGTGGTTCCCTTGTTACATTTAAGCGACGTTACATTCTTTTACTAGATTGAAATTTCCATCTTCTTTACTCTTCAGGTGTCTATGGCGCGACATGCTTGTGGATGCGCGACACGTCCGCGCGACATGGTGATGATTGATGCGACTTGTTGATGTTTTATGCGACATCTCTCCATCCTCCTCCAGCATGGGTTACTACGACATTGACGATATTCTAGCTGACTCGGAGAAAGTTCCGTGCCGCTTCACACTTACTGTCCCCGGCCTCGGTTATCTTGAAGGAAACCCGGGGAAAGCTATCGAGAAAGATACCAAAGTGGAACTTCCCATGTGGCTTGCTGAAGTTCTTGCGACATCTTTGGTTCTGGCAGGAACAGAAGACAGTTTTGTCGAACTTCTACAGCCAGAATTTGTGGGTCCACGTGTTCTCAATGCTATCCGAGCCGACCCCACTTCAGTCGATCTACACACTATCGCCAGCAACTTTTACCGTCTTGCTGAAAAATGGCTGGCCCTTTTCAACGACACGGAATTGGTCGAGGTGGTCATGGCTATGCTCAAGGAAAGAGCAGTGGAAATAGACAACTACGCGTCGAACACGTCGAATCTTGTCAATTCAAACTTCTTGTACTCACTCGATGAGTTTGAAAGAGCACTTTACCGGGCGACATATGAGAGCAAGAAACAGATGCGGACATGGGGAAATACGTAGGTACTCATGCTTTTGCTTCTATTTTGAAGTCAAGCCGAATCTACCGTGGTCTATCAAGTTGTGATAGTTGGTAACTCACCTCAATGTTCTTTCAATGGACTAAACCTACATCAGAATCAAAACGGGTTGAATGCTTCAATGTCTTACGAACTTCGGTAAATGTTCACGAACTGTGCTGCATTTCGTTCAGCTAAACATATTTTCAGCTTTCGATTGAAGTTCTCCTGCGATGCATCTAAGTACTTCCTTTTAACTCATTCGGTTGATTTTGCCTCTCTATATTGGTTTGGTTTGAAGTGGCTTTTATATCATGAACAGAACGACACTAATTCAGTAGTTACACCTAATTCAGTAGTTACACGTCTTGGTACTTTTTCCTATTTTAAGTCTACTAATATTTCACTATATTACATCTAGAAGAGACCATCATCATCACCATCTGAACTATCCTCCACCATTTCTTCCGACTTGAAAGCCTTCTTTTTCTTATTTCCGTTGGCCTCCTCTTCTTCCTTCTCCTCATCATCATCTTCAATGGCTCTTCTCTTTCTCTTGGTGGCCTTTGGCTTTTCCTCCTCTGCATCCGAACCCAAAGGTGGCTCCTCAGCATTGTCCTCTCCTCCAGTAAGTTGAGCTTCTTCTTCTTCGTCACTATCGTTGATAAAATCCTTCTTCTTTCTCTTGCCGCCCTTCTTCTTCCCATTGGCTTGTTTCTTTCCCTTCTTCTTACCTCCTTCTTCAGAAAACGCTTTATCGTCATCAGAGTCGTCGGCAACTATGTTGTTTGCCCTCGCTTCTTCAGCCCATTGCTGCGCTTGTTCTTGCAAACGTGCTCTTTCTTTAGCCAACTCCTCCTCTTTAGTTCTCTTCTCGGCAAGAACAGATTCGAGCTCTTGCGCCTTTCTCGCTTCTTCCTCTTCTCTCAATCTCTTAGCCTCTTCAAGCTTGTTGTTTAATTGTGCGATATTCTCCTTCGTCTCTTCCAAGCACACATTCAATCTGTTGAGCAATGTGTTTGTTCCCAAGTTGGCTCTGGCCTTCAAATCCTCTTTAGGGAATGGTGGGTGCTTTTCGTCGTCTGAAGCCAACTTGTTCAACAGTTGAATGGCCTCGTTCAAGTTGATAATTGCTTCGTTAATGTCTTCCACAGTTCTCTGTTCAACAGGCAACTTGCTGACAAACTCGGCAATCTGGAACTGGATGAAAGCGACGTTGAAAACCAATGATCCGTTGCGACCACTGTGCTTGTTTAAAGCTTCTTCAGAATATTCCAATGCTTTTTTCAAGTACGACAAGTTCTTCTCCGCAATTCCCCTCAAGTACCACGAACGACCCAAAAATCCCATGATCTTCACATCCTGGCTATCGGTGTACCTGACAAAAGCAACTTCATAACTCTCAATGGCTTTAGAGTACTGTTTCAATTCCACAAGAACGTGACCCAAATTCAAGTATACCGAGATGTCGTTCAACGAGTCTCTGATTTTTCTTAAAATGTCCAATCCTTTGTGGTACTCCTTGTTTTCGATGTACACTATGGCCAAACCTTGTGCAGCGAAAACATTCTTGGGGTCAATGGATAACACTTTAGTGTATAATTCGATGGCTCTGACAAAGTATTTTTTCCTCTTCTCTTCGTCTTTAGAACTTTTCAAGTCATTGGCCATAACACAATAAATGTTGGCCAAAGAGATTAACGCATAGCAATCATGCGAATCAAAGTCCACCAATGTTTCTTTCTGATGCACAGTATCGGCATCAGGTTTCAAACCAATCTTTTTGCCAAAAGTCTTGATGAACCAGCCGTAGAACGATCTGATTTCCAAGTCTGAGGCGTTTTGCGCCAATAACTCTTTGATTTCTTTCTCAATTTCTTCCTTCAGAGTCTCGTTTGTTGAAACAGCATCCAAGAATAGAAGTCGGAGCTTGGCAGAAAAATAGTGTGGGCACTCTTGCAACAAAGAGTTGTACATTTCAATGGCCTTGTTTTGGTCTGAAACCTCGTGCGAGCGAGCCAAATTGTACGAGATTGTCACCTTCAAGTCCTTTTGCAATTCTGCATCCTTCAAATCATCCAATTTTTTCAACGCAAGCTCAAAGTTCTCAATGGCAACATCGACGCTGTTTTTCGAAAAGTTGAACACACCAATGTTATTGTAAACTTCCAACGGAACATCACGTCCAGTTTGTTTTCTTGATTCGATGGCCTTGTGTAGGTAGACCAATGACTGGCTGAGATCTTTTGGCTCATATAATTTGCTCAAAGTCAAGTAAGCATTCAAGGCCACAGGCTCTTTGTTCAAAAGGGCCTCAGCCTCGTTTTTGTTTTCCACTGCCAAACCACGGTTGTTAGACAATCTGATATATCTCTCTAGCATATGAATGGCCTGTTCCTGTTTTGTCTTAGAGGATTGCTGGGCATAAAGGACACCAAGGCAGTAGTTGACTTCCAAACACTTTGGGTTTGTTTTCAAAATAGACTCAAACGTGATCAAGGACTCTTCAATGGAGCCCCTACTGAGCTGAGACTGGCCCAAACCGAGCTTGGCGAGAAGATTGTTTTCGTTCAATCTGATGGCCTCGTGGAAATACTTTTGCGACTGGGTGAAATCCTCTTTGGCATACGCCACACGGCCGAGCCAAAAGGATGCTTGAGAAAGCACTTTTGTGGCGAAGGAAGACAATTTGCGAGAAGGTTTGTCGTCCGCAGAAAACGCCGAAACGACCTTGCCCACGATTTTCTCCACCAAGTCGTGTTTTCCTTTGGAGAAATAGAAGGAAGCGAGGGCTAACAAAATCACGCTGTCGTTCGTCTTTTCAAGCTGGAGATGCGTCAATTCCGTCAAGGAACGCTTGTAGCCTTCGAGAAACTGCTCGTCGGATAAAGAGTTGGTGAAGACGTTGTCGAAGGACGCCAAGTTCAACAACAACTTGGCCTTGAAGCTCTTTGGGTCGAGCTGCAACGCCCTTTCCCATGCGCTGAGCGCCATGGGTCTGTCTTTCAAGAACCAGAAGCAAAGCCCAATGCCTAGTCTTGGGTCTGGCTTCATCAACGGATCCAACACCAAAACCTGCTGGTAGAGCTTGAGCGCGCTGGTGTAGTTCTGCGTCTTGCTCAAGGTGATTTGCGCCTTGCCCATCAACGCAAAACAGTTGGCCGGGTCCGCTTTCAAGAGCTTATCAAACGCCTGAAGAGCCTGGTCGGCGTGGTCTTCGTGCAAGTGCATCACGGCCCGCGCCAGCAACACCTGCGGCGAGCTGTCGTCCAAATTGGCAAATTCGGCCGCAGCCCGAGCCAAGTTGTCGCTTTTGTCCGTGCCTTCGCTTGCAAGGGCCAAATACACCCATCCCAAGACACTCCGCACAAGATCTCTGTCGGAGTCCAGAAAGTGGGCCTGGTCCAAGGCCGCTTGCACAATCTTCTGTGCGTCGCCCGCCTTGCCCTCCTGGGCATATGCCTGAGCCACCATGACCCAGTACTTGACTTCACATTTTTCTGCTTGCAAAAAACCAATGAGCTCGTGTGCGTCCTCGGGCAACTCGTCGATGGAGACGATTTCGCCGTTTCCAATTGCAACGTCGAGCAGGGAAAGCGATTCGGCAGAGGCGCCGCCTAAATAGTACGACACGTCGACGGGCTCGTCCATGGCAGATGGTGGAGAGAAAAGTGGAAGACGATGTTGAACTTGGGTGAGACACCCGTACATCCGACGGCCCTCATCTGTAGGCGAGGCTGATCTGTTTTCTTTTACTCTACTCTACGGATTTTCTATGTACTCGGGCTCCAACTAGCTTTAAGGTTATCTCCTCTTGGTCTGACCCAGTGGATGGATGGGAGAGAGCAGAATAAACGTGGCACTTACCGAGTCTTGTCTTATATGCAGGATGTATTGGAACCGAACGGTGAAGCAGCCGGGACAAGAGCATTCTGTGCTGTTCCCTGGCGCCGTGGCCAGTTATTGTGTCGTCTCCTCGCCCCCATGTCTCCCCACCCGAAGACATCAAGAATAGTACTGCCAGCAAACAAGAGTCTTTATGCAGTACGCACCGATGTTGAGAATCTCTTACATGCAATATGCACGTCAGGATTACTCCAGAACAGTTTCATCGTTATCTTACAGATTCTGAAACTATAGGGCTACACATCGTACCCCTCTCTGTTTTAAGAAGGTTTCACCTTTGTAGTTCTCACGGATATATAAGATCATCTATTCTCTCTAAGATGGGATTCCCTTCTCTAAGGATCATCTCTCCATCTCCCGATACATATATGTCTATGTCAATCAAACGTCACTTATCAATGTTTACTCCGTCTACTGCTCCTTGCTGATGCTACCAAACCATCTGTCTCTAGATCCTCACTGGAGGATTCATTTAAGGAATCCTCTGGGTTAATCTCTGATCAAACAGCTTCAATTAAACGTGTGTATAGAGCTAAGTCTACTGCACAAAACATTGAACAGGTTATGGGCCGCTGTGTGATCGAAGATCTCAACCCATTTGAAATAGAGAATGGAGTACCTTTTACACGAATGGTACTACTGTTTCAAGAAAAAGTTCATAGGAACATTTTCCTCCTGGGCAAGAATTTTTTTTACTCACTCAAGTGAGGAGTACGAAAAATGTTTCTCTGGACTGGCAGAGTCAACTCGACAGGCAGTGAACTGTATGGAACAAAGTTTTCATAAGTGTATCAAACATCTTCTTGAAGATAAGGCTTTCTTTCCGGAGCTGACGTTCTACACTCGTGATTTTATCGAAAATGAACTCATTCCTAGCACTAAGGCTGATGACAAAGCCGCCTATCGCATGGCAATTCTAACTCGCCGTCCAAAGTTAGTGATGCGAGCATCACAAGGAGACTACAAACCATTGTTATTCCATCTCCTTGCCTTGTCCGTTAGCCCTGATGACATATGGGATCACTTTCTTGTGATCTTTACACCCAAACCAACGACTCACAAACAATGCGAAGAACTTTCTCTCTTGTACCAGAAAGCTCAATCCCGTATGAAGACTATTGAGAAACAGATTCAGTTTTGGTATATGTCCATTGCAGAGTCCCATAAAAATTGGCTCTCCAAAGATCAGGTTGTGTTGAAAGATTCGAAGTTTGAAAATCGGAGATTGGAAACATGTTCCCCTCACCCAATGTCGTGGTTGTCTTGGAGCCAAAACCACTAATCACTTTCCCAAGGAATCCCGTGGCGTTACACCCATTACCCAACCTTTTGAGGTAATCCATGTCGACATCTGTGGCCCCTTTGATTCTCATCCGGCCTACGACAATACACGGTACTTCCTTACCATTGTTGATCGCTTCTCCCGTTATGTTACGGCTATTCCGTTAGCTCGGAAGAGTGAAGCCTCGACTCACATTCAAACCTTTATCCTTCGGAGCTACAACGCTCTTCGCGCCACTCACTATCCCAAACAGTTTCGCTCGGATAATGGCACTGAATTCATCAATGATAACCTTCTTGTCTTTCTTGATGAGCACGGTATCACTCCTCATTTCACTCATGCCCATTGTTCTTCTCAGAATGGCATTGCGGAGCGTATGAACCGTACTCTTGAAGACAAAGCTCGTGCTCAAATCGCACATGGCAATATTCCTCTTGCTTTCTGGCCTGAGGTTATTCGGTACTCTGCATTCATTCTCAACTGGGACACCACGCTCCAACTTACAACATAAGACACCTACTCACTGTTGGTTTAACAACCTGCTGATTCCCTGCCCCACCTTTTATCCTTTTGGGTGCACTGCACAGGTTACGTTTCCGCTTGAAATCCGTGCCAACAAATTAGCTCCTAATTCTCTTGAATGTGTCTATTTAGGACCTGCTGTTCAACGCACAGGCCATCGCTTCTTCAGTTATGACCTCATGACGGTCTTCGACTCTGACCAAGCTACCTTTTCTTCCCGACGACCTATACTTTATCAAGCATGATGCGCGCATTAGGTCTCTTCTGATTAATCACAACCGCCTTCCTACGGCTCTCCTCCCAAGCATTAAGTTGCCGGCGCCCTTTAAACGTCTCTCTCCTGAAGACCTCTTTCGTGAAAAGCAAGATCTCGCGAATCTCTTTTCCACGCAGCCTCGAACCACTGAAAAGTCTGCTTCTCCTCCGCCCGTGGTCCCGGCGGACTCCACGACTCTGCTGATCACTGAGTCCTCTCCTATGCCTTCTCGAAAGGTTGCTAAGACGCTGTCGCTTACCCCGTCCGCTACCTTAGCGCAGTTGCTGACCTCTTCTGCCACTAATCCGGTTACGGCGCCTCCTGCTTCTCCGCCGCCGCCTTCCTCGTCATCTCCACCTCACTACCGGACCCGGAGCTATACTCGCTCCCTTTTTCCCAAATTGCTGTCATCCACCAAGGGGGGTAGACAACATGATCACCTCCTTAAATTTCCAGCCCGACTGCAACAAGTGTCAGTTGCCCAGTCTAACAAATCTAAAAAGTCGAAAAAGCGTTCTCATGATGAAGTCCTAATGGTTCTAAGGACTGACATGGTGGATACACCTGGTCACAAGGAAGAAATTCCTAGTACTACTTCAGTCTTACATGCTGCGACTGTGTATGCTGAAAACCATCTCAATAACCTGAGACCTATTCCTAACTCCTATTCTGAAGCCATGAGAGCTGCAGACAAACAGAATTGGTTAGAAGCTTGCAACCTGGAAATGCAAGCACATCACGAAAATGGCACATTTACTCTTGTCCCTTTACCACCAAACGTAAAGCCCATAGGCTGTCGATGGGTTTTCAATATCAAGGACAAAGGCCTCTACAAGGCCAGACTAGTTGCCAAAGGCTATACACAGAAAGAAGGAATTGACTACGAAGAAACCTTCTCTCCTGTGATTAAGCATACTAGTCTACGTCTACTCCTAGCCATTGCTGGTAGACTCAAAATGCATGTACATCAAATGGATGTTAAAACCGCGTTCTTAAACGGTGACCTCAAGGAAGATTTATACATGAGACAACCTCCCGGTTACAAAGCTGTTTCCAAGAATAGTGAAGATAAGACCACTGAATATGTTCTCAAGTTGAACAAGTCAATCTATGGATTGAAACAAGCTCCCTTAGTCTGGAATCAGACTATAAACAAAACTCTTGTGTCACTTGGCTTTAAGAAAACTATCCATGAACCATGCATATACTATAAGTTTGATAATAAAGATCAAACTTTAGTCGCACTTTATGTTGATGATATGTTAATCGCTGGTACAAACCTTGCAAAGATAAATCAACTCAAAATTCACTTAGGTCAAGTCTATCAAATGAAAGACCTTGGTGTTGCTACGAAATTCATTGGTATGAACTTGGAGATATCATCCACTGGAATTTCAAGTCTGCATGAAAGATTATATTCGAAATCTCCTTGCAGAATACAACATGACTGATTGTAATCCAGTCAAAACACCTGCGAATAAAGACTAACCTTGACGACTTACCTGACAGCACAGATCTACCATGTGATGAAAATGAATATAGATCCATTGTTGGAAAATTACTCTATGCTGCAAACACAGTTCGATACGACATAAATTACATCGTTCTGAAATTATCACGCTACTTTGCATCACCTAAAGTGAAACACATGGATGCTGCCAAACGTGTTCTCAGATACCTAAAAGGCACCCCAACATTTGGCTTACGCTATACATCATATGCACCAAATGAGCTCTTTAGTTACTCAGATGCTAACCTAGCCTCTGAAGCAGATACAAAAAGTCGTTCAACCACAGGTTTCAGTTTGTTCTATATGGTGGATCCCCAGTTAGTTGGAGATCAAAGCTACAAACACTTGTGGCTCTCTCTACAGCAAATTCCGAACTTGTTGCCTTATGTTACACAACACAAGAAAGTGTCTGGTTATTAAACCTTTTAAAAGACATGAATATAAATTGCAACGCAAGTCTCTTCTGTGACAACCAGCCAGCCATTAAAACTGTGCAGCTGGATGCATTATTAGAAGGAACTAAACACATAAGAATTAAAGTTGATTTTGTTAAACAACAACTTCAATGCACTGTCTTGCTGCTTCAATACGTTCCTACAAAATTGAACTGCGCAGACATGTTTACAAAGGCGATAACAGATCCTCTTTTCTCGAACCTACGTCAAAGATGTGCATCTGGTCTAAGCCCAATTGATCTTTTGTGATGAACTACTGAAGTTCACCTTCAAGGGGAGTGTTGAGAATCTCTTACATGCAATATGCACGTCAGGATTACTCCAGAAACAAGTTTCATCGTTATCTTACAGATTCTGAAACTATAGGGCTACACATCGTACCCCTCTCTGTTTTAAGAAAGGTTTCACCTTGTAGTTCTCACGGATATATAAGATCATCTATTCTCTCTAAGATGGATTCCCTTCTCTAAGGATCATCTCTCCATCTCCCGATACATATATGTCTATGTCAATCAAACGTCACTTATCAATGTTTACTCCGTCTACTGCTCCTGCTGATGCTACCAAACCATCTGTCTCTAGATCCTCACTGGAGGATTCATTTAAGGAATCCTCTGGGTTAATCTCTGATCAAACAGCTTCAATTAAACGTGTGTATAGAGCTAAGTCTACTGCACAAAACATTGAACAAACCGAGTACAAAATTTTCACGCCTAGAAACCATCAAAAAACTCTATAGTTTTACGTCACAAGCACCATGTCAGACTCTGGAGCCGCAGAAAAGAGCATCGAGATCTGGAAGATCAAGAAGTTGATCAAGTCGCTCGAAATGGCCAAGGGAAACGGAACCTCGATGATTTCGTTGATCATTCCTCCCAAGGGCCAGATTTCCTTGACACAAAAGATGTTGACTGAAGAATACGGTACCGCCTCCAACATCAAGTCCCGTGTCAACAGATTGTCTGTCTTGTCTGCCATCACATCGACCCAGCAGAAATTGAAGTTGTACACCCATGTGCCCAAGAACGGATTGGTGATTTACTGTGGTGATGTCATCACCGATGAAGGAAAAGAGAAAAAGTTGAATATCGATTTCGAGCCCTTCAAGCCCATCAACACATCGTTGTACTTGTGTGACAACAAGTTCCACGTCGAGGCGCTTTCCGAGTTGTTGCAAGACGACGACAGATTTGGTTTTATCATTATGGATGGTAACGGAGCCCTTTTCGGTGCGGTGTCGGGAAACAACAGAGAGGTTTTGCACAAGTTCACTGTGGATTTGCCCAAGAAGCACGGCAGAGGTGGTCAGTCGGCGCTTCGTTTCTCGCGTTTGAGAGAAGAAAAGAGACACAACTACGTGAGAAAAGTTGCCGAGGTGGCAGTGCAGAACTTCATTGAAAACGACAAGGTCACCGTCAAGGGTTTGATTTTGGCCGGTTCCGCCGACTTCAAGAACGAATTGTCCAAGTCTGACTTGTTTGACCTTCGTTTGCAACAGAGAGTGTTGAAAACTGTGGATATTTCCTACGGAGGAGAGAACGGTTTCAACCAGGCCATCGAGCTTTCGGCCGAGACCTTGGCCAACGTCAAGTTTGTCCAAGAAAAGAAGTTGTTGAACCAGTACTTTGACGAGATTTCCCAAGACTCGGGTAAATACTGTTACGGTGTGGAAGACACATTGAAGGCTTTGGATCTTGGAGCGTGTGAGATTGTCATTGTGTACGAAAACTTGAACATTATTCGTTACACTTTGAAAGACAGCGAGGACAAGGAAGTTGTGGTCAACGTCAACCCAGAATTGCCTGACAAATCCTACATGTTGGACAAGGCCACCGGAACAGAAATGGAAATCGTCAAGGAAGAAATGTTCTTGGAGTGGTTGGCTGAAAACTACAAGAACTTTGGTGCCACGCTTGAGTTCGTCACAGACAGATCGTCTGAAGGTGCGCAGTTTGTGCAAGGTTTCGGTGGTGTTGGTGCTCTTTTGAGATACAAGGTCAACTTCGAGCAATTGGCTGATGAGTCGGACGACGACGAATACTACGACGACACTGACGACGATTTCATCTAGATTGGGGGAACATGTACTTTAGGCGGTCTGTTGTGATCTTGAATACAAGACTGATGTATGCCGGTGTAAATGTTGTAGCTATGTGAGACCTAAACTTTTACAGAATACTTTGAAGAGTGGGAAAGTGGCATCAAAGCCAGCTTTTGAAAAGCACGCTAACACCGAATTCACAAGAGAAGCATAATGGAGCAACCCTTAAGAATAGCGATGCAAGTTTAGAGATCGACTAAAACGGTAACGTGTTCTTTAATTTATTGGTTTGATGCGCCCCATATTTGATTAGATAATGAAAAACAGGTGTCAAGATAGAATATTTCAACGTTGAGAATGCATTCGAATAACATTTTCGCCTCCAAACAATCCTTTGAGAGTGTCCTCTAAATTTAAGTACGAGAGATCCATTTAGGCATCACTAGTGTATTAGTTGGTAGAGACTATGTATTGAGGAAAGCAAGATTCCATAATAGCACTTCGAGCAATCTATTTTGTTTCCGAGTAATCTGTTTTCTTTCCTTAACATGAAAACGCCTCCATTTCTTCAGATCATCAAATATCTAGCCACTAATTTATCCTAAGCGTATATGAATTCTAATCAGTCTATGTAACAATAAAGCTTCTTCTCGAAAACTTTCAAATTATGGAGAATTCCTTGAAGACCTACGACCTAGCCTTCTGTTTTTGTTTTTGTTTCTTCTTTTCAACTCTAGCCTTGCCCTTAGTTTGTTTGAGCTCGTCCAAAGCCTTGATAGATTTGCGGCCCAATACGGTTTCCGAAGTTGCTCCAGAGACAATCTGGTGAGCCAAATTTTCAAGTCCACTGGTGATGTAAGATCTTCTGTGGTTCTTACGAAGAGGAATGGCCAAGCTTTCTTTCAATTGGGCACGAAGCGCCTTTTGTTCTTCTTTGGTCAACTTACTTCTTTCGAGTCTCTTCTTCTGCTTTTTGATCACATCATCCTCAAACTCATCAAGGTCGGATAAGTTGTCAAAACCCAAATCTTCGGCAGCTTGCTTGAGCCAAGAATTCTCTTTTCTTGTAGCAGTATTGGACATGGTAGAACCTGCCAATTTTCCTGCCATGCGAACTCTTTCTCTGATCTGTTGCACAATGTCATACTCTATTGGAAGCAATTTGACATCGGCCTTGGCGTTGAATTTTCCTCCTTCGGCACTCGAGGCAACAAGTTTTCTGAGCTTCTTGAATGGGCCCGAGGCTTCTTGTGGCGAACAGAACATCACCGATACACCCTCTTTGCCCGCACGAGCAGTTCTTCCGGATCTATGAATGTAGGTATCAGCAGAACGAGGTAAGTGATAATGGGCTACATGGTCGATGCTTGGGATATCAAGACCTCTCGCTGCGACGTCTGTGGCAACAAGAACCGCCGATTTGTTTTTCTGCGTGGCTTCTTTAAACCGCTCCAACGCCCGCATACGCTGCTTTTGGATCATAGACGAATGGATGGAGAACGCTGGGATGTTCAAGTTTTCCAAAAGTGGGACCAATCTTCTCACAGACTCAACCGAATTGGCAAAGACCAACGTAGATCCTGGGTACATGAGCACAAAGTAATATAGATACAAGTCTCTTTCTGCCGGTCCACACTCCACCAATGCCTCTGTGATTTGGCCCGAAACGATTTCCTTTGGATTTGCATCACAAAGGGCGGGCTTCGAGTCTTTGAACTTAAGTTTCTTCTGTAAAAGCTGGAGAATCTCATCGTTGGCAACCAAAGCGCCGGAGGATGCCTTGGTGCCTTTTCCGGACTTATCCAACTTGAAAAACAAGTCTCTAGAAAACGTGGCGGAAAACACCAATGTTTGCCATCTCCACCCATATGCTTTGTCTCTGTTTTTACCCAAGAGGTCCAAGATCCGCTCGAACTCTTCGAAATGGCCGTCCTGCAATAATCTGTCTGCTTCATCAAGAACAATAATTTCAGTGAGCGCCATTCTTTTGGTGAATTCTTCGCTCTTTTCAATGAGCTCCAAAAAACGACCAGGGGTGGCGACAATAATACCTGGCCCATATGATAAGAGTCTCTCCTGTCTCTGAATGGAAAGACCACCCGTTACAGAAACGATTCCGTTCAGGGCGAGCGGCGCATACTTGGCGATTTTATTCAAATGGTCCAGAACCTGGTGTGCCAATTCTCTGGTTGGAGCAAAGATGATACCTGTTGGAGCAGGGATGGTTTTCTTTTGTCTTAAGGTCTTTATCTCGGCAATCTTGGAAATATACTTTTCCAAAATGGGAATACCGTATGCCAAAGTCTTACCGGAACCAGTTGTGGCTTTACCAATGACATCCTTTCCTTCCAACGCCAAAGGAATGGCGGACTTTTGAATTGGCGTAGGTTGTTTGAAACCAAGCGCTTGCAATCCACTCAAAGTATACGCCGAGAGAGGAACATTCTGCCACTGAGGCAAATCGATATCGTCGTCTGGAAGGGGCATGTCCAACACAGAGAACGCCACCAACTTTTCTTCTTCATCTTCCTTTTCCAATGCGGCGTCATCTTTTTCAGGGACGTCTTTCTTGTCTTTCTTGTTCTTCTTGCTTTCTGTCTTGGAGGCCTTCTTTTGGGATTTCTTCTCCTGCTGGTCCAGCTTTACTTCGTCATCGAAACCAGTGAATTCTTCTTCTCCTTCAGCCTCCGTTTGCTCTTCTTCAGCATCTGCTGGCTCTTCTGCTGGCTCTTCTTTTTCTTCACCCTCTTCTTGTTCCTCCTCTTCTTCCTCAGACATTTCTACATCGCTATCCTTAGCAATGAACTCGGCTTTTCCGTTCACCATACGCACGTCGACACCCTCAAGCTCTTCAAGGCCGAAGAAGCCCGAATAATCTCCGAGGTTGTCTGGAATTTCCACTGGTTTCCACAGAAGTTGATCTGCCTTGATGATTTTGTTCTGGCGGGCATTTTTTTGTTTCAACGTTGGCGGCTTGCTGCGAACAAACTTGCCGCCCGTTTTTTTGTTCCCAGTAGGCTTTTTGCCGCCGTTTGGCTTATTCCCATTAGGCTTTTTGCCGCCATTGGACTTTTTGCCGTTTTTAGGTGCCATGGTGATGAGATGAGATGGGTGGAAAAAATCGCGAATTATGTGGGGATCATAAAGTGCACCTAAAATCAGTCTGCAAATTTCTACAATTTTACAAGAATTCCAATTTCTGGATTTTCTGCTTTGAGTTCATGCTTGGACGCAATCCAAGACATAGATGGCTTCTAGTTATGGCAGCAATTAGTGACGAGACACTAGCTTTCACACATTGCACCTTAAATCTAGGTGCAACCGAATCTTCACTTGAGCAAATAAGAAGTGGATGGCAGTATGCGTTTCGAACGGTTTAAGAACTTTCAAATTAGGAGAAAACCAAGAAATGTAGTTTTGTCAATATCTCGTATGTTTTATGACTCTTTCTGTTTGATCTTCTATAATACAGTTGAAGCTGGATGGTCAAGTTTACAAACTATCAAAGTTGACTAATCCGTGAAGTCTTCTAGCATCTTGAATGTAGATTCCTCATTTTTTCTTATGTTTCATCATTTAGCCCACTGCAAACAAAGAATTGGAGATTGTGTAGTTCTGCCAACGTCGCATTTTCGCAACAGAACCAGTTACGTACAATTAACACTTCAAACGTTTAAAATTTTACAGTTTTTTTTAGCGTATAGGAGCGTGCAATGTGTGCATTATTTACTCTTCAATTTGGTTTGTTTGACATAGTTTTTGAATTTTTTTTGAAGGCTTTTGCATTTCTCTTAGGTATGCTGGAATCTCACGAAAATTGAAAAAGAAAAACTTTCACACAAGAGATAGGTCATATCCACTCTTAAAATTTTCAGGTTAGACCTAGTTATAATACACCCAGTTTGTATTTTTAAACGAGGATAGGGGTGCTTCAAAATCATCAGGCACAGCAAGCCCTTCGCTTAGATGTATTTATTACCTTGAAGGTCGGTCAACTGCCACCTTGCTCTACAGTATTTTATGTGAAAATGTACAGACCACTAACACCTTACTTTCGTAAAACACGAACCACAGAAAAAAAGAAACTGAACACCAACGTTGTCGTACATATCAATGCTCTAGTTTATGTAGTGTGGCTTTTTGTCGCTGCAGGGTTCAATTTAAAATTCTCAATGCGGTATCGCGAAGCTTATCTGCCAATAGGAGCAAAAAACCGAAGCAAAAAATCAGTCAATTCACACTAGCAATAAAATATGATGAGGCCAGAGTGTGTACCTTACTTGAACGTGTATCAACCATCAACCAAAGGCATGGTTTAGATCATCGACTCACTTGCTCGCATAATTTCAACCAAGAAGATTGTGGCCTGTCTTAACCAAAGCGGTAGAAGAAAAATCCATCCGAACCCAATACATCCAAACCAACGGCGGCTAAAGCCCGAAACGAGCACGAAATTGGGCGATTTCGGCCCGGCCCGTTCAGAGCCAAGAAAAAGCACCGCATCACTAAGGAAATCAACGGCGCGATCTTTATACGTGTATACAAGCCGTGCCAAAAGTTGTTATAGATCGATGTCCAGCTCCATAGAAAGAGCAAATCGGGTAAGAGTATGCCGAGAGCCAAGAAATATAACACAAAATCAAAAGACGCAAAGGAGGCGGCGAAAGACTTTCCTTCATCTCCTACGGAATGCGATAACGGAATGCGGAAATCTGCCATCAAAGATCCGCGACTGCACACAGCAAAGCCACTTTTGCTGATAAGCATGGGTTGGAAACGTGGAAGCCGCTACCGTGGCACTGGCGACGGCTAAATTGGTTATTGAGATAGACAACACGCCGTCTATGCTGAGCAAAAGCGATAGAAAGCAGGACCAGAAGATTGGGGTGGTCACGTGCACGCATCAACACGCGGCGTTTTCAATCAATCGTCTGTCATTCTGCACCTTCCCTATGCGGATAGTTATCAGCGGCATATAATGTGCATGAAGTCGCATACTGATAACGATAGCCCCATCAATGACTATATAATGGCCAGGAATTTTTCAGGACCATTTTCTGCAAACTAAGACTCTCCGATGCTGGACATCAAAAACGAAAAGTTGACACATGTTGTGTCTATCACAGCCTCCGACATTGAGCTGCAAGACCGTGTCATCACCACGATTCTCTCTCCACATACTGGAAAGAAGGTGGAAATCACTGGCGATGTGGACGAGGCCATGAAAGTTGTTCTCGAAGGCGAAAGAGTCACGCTTACGCCCGAGGAAGACCGTCGCTTGCTTCGCAAAATCGACTTGTACCTATTACCACTCATTTGTCTCTTGTATGCCACGCAATTTATGGACAAATTGTCCAACTCGTGGGCAGCAGTGATGGGTTTGAGAACAGACTTGCACATGAAGGGAGAAATGTACTCGTGGACAGGCTCTGCGTTTTACCTAGGCTACTTGGCCTTTGAGTTCCCGGCGTCCGTGTGTCTCCAAAGGTTTCCGGTGGCCAAAACGGTGTCAATGTTCATTGTGTTGTGGGGTGTGATCCTTTGCTTGCACTCTGTGCCGCAATACGCCGGGTTTGTTGCCTTGAGAACCATTTTGGGCGGCTTGGAGTCTTCGGTCACTCCTGCGTTCGTCATCATCACCTCTCAATGGTACAAGAAGGAAGAGGTTTTCCTCAGAACTACGCTCTGGTTTTCGTGCAACGGGCTTGGTCAGATCTTGGGTTCGGGCGCCATTGGCTACAACTTGTTCACTCATAAGGACAGCTATGCGCTTGAGGCGTGGAAAATTGTCTTTATTGCCACGGGATGCATTACCATTGTGCTTGGGTTTGCCATCTTCTTCCACATTCCTAACAACCCAACAGAGGCTTGGTTTTTGACCGAGCACGAGAAGAAATTGGTGGTGGAAAGAATCCGCTCCAACCAGCAAGGCTTTGGTAACCACCACTTCAAGAAGAAGCAGTTCATCGAGGCTTTGACCGACATCCAGACCTGGGCGTTCTTTGTGATTTCCTTGGCCACAAACATCCCCAACGGTGGTTTGACTAACTTTGGCAGTATCTTAATGACAGGATCCATGCATTTCACCACAAAGAAAACACTCTTGTGGGGAATGATCCCCGGAACTGTAGAGGTGGTGGGATGCACCCTTTTCGCTTACTGCTACCGGTTTTACAAGTCCAGAATGCTTTGGGCCACGTTTATCTCGGCCATGAGTGTGATGTTCCTCTGCTTGTTGGCATTTGCAAAGAACAAGGATGCCCAGTTCGCTGGCTATGCCTTGTACTCGCTCAGTCCTTTGATTTTCATTTGTATCTTGTCGTCCATTGCATCCAACATCGTGGGGCACACCAAAAAGGTGACTGTCAATGCCATTTTCCTTATTGGATACTGTGTGGGAAACTTAATTGGCCCTCAGACGTTCAGAGCAAACCAGGCTCCAAACTATGATGGTGCCAAGGCTGCGATGGTGGGATGTTCTTCATTGACTACGGTGTTGATGATTTTGCTCTGGATTTATTACATCCGGGAAAACAGGAGAAGAGATGCCTTGGAGTCGGCACTGGAGTTTGAGATGATTGAGAACCATGAGTTTGCCGATTTGACCGACAGAGAAAACCCTCTTTTCAGATACACAATCTGATTTCTTTGTACTAGTATCTTCGAAGATAATAAACGACAGAAGGTTAAACAATGAGCTTGTGAGCCGATGTTGGACAATGGGTTTCGGTGCAGTTTACTTCGGATCCTACAACAGAAAATACCCGAGTGCAATTGTTCCACCGATCAGCTGATTTTGCGATTATGCTCAGCATGACGGTATGTCTGTTTTTCCCAGGGGACATTTGGAAGGACGGAACTGCATTTTATTCTCAGAATCATCTGTTGACAGCTTTGTATTGCTGTGGTAATCTGTCTTTTCTCCGACTGTTGGAGCGCACGTATTATATATAGTGGTTACTACATTGACACGATTTGCTTGCAATATAGCAGACACTGTAGCTAAATCCAAGTAGAAAATTCATCCGGGTCGCCTTTGCAAGAGAATTCCGGTTTACAAATTTATCCGGGTTCCTTTGCAGTTTTTCCTGGTTCGCTTGCAAATAATATACGATTACATAGGAGCGGCCCCTATAGGGGTATAGGGGCACATAGCCTCGTATTCAGAAAATATAAAAGAAACACCATCAGCGTTCATCTAGCTTCGAGAATCGAAACAGGATGTTGTTATTACACAAGAATTGTTCTCCAGGTCAAATGGATATGTTTGCGTGCACACAAGACTCATCTGAAGAGGCTCAAGAAAGGCAGACTAGGACGGAGTTACAAACCCAGTTGAGTTGAGCTGGCACTGAAAACCCACTGGGAGTGTCTTGAAATCAACCCGAGGCCTTAGAAATCCAGGAAACTCAATATTGGAATCAAGTGCAAGAGAGCCTAGCACAGTTCCATCTTCAAAGTTAACAAGAGGAATCAAGCACAAACTGATCTTCCGACTAGTTGACAAGCCTTTTCAGGAATCAACCAAGTTCGCCAGATTCAGATCGGCAGCAGCGACAACATCAGCCTAGTTAGACATGCTACGAAGGTCCCGCAGCATCACGCAGAACGCCAAAGCGCCCAAGTCGCTCAAACCTCAGCAGGCACGCCAGCTTATCCGGCGATTCCATGTTCTTCTCAAAAACAAGGCCACGATAATCAAGAGCCTCGCCCGCGAAGATGCCAGCTTGACCGAAAACAACTACAAAGACATTCTAGGGAAAAAGTACGCCGCAGCGTATGGCCAGTTCAAACTCACCAAGCATCTTGAACAGTTCCAGCCCGATGGCTCTTGGGAGAAGCTTGTGCCAATGTTGGCACGCATCGACGCCGAAATCGACCAGAGGGGCGGTCTCCATGTCTACCAGATGGCGTCCACGGTGGGCCAAAACGAGCTGCGGGGAGGAGACTCGCTGAAAAGATTGGTTGCGTGGTTCAAGGAGCTCGGACGAACGGCCCGCAGCCTGCTAGAAATTGGGTGTCTCAGTGCAGATAATGCCATACTGACATGTGGCCTATTTGGGACGGTCACACGGATCGACTTGAACTCCCAGAACCCCAAGATTGAACAACAGGATTTCATGCAACGGCCGCTCCCTACCCTGGATTCGGATAAATTCGACGTTATCTCGTGTCTGTTGGTGCTCAATTTCGTCCCGACTCCGGCACAGAGAGGGGCCATGTTACGCCGAATCACCCAGTTTCTCCGGCCCGAGTCATCTTCGCTCTTTTTGGTGCTCCCATTGCCGTGCGTGGCGAACTCGCGTTACTTTGACGCAAGTGTCCTTGAGAAGATCATGCAGAGTCTAGGGTTCCGCCAGGTACGTTATTACGAGGCGAAAAAAGTGGCCTATTGGCTCTACGACTGGAATGGGAAATGCTCCGAAATCAAACTACGGAAAAAGGAAATCCATAAAGGCAGCAGCCGCAACAATTTTTTCATCGACGTAAATAACCAGCTGTCAGATGAAGCGTAAGGTATAGTTATGCGCCATCTTGAAACTCTGCTGTTTATTGGTGTCTCCGTCACGTATGAGAGGGTAAATGGCGCATGCGCGCGCATACATCATCTGTAATTATTCCATTTTCCCTTACCTCAACTTGCATGATGGGTCCGCGTTAATCCGGCTTCATATAGTAAGAAATACACACAATCCTGGAAAAACGCACCACTTTGCCATACACAAAGTGGATGCTTAAAAGCATATAAGCTCATTCTTAGTGGCGTGAGGTGGCTGGAAAAATTTTTTTACCCGTACAGGCCACAATACATGCGTAGCGCTTATGATGCGTCATGTTTGCGTGCTTCGGATCATTACGATCCATTGGACTACATTTTTTTTTTCCGGACAGCTCATCAGTCTCTAGAGCAGAAGAGAATTACAGAGCCGAAAAGAGTCTTACATGAGAGCTTATTCCGAACAGCATGAAACTTTTTGATGGAAAATAGCCTACTTTCGGGAGACACGGGAAGTAGAAAATACCAGGCATACTGCTTTTGTGTCAGGAGACTTTTAGAGGAAAGTAGCACGGGCAGCACTGCACCCAACCCATAATAGTGTGACAGCCTGTCTGCAGACGGCTATATTTTTCGCCGTCCCACGGCTTTAGACGACATACGTCAATTCCCCAGTACGGCACGCACATTTTTCCTGCCAACCGACTGGGGAAAAACAGCTGTTTCGACTGACCAGAAGGCCATTTCATAATCTTTTTTTCACTGAGTACCTCGAATTAGTAAAGCAAATGGTCTGAACGATTTTCGGGTAGGATTAGTAGGCTCAAAAAAGCCACATGGCAGCTTCTATCAGAGTGTGACCATGCGGCAATTGTAAGTGGAGAGATTCAGTTTTTCCGGGGACAGGTACGGAGAAACCTGGAGAGCAGGTCTGGAGAAAACCGGATGCAGGACAGACATGCATCGGGCGTTTGCTTTCGGCTGGTTAGGTAAATTTTTTCCGAAAGTCATTAGCTGACATATTACATTTGTGACTGGGTCCAAAGGTATTTAAGGGCCCATGGTTTGCCCCAACTGGCAAGATTTTTTTTCTCATCATTCATCATTCAATTACAACTTTAATTTACCATGTCTCAAGAAGATATTAACACTACTGGTACCACACCAGCAAATGGTTCTATCTTAGAAAAAGAAAAAAACAACGAAGAACAGCTAGTCGATGTTTTGCCAAACAAGGGCTTTAAGGATTACATTTCCATTTCTGTCTTTTGTTTGTTCGTTGCCTTTGGTGGTTTCGTTTTCGGTTTCGATACCGGTACCATTTCCGGTTTTGTTAACATGCCCGACTTCAAGAGAAGATTCGGTCAAAAAAGAAAGGATGGCTCGCACTACTTGTCTAATGTTAGAACCGGTTTGGTGGTCTCTATTTTCAACGTCGGTTGCGCTGTCGGTGGTATTATTCTTTCCAAAATCGCTGATATGCAAGGTAGAAGAATGGCTTTGATGGTTTCCATGGTCATTTACGTCGTCGGTATTATCATTCAAATTGCATCTCAACACGCCTGGTACCAGTACTTTATTGGTCGTCTTATTTCCGGTCTCGCTGTCGGTATGGTTTCCGTTGTCTCTCCACTTTTCATTTCTGAAGTCTCTCCAAAACAAATTAGAGGTACTTTGGTCTGCTGCTTCCAGTTGTTTATCACCATGGGTATTTTCTTGGGTTACTGTACCACTTACGGTACTAAGAAATACTCCGACTCCAGACAATGGAGAATTCCATTGGGTTTGTGTTTCGCATGGGCCATTTTCTTGGTTGTCGGTATGTTGAGTATGCCAGAATCTCCAAGATACTTGATGGAAAAGAAGAAGATCGACGAGGCCAAGAAGTCCATTGCCAGATCTAACAAGATTTCCGAAGAAGATCCATTTGTCCACACCGAAATCCAACTTATTCAAGCTGGTATTGACAGAGAAGCTTTGGCTGGTAAGGCCTCTTGGAAGGAATTGGTCACTGGTAAGCCAAAGATCTTCAGAAGAGTCATTATGGGTATTATGCTTCAATCCTTGCAACAATTGACTGGTGACAACTATTTCTTCTACTATGGTACCACCATTTTCCAAGCTGTTGGTATGAACGATTCCTTTGAAACTTCCATTGTGTTGGGTATTGTTAACTTTGCATCCACATTCGCTGGTATCTACGCCATTGAGAAGCTTGGTAGAAGAATGTGTCTTTTGACTGGATCTGCCTCTATGTTTGTCTGTTTCATCATTTACTCGCTTCTTGGTTCCCAACATTTGTACAAGCATGGTACTAGCAATGTTTCATCCAACACAAGAAAGCCAACTGGTGATGCTATGATTTTCATTACCTGTCTTTACATTTTCTTCTTTGCTTCGACCTGGGCTGGTGGTGTCTACTGTATCATTTCCGAATCTTACCCATTGAGAATCAGATCCAAGGCTATGTCTGTTGCCCAAGCCGCTAACTGGATGTGGGGTTTCTTGATTTCCTTCTTCACTCCATTCATCACATCCGCCATTCACTTCTACTACGGTTTTGTCTTTACCGGCTGTCTTTTGTTCTCCTTCTTCTACGTCTACTTCTTTGTCTACGAGACCAAGGGTCTTTCATTGGAGGAAGTCGATGAGTTGTATGCTTCTGACACTCTTCCATGGAAGTCTGCCGGATGGGTTCCACCATCTCTTGAACACATGGCTCATGCTACCAGATATGCTGGTGAGGAAAAGCCTGAAGACGAACAAGTTTAGAAGAATAATCTCCACAAAGTTTAATTTTTGTTCTCATTGCTTTTGAGGAGAAGCTTTTAAATAGTTACGAATTTCATGTCCTGCTAGATAACAATCGGGCGCATCAAACCTGGATGCGCCCAGTGTAGAAACTAAAAACACCTTTGAGCTTGATGGCGTTTCAGAATCGGCTGAAAACGAAAAACGTCTATACCCCGGCTGACAGATATCTAACGGCGCAAATGGAAATGCCTATAAACGAAAAGAAGATTACGGCCGAAAATGGAATCTTACAGGTGTCACCGAACCAAGAAAAGTGGAGAAACCAATGACGGTTAAAGAAACGTTTGGTGAGAATAAGCACCCTGCAGCCCAAGCCATGCACCCCTGCACATTTACTGCACCCCCACCTAGGTCTCGGGCAGAAGAAGAAGGAAAAACCCGAAAAGATGAGTTTTCAGCCAAGGAGAAAGAAAGCGGAGACAAAGGAAAATTGCTCACATGCTCAGGAAAAGCTTTGGAGCATGCTCCTATATTTCTGGAAAGGCTAAACTTTAGCTTTGTTGGTGGAGTGGTCTTTCATTTTATTACTAGTGGTGATTAGTGCAGATAGCAGGAAAATAATGGAGAAAAAGAAAAAACAAAAGAAAGGTGATCGTGCTACACATCTTCTGTGCAAACGATATCGTGGGGGAAAGCTTGGGGATACGTCGAAACGTATGATGCGCATATTGTCAGATGATATAGCGTCAAGGACAAGAATTACCTTCAGGAGTACCTCGTCATAGCAGAATTATTGAGTTTAATTCCGAACACAGGTGATGGGCAACCTGCCCTGCCAGGAATGATGGCATAGTATGCGTGTGGGCATGTTCCGATGAATGTTTTTTCTTTTGCCAGCGTTTAGAGCCATTCGGGAATGAGCAGGCGTGCGCAGGAATATCTCGGCGTAAAGGAAAGAAAAAGAAACGGCGGTCTTTATTTGAAGGCAAGGCTGATATTCATCGTGGGAAAGTATTGAGAAAGAATAGCATTTTTTCCCGTGTCAGAACACCTCTCCATGGGCCCTCGGAGTCCCGTTTTCACTGGCGTCATAGTTTATCCGAAAAGTCCAACGTCTCTAAGTGCCGGAAAAATATCCGAAAAAAAGGAAGGCGCGACTTTTGGCGCGGTGCATACAGGCTGAGATTTTTTCCGACGTCGAGGTTGGGGGCAGACTATTTTCTAACCCCAGTTTTCAACATTTACCAGACTAAAGAAGAGGCTCCTTAAAAAGGTTATGCCACAATTTCCCTATGCTGGAACCGTGGCCGCCATATTACGCTTTATAAGTTTGGAGGATACAAAAAAACCAAGAATTTTTGTCGGGATGCGTGCATCTCAGGCTTGGCTAGAGAGGGGGGCGTCCGGAGAAACCTGGAGCGTTTATGGAGGAGTCATGCACACAGCGCACGGTGCATGATGTATGGCATGTTGTGCGCCAAATTTTTCCGAAATGCTCACAAGCAGACAAGAAATTCATGACTAAGAAAAAAGTATAAAAAGCGGCTGGCAGCTCCCCAAATATGAAAAAAAAACCATTATCCATCAATCATCACTTACATAACATGTCTCAAGAAGATGTTACTTCTGGCTCTACGCCAATAAACGGTTCTCTTTTGGAGACCGAGAAAAAATTAGAGGAGAACCTCGAACACCAAATGCCTGAAAAGAGCTTCAAGGACTACATTTCCATTTCCATTTTCTGCTTGTTGGTGGCCTTCGGTGGTTTCGTTTTCGGCTTTGACACTGGTACCATTTCTGGTTTTGTCAACATGCCTGATTTCAAGAAGAGATTCGGTCAACACAAGGCCGATGGTGAACACTACTTGTCTAACGTTAGAACCGGTTTGATTGTTTCCATTTTCAACGTTGGTTGTGCTGTCGGTGGTATTTTCCTTTCGAAAATTGCCGATGTCTGGGGTAGAAGAATGGGAATGATGGTGGCCTATGGTTATCTACGTCGTCGGTATCATTGTCCAAATTGCATCTCAATCACGCTTGGTACCAGTACTTTATTGGCCGTCTTATATTCTGGTCTTGCCGTGGGTACCATTTCTGTTGTCTCCCCACTTTTCATTTCTGAAGTTTCTCCAAAGCAAATTAGAGGTACTTTGGTCTGCTGCTTCCAATTGTTTATCACCATGGGTATCTTTTTGGGTTACTGTACCACTTACGGTACTAAGAAGTACACAGACTCCAAGCAATGGAGAGTTCCATTGGGTTTGTGTTTCGCATGGGCCATTTTCTTGGTTGTTGGTATGTTGAGTATGCCAGAATCTCCAAGATACTTGATTGAAAAGGCTAAAATCGATGAAGCTAGAAGATCTATTGCTAGATCCAACAAGCTTTCCGAAGAAGACCCTGCTGTCCACACTGAAATTCAACTTATTCAAGCTGGTATTGACAGAGAAGCTTTGGCTGGTAAGGCCTCTTGGAAGGAATTGATCACCGGTAAGCCAAAGATCTTCAGAAGAGTGCTCATGGGTGTGATTCTTCAATCCTTGCAACAATTGACTGGTAACAACTACTTTTTCTACTACGGTACCACTATTTTCAAGGCTGTTGGGTATGACTGACTCTTTCCAAACCTCTATTGTTTTGGGTATTGTCAACTTTGCTTCTACTTTTGTTGGTATCTACGCCATTGAGAGAATGGGTAGAAGAATGTGTCTCTTGGTTGGTTCTGCTACCATGTCTGTCTGTTTCATCATTTACTCGACTCTTGGTTCCCAGAACTTGTACATCCACGGTACTGAAAACGACCCCTCCAACACTAGAAAGCCAACTGGTAACGCCATGATTTTCATCACCTGTCTTTTCATTTTCTTCTTCGCTTCGACCTGGGCCGGTGGTGTCTACTGTATCGTTTCCGAATTCCTACCCATTGAGAATCAGATCTAAGGCCATGTCTGTTGCTACCGCTGCCAACTGGATGTGGGGTTTCTTGATTTCTTTCTTCACTCCATTCATCACCTCCGCCATTAACTTTTACTACGGTTACGTCTTTACCGGATGTCTTATCTTTTCCTTCTTCTACGTTTACTTCTTTGTCGTTGAGACCAAGGGTCTTTCTTTGGAGGAAGTTGATGAGTTGTACGCTTCTGGTACTCTTCCATGGAAGTCTGCCGGCTGGGTTCCACCATCCCTTGAACACATGGCCCACTCTACCGGCTATGCTGCTCAGGACAAACCATCTGACGAACAAGTTTAAGCAAAGCTTCATTTTATATTCTCTTTTTACATAGTTACGAATGTCATGTCATAATAGACGAGAAACCTATAGCCACCGTACTTGTGCGGTGAAGAAAAGTCCGAAACAAAGAACGTTATGAGAGCCGGAAAAGAAACGGGCTCTTGAAAAGAAATTTGAAAAAATATCGCTGAACATCAGCCCAAGGGTGTACTTTTCCCATCATTTTAACAGGACCGAACTGACAAGTAAGACTATTCAAGAGACATAACATGACAAATTAGACGATAGGTGATGGCAGCATTTACACAATGTCAACCGTTATCTGGCATGATCTAATTTATGCACGTATAGTCAGACTCGCACATACGGAGAAATGGACGCTTTGCAGATGCAGTGCGGTTTTTCCGGCTTCTGATGCATAGACCTCATGATGTCCCTGCAATTCAGATAACCGAATTCTGCAACTGCGGTTCTCATTCATTCCTGATGCCGGTGTTGGAATTACATCAGCAAGCATATGTTGCTACGGCATGCACACTGCCAACCCTCATGGATATGTACAGGAACATACTGCACTTGTCCGACCTAAGGTGGTTTTCTTTTCTTTGTTAACCATAGCAACGTGATCTGCGGCAGGTTATGAATCGGAAAAGAAAAAAAGGAACAGAGATGGGCAGGGTCCAAATTGCACAAGGTGCGCTCCTTTTCCAAGGCAAAAAATAAGAGAATGAGGCTGGGTTCAAAATCTACTGAAAAGTTGGCCCTGCCTTGTTTTGGTGATGTATTGTTGCGTCAAGAAAGATGAGAAAATGAAAGAAGTGGACGAGAAAATGGCATGAGATGCAGGTTTTGTGCACTCCATGCATATTCGGCCCTTAGTTTCTCCGGTTCTGACAAAAAACACAAATCCAGATATAGGGATAAACCCATGCCGTTTTGAAGTGGAAAATTCAAGATATATCAAGCAAGGAAGTTCAATAAGTACCCTGATCTCATATTGCAAGAGGGAGGCTATTCATTGTTGGGAAAACTCTGATATAATCAGGGAAAGGCTTATTCAGCCTGCGAAGAAACTTAGGTGGACCATGCGTTATGTATGACTGCGTGTGCATCAGGTTTTTCCGAAATGGCAAACAAAGAATAGGAAATTCTTGATATAAAAGCAATCAAAGAGCCACATAACCGAGAAGTCTTCCTTAAGTTAGAGCAGAAACAAGATCGCCAATAATGTCTCAAGAAGATCTTATGACAGGCTCCACGCCTCGCAATGAAGAATCACTTTTAGAAAAAGAGCAAGATTTGAGGGAAAACCATCCAAAGAGCAAATGCCAGAGAAGAGTTTCAAAGATTATCTTTCCAATCGGCCTTCTTCTGCTTGCTAGTTGCTTTCGGAGGCTTCGGTGGG